CTGGGATTGCGAAAGCCACTTTTCTAGTTTATGGGTCACAGCCCTTCTGCCACCATTGCGATTACTTTGGCCTTAACTTTCCACATCTTCTCTAATTCATCTTTCAGCATGTGATATTTCTCTAACTTCTTATATTTCTCCCTAATATTTCACTTGGTATTGCAATGTCTCTCACTATCTTGGTTTTTGGTTCTTATCCGCTACCACGATATGTGGTTAATTCGCTAGCATTTACTTGTCTGGATGGGGAAGTCGCACAGAATATTGGCTTTATTATTCTCCACGATTTCCTCTCTTGCGATGGTTTAAGTCATATGCAGACATCTTAGAAATGAATGATCAAAAGCAGATAACTTCTTAATATCCTTTACTTTCACCGGCCATGTCTCATAGCTATATAGCAAGACCGAGCGAACTACTGCTATATAGACGTGGGCCTTCGTTTTTATGGTGATTTTGTGATGGTTTCACAAACGCTTAGTCAAATGGAAGGACGAATTTCTAGCTACCGTTATCCGGATTTCGTCTTTTTCATCTTTCGTCTTTCGTCTTTGGCTTGCGTGGTTTAGAATTAAAGTGGATCCAAGATATTTAAAATCTGACACTTCCTTAACCGGCAATTGACAAAAATTGATATAAATAGACGCAAAAACAATCAGTTTGTTATTTGTAAAATGAAAAGACATTCTCTTTCGTTTATTTACTGATTCTAAGTCCGATTCTCGTGCAGCTGCTGATACGTTGTCTAGCATTGTTTGCATTTCGTCATAACTTTCAGCAAAAGGGACTGCATAATCAGTGTATTCAAGATCGTGATACGCTGCTCTGCACCGATTTGCACACTTTTTGAGTGTCTAGTGATATACTTTATCCAGTCGGTCGTGTAGTTGAATATTGTAGAGGGAAAGCCTTGATGGACACCAGGACACCAGTCCTTATTACGAAGTTTTTTTATAAACACAGGCTGTGTGCGCTGATAAAATTCCTTTATGAGTCGTTTGATCTTCTCTGGAATACCATCACATTCCATCACATTCCAAAGCGCCGTTCTGTTAATTGAATCGAAGATAGTTGCAAAATCCATGAAACAAGTGACGGTGAGTTGTTACTGTTTGAAGCGATATTCCAGTATCCTTTTTAATGTGAAAATATCTGGTCAATCTGGTCAGCATAACGACCTCACTGTCTAAATCCAGTTTGGTTTGGGCGCATCTTGTCATCTCGTATTGCCATAAGATTATTCGGTAGAAAGGAAGAAAGGTACCAAAAATTTCCTCTGAGACGCCTGAGACTTATTCCTAATCATAGTATGATCCGTCACTTTTTTAGATGGGAATTATTTTGCTGCAGTCTTCTGATATTGTTTCTTTCGTCTTATCAGAAAGAGAGAACTGCATTTATCGACATATTCTGCCATTATCTGATGAATAGTTTCTGAAGTTTTTTTGCACGTTCATTGCTGTCTGTTGTGGATCTGGTAGTTTAATACCTATTATTGTACTGCCATGATTAATTCTTGAATGCTTTTTCAGTTCAGCTTTTCCCAGCCATTGCTGTCAGCCATTTTAGATGTCATTTGATGGTATATCCGATGGAAGGTCTAGCTTTGTCATGATTTCTCTCTGCTTGATCTTTCTCTAATATCTGTTGATGCTTCAGGCATTCTTTTAGCATTTCATCCTTTGGTACTATCTTAATGTATTCTAGAACGTTTCGAGTCTCGTTTTAGACAGTGGAGTACTCAAGCGAATTATTGAACTTGAATACAATTGTTTTTGATTTGGTAAATTGGAAACTAAAATCAGTTCAGTCGCTTTAAGTATATAATAAAAGAGTAAATATTATTTTTTTTATTAAATAATGGCGGAAGATAAAAACATATAGTTATTAGTAATTAGTAAAACACTGCACAAACATCAGATAATAAGAATGAAGAGCTTATCACCGTGTTTAAAGAATTTCGATTCTTCACGATATTAATGAAACCGAGCAGTCAAATCCTATCATTGAAGAGAGATGTATCGGTCCATATTATCGGTGTAGAAAAGAAGAAAAAAAATCCCAGTAAAAATTTCTTGGCTGTTATTCTCATTGAGAATTTTTATGCAGTGGAATTCGATATCAGATATTGATTATGACACGAATAAAAGGGAAAAAAGACATTGAATGAGTCAAATTGAATTGAATTTTATTTTACCAAGCAAGCATTTAAAGCTTTAAATGCTTTAGGACGATATATGATTCTTCTGAGAGCTCTCACCATTACTGGTTAGGCTGCTTCCGCTGGCTACAAACATAAGACGTCTCCAAGCTACTCGGTTCGATGCTATCGCTGACAGCAGCCATTCCTTTTTCCATCGCTGGTCCACACATACAATCAGAGTCTTACCTGAACTGTATATATGATTCGCAATATTAGTCTTTCTATTTGTAAGACACAGTTTGAGCGATAGTCCAAATATGCACTATGAGATAAGGATGACTAGTGTAGTTGCTAATCCTAACACCATTCGCCGATGTCGAACAGTCGCAGTAAGTTCTTATTCAATAAATTCTAATGAATTGTCTAGACTATGACATTGGTTTTCCTGTTCAACATCGTTCAGTTTCGTTAAAGTTTCTCTTTGTTCTGGAGCTGGTTGAAATTTTCGGTATTTTGCATATCGGCTTCCACTTGGGATAAGATCCTTCATTCGAATAATCATAATATTTTTGTCTTGTATATATTAAAGATCAGTTTCTTCTCAACCGAAATTGGTAAATTTTCAAAGCAATCCTTGTAATTTTTTTATGAGTTATGGAGTCATCCCTTCGCATTCAGAGACTTTTAAGAGATTACTATACCGAATCACCGAGATGTTGTTCGGCCTTGCAAAATTCTTGTTGCAGCAGCGGGGTTATACTGATTCATTTTGGGATGCTGGGGATCCGACTTTGCTAATTCTAAGTATCGAGCGGTTACTTCTTTCCTCTTCTTGTTCAGTGATTTTGTTATACTACATTTACAGTTTCATTATGTCTTTATTGGTTTCGTTTTCACTTTATTTTATGGATAAAATTCCTTGTTCCACTGTCTTTTTTTCTTTTAGAGTTCTCCCAATCAACTTAGTCGACAATCATATTTTCTGTTTAAATCATTAATCCATCGCTAAGCTTTTCGCTTTCAATATTTTTGCACACAGGTTTTAATGAATTTAGCCTATTAGATCTTGTTAGACACAAATTTAACCTAATATTATATTTGGAATAGCCTAATTTGACATAAATATACAGAATTATATATATACAAATTAATTGTTACTTAATTCGAGAGGTTTAATAGAGGTTTAGAATATCAAATTCTTTATCTTGATTTCACTGCAGAAGGGTTATAAATTACTGTGAGATCTTTATTTGATAATTATCTATAAATTGATAAAGGTATTTCTTTTTAAGAGTAGGAGGCTCCATAAGACTCCATAAATTGAGATTAAATTCCTTCATTAAAATTATAATTACAGTACCATTAAAATTACAATACCATCCATGAAAAGATGGCTGATAATAGCTCAACTTGAACTTGTATCCACTTGTATGCATATCCACTTCTTATCTGATTGAAGTAGGAAGTAGGATATTTATGCAGAACAGTAGCGAAGACATCTTGATGTGTGCGGCAACTTGATAGTCACGTGTGTAAGGTGACTTTTCAGTGATTTCAGCTGTCTTTTCTGTCTATTCTGTACAACCCTGTTAAGTTTTCGTTGGTCTTCAGGATCCTACTTTCAAAATATTCACAGATCATTGTGTGGGGTTGAATTATAGGCTTTTCTATAATCATTCCAGGATAAGCACAGACTGTTGAAACTTTGAGTCTTGAGCGACTACTCTATCCACAAGCAGCTGGTATTTTGAGTCTCTGGTGGTTCCCAGTGCTTTTTTACACATATGTTGGCTCATATTGTCATGATGCATGAGAGGACTTTCCACGTTATGGAGAGGCAAATCATTGGCCAATAGCTGAACAGTGCTATCCCCTTATGAGGATCTTTCATGATCATTATCTTCTTCCCTGTGTTAATCAGGCTAAATGATAGCCTGCCGCAATCAGCTGGTTCATAGGCGTCCATGAACCGCTGTTAGGCTAATAGTTGTGGATCGTGTCTAGACCAGGTGCAAATTCCCACATTTTAAACCCATTATTGGATGTCTGCAATTGTGATGGTGACTGATTCATACTCTAGGATATTGCCGTGGATTTTTCTTAGATTTTGCAACTACTTTGCATTAATGTTATGAATCTTCTTTTTCCCCCATATATTTTTCCAGAACTGGATAGTTTGCTTTTGGTGGCTCTGGTATTATCACATTGTTGCACCTTGGATGGTTCTTTGGAGAATAGGGCATTTATTTTTTCGGCCTTTCTCGAACCCATTTCTTTAAATTGGTTATTTAGTGGTAAGTGAAGATCAAAATAGTTCTCATATTAACAGCCTGGGTTGTGATCCCTAGAAAAGCAGATTCCTCGAAAACCAGGTCTCAGGAGTCTGAGACTGCTAGAAATAAGATAGGATTTTGCGCAGAACTTTCAATTTTCTAGGCATCTTTTTATATATATATATATATTTCATCTTATATAATGATGTGAATTTTCTATTTCTTATCGCTAAAATCTAATTAAATAGAATCAAACGAAATTCCCAAACGATTTTTGCATTATTTCAAGATCGATGCAATCATTTTATTTTCTCAAAAAATGGAATATTTTGGCCTTTTTTATAAAAAATTATAATAAAAATAAAAAATTTGTCAAAAAGAAATAAATATCTTAACGAAAAAGAATTAATAACAAATTAAAATTTATTTTTCTACAATTCTCATTTAATGATAATTGTTTACAATTAACGAAAACGTATTATAAAATTGTATCATAAATCATTTAAAATTTGAAAAAAAGTAACAAAACAATGAAAGAAAATCACAGGATACAACCTAGTGTATGGTAGTAATTTCATTTCATTTTAATCGATATGAGATTCCTGAAAAAAGAAAAATAATTTTTAACAAAGCTCAACGCTAACTCATCGATTTACCACTTTTAAGCATTTTAAAATTTTTTCAGAGCTTTTTAAAAATTTTCGTAAGAAATTTGAAATTTTTATAATTTTAAAAATTTTAAACTTACTTTCTAAATTTTTTACTGGAATTGCAAAAGGCTATAAAAGTAATTTAGTTCATTTCATTGTCGGAATCAGAAACGTAAATCGTTTCTTGGCCTACCATTTGGCTTTCGTTTATTGTCGATTGACTACAGTTCAAAAAAAATTGTCGAAACTAAAATTTTTCATCAATCTACGTTTTGTTCACAAATTTCCAAATATTTTAAAACTTTTGAACAAAATTAATTAATGAAAAAATTCGAATTAAAAATTCTATATAGATAATTCCCAGTGGTGCTACTCACTCAAGTTTCTGTTCCCATCTGACTTTGGCGAAGAGGCCTCGCCCTAGTAATCAATGCAGTTAACCAAACAAAAAAAGATGAATGCTGTTAGAAGAAATTATGGCTATAATTAATGAATTACCATAAATATGAAACGTTAATAATACAAACTTATAATATAATAAAAGTATATATAAAAATTACAAAAACTGTAAAAATAATAATACTAACTTTAGTTGGTGGTGGAGATGGACTTTCAGGGTATTCATTTTGTTCTTCAGCTTCAACTTTTTGGATTTTACGCTTTTCCAACATTCGCTGAGGTCCACTTTCTTCTACCATTTTCAGTTCCTTTTTTGCATTGCATTCAATACTAAAGTGGGTTTATCCTCCAAAATATGAAAAATTTGTTTTCTTTTTTGTTATATTATAAATTCAGATGACCAGTTAAATAATCAAAAAGACAATCGTATAAAATCCTTGAAAAAAATCTTATTTGCTTAAAAATCTTATTAAAAATCTTAATCTTAGTATTCTTTATATGGGGAAATATATAATATATTTAAAGAATTATTTTTTCATTCGATTCAATTACCACTACTAATAAATTCGATCAAAAAACCATTTTATGTATAAATAGCACAAAAAAAAATTTGTATTTTCTTAATTATTTAGAAATTTTTTGAAAAAATCGAAATTGAAAAATTAGAACAAGATAGCCGAGTGGATGATGGCTTAGATTATCGTATTGGAATGCAATACTTCAGTTCCTTTTTCCGTGCCAACAACACTAAATCTATAATTAAGAAATTCCTGTGGTGATTAACCGCAAACATTAAGCATAAATTACGTATTCTACATAAGTGAAGAATTAAAGAATTAAGAACCTTGAACTATTCGTATCACATAAAGAAGGCAGTTTTTGAATGTGATCAATTATTTTAAGTGCAACTCCATGTGAATGATCAAATTTTTGCCTTTCATTTTCGGGAACAGATGAAATATCATTTGATAAAGATTGACGTTCACGAAAAGAAAAATGCTGATCTGATTCTACCAACAGCTGCGAACATAAATTTGGCTCGAAAATATAGTTGTCGGAATCAACAGTAGCGATAACCATCTCAACAGAGAAATTCACGTCTTTTTCTAATGCCGCAACCATCGCACTAAAATTAAACAAAAAATTTTTAATTATACCGCTGCTGAAATTTTTTACCACCATCACTTTGCACATTTTAATAATGTCAAATTGCATTATTAAAATTAAAAGTATTAATCATAAAAAAATTCTGAATCGCATCAAAGAAAAAGGACAATGCCTGCCAGGATTTTCAAAATATATGCTAACTGGTGCCTGATAGCTGTCGGCGAAAGACACGATTGCCTTAAATAAAATTTCAAAGATATTTTAACACAAGATTAAAGAAGATTAAAACTAGAGAAAACTGTGGACTCACATAAAAACCAATTAAAACTACAAAAAAAATCTTGTATCTTCACTAATAAAAAAATTCGACCTGGAAATTTTTTACAAATTTTTATAATCAAAAAAATTCTTTAGAAATCAAATTTTAAACAATATGATGTATGAAAACATGTTATTAAGACCAATAATATATGGTCGACCAAAAAATACCTTAAATTCTTTAAGGCTGATTGTTATATCGACTTCCCTTGCAATTTTATAAGTGTTAAAATCAGCTATTGGAATTTTCGCTTCGGTTTTCATCAGTTTGTTAGAATCTGCGAAAGTAAAAATTATTAAAAAACTGCTCTATGGTATATAACTATGGTATATATAAGTCAAAATATTTTCAGATTACCTAGCTTTTTTCCTAAGTTTTTGGTTACTTTTTATCGTTATTTCGTCGAGCTTAAATAAGGTCATACTTTTACTTATAAGAAAGTTTGATATACAAAAATTTTTACTCGTAATTTACAAAAAATTTGTACCACTGAATAATAATATATTAATTGACCTTGGTCCTTCGTAAAATAATTCTTTAATGAAAATGAATCTTTTCTCGCACACAACATTATGTCACCATTGTCCTGACGAATGTTTGAGAAAAGATCAGAAAGAAGACTTAAATTAAGCTCGATTATCGATTTAACCACATTATTTTTAAAAAATTCTATTTTTATTAAAGATATTAAAATATGGAACAAAATTGCATTTATAAAAGATTCGATACAATATAAATATATATTTATATATATTTATATTCATATTCATATTTAATGTAATGTTCAACAGTAAATAAAAATTATTAAAAATTATGAAAAAAATTTTGCAACCAGAGTGCAAGGATTGACACATTTAGGAAACATAGGTGCCGAACGCATATGTGGCCTATTAATATAATAGAAGAAGTAGCTATTATTACTTCTAGATATCAATACTTCCAGATTAGTCGTTCCTACCGCGGCGCTGAAACGGACTGAATCTCCATGGATCTGACCATGTTATGGTTAGAGCCAAGCTCCGCATAAAATTAAAAATCTAATCCCCTAAGATCCTTAAACTACCTCAAACTAAAAAATTCGGGCACAGTGAGCCCGAAAACCGAATTATTTCAAACCGAATTATTGAAGCATCTTAGTGATATAAATATCGATGACTTTTCTGGAACGGCAAATGAATACTGGTCCAAACTAAAGGAATGTCTCGAAAATTAGCCACTTCCACCCTAGGGCATACTAATAGTAGGAAATGTGCTAGTTGGGTATCGGAAGCAACTGTCCAACTGTCTGAAAAAGCTGCCAAAGCACGAATGTCAAGCGATCCTTACTACCGGCTGCTTCGAAGATTTGCAACGAAAGAGGCATGGTGGGACAGAAATCGGTACTGGAGTGACATAGCCTCAAAAATGGAGATGGCGGCTCGATTAGGCGATAACAGGAAACTATACCGCCTCCTTCATAAAGCAACTATGACTCGGGGAATGAACTCGGGGAACGATCAATGAAATGATAAGGGACAGCAATGGTGTACCGATCAAGAGTATTAAAGACTGCCTCATAAGATTGAAAGAATTTTTTGAGGCCAAACTTGAACTATGAAACACCATTTCTTGCCCGTGATACGCAGAACCATATGCTTACATTTGCCAGAAGAAATAATCTCTATATATCTATTATCCATGAGGCCAATAACACTCCACGAGAAGATGGTGTTCAGGCTAAACTCTAAATGTTGTTCATCGTCCTTCACCTTCAACGAATGTACTCTCTGGTATGAAAAAAAGAAATCTTATCAGATAAATGGAGGAAAACAATTCTGCTTCTAATTTTCAAGAAAGATGATAGGACATACTGCGACAATTATTGAAGAATCAGCCTACTAGACGTCTCAGCGAAAATATATTCGTAATATAGTACATAATATAATATATGTATTATAATATTATATTATTATAATAATATATAATATATATTCGTTTTTACTCTACAGACTTATGGAAGTACGGCAGTATGCGCCCTAAACAAGCTGGATTCAGAGCCAGGCGCGGTTGTGCCGATCAGATATTCAAGTTAAGAAGGGTGCCTCAAATATTTGCGACCCACTGTCACGTGTTTCATCGACTTTGCAGCTGTCTTTGATTCAATTGATAGAGAGGCACTTTGGAAGGTGATGGAAAGGTTCGGTATTCCAGAGAAGATCATTCGACTCATAAAGGCATTTTATGAGCGTATGTCGGAGTAGATGTGGGTATATGGGCAATAAACAGACTCCTTCGAAATAAGAGCTGGTGTCCGTCAAGGTTGTATCTTTTCCCCTACAATATTCAACTATACGATAGACTGGGTAATGTCGCTTGTCGACATTCAAGATGTGTACAAAACAGTCCAGAGCATCGTATCATAGATCATACGCTGATGATGTGGTCCTTTTTTCTGACAGTTATGATGAAATGCAAGTAATGCAAAGAACGTATCAGAAAATGCAAAAAGAATCGGACTCAGGATCAATGTAAACAAAACGAAAGTCTTTTCGTCTTATGTGTAAGAAACTGATAAAATGCCTCCTTTTATAAATTTCATTGCCGGTTAAGGAAGTGCACGATATGTTGGGTCCACTCTTATACCAAATGGTCAGGCAAAAGACGATATTACAACCAGGATCACGGCAGCTAGAAATGGGTTCTTCCGGACGAAACCTTTATGGCGCTGTCGTGAAATTACCATTAAAAGGAAAGTCAGCATCTATATATGGCTCATTCGATCTTGCTATATGGTTCTGAGACATGGCCAATGAGAGTGGAGGATATTAAGAAGCTATCTACCTTTGACAACTCTTGTCTAAGGTACATTTTACGAGTCCGTCGAGCGGATAAAATACCACATGATAGCATCCATCTTCGTTTAAATACCATTTGTATACATAATGTTATTACAGAACGTCCGCCTTCGCTGGTTAGGGCACGTTCTCCGGGGTCCAGGAATTAACGCATATTTCGTTATTTGCTAAACGGTGTGATGGTTGACGTCAAAAGCGAGGTGGGCCAATCAAGACCTGGACTGATACGGTTAGAAAAGAACGTATAGGTAGGTGGATGAGCAATATATGGACTTAGACTATGGAAAAAGGAATGGCTTCTACTACTGTCGACGATAGCATCTGACTGCGCCGCTTGAAAGCGTCTTATTCTTGTAACCGTTGGAGCCAGCCTTATCAATAATGGTGTGAGCGGCTAGAAGAAGAAGAAGAAGAATACTTCCAGACTTGAGAAGTAAGAAAATCTCTCTTATAATCAGTACAGCCTGACCATGAATGTTGCAAGAAGCTCAAGAAAAGAAGAATCTTAAAAGCGAATAAAATTCCAAGGAAATCCCATCCACATACCTCTTACCATTTATTTCGGATAAGATTAAAGATAAGTCGCCACTCAGTTGCATCTAATGATAGGCTTAATCCTACTGAAAAAAAGTGAAATAAAAAGAGAAAAATGAAAAAAATATAAATTACGAAACAATTACAACGAGATATATCGTTCAATACATTTTGTAGCATATTACTAGAAAATTCATAAATCTAAATACTTACGTCGATGAACTGACAATACAGTTGGGAAGTTTGGTTCTATCAACAATGTTTTTGAACGTCGCTGTACATTCAAAGAATGGTATTTCATACGATTTTACAACATCTAAAACAATTTTGAAGATAAATTAAAAATAAAATGGTCTATGAATTTCCTTGAAAGCATATTAAAATAAAAATCTATAATAAAATATTTATGCAAGTATGCCAAACAATTAGACCAGACCATTAAAAAAATGGATAATTACAAATTTGAAAAATTACTTAACATAAATATGAATAAGCTGAATAAGCATAGCATTTGATTTTGGATTAATGAACATTCGACATGATAAAACCGTTTTTTCATGATTCTTTACACATTTGAATGCCGACAATGCACACTAAAATTATAGAAAATGAAAAAATGAAAAAAATTCGCTTGAAAAATCAGAAAATCTAACAAATAATTTTAAAAGATCTGAAAAAGAAGTGCCTATGCTATTATAGTCATAAATTTTTTTTTTCCTATAACACTTTTTTTATTTCTGGTTTGATAGGTTACGTTCGCTATTAGAGTGAAGACTCGCTATTTAGAAATTAAATAATAGATAGGCCTTCAGCGCAATCCGCAGTACTATGCTTGGACTGATGGTCTGTGCAACAGAACACTGGTCGTATTACCTTCGCAGATGAAGGAATTCTGGCAAAAATTCTGAAGAAAAAATTTAACCTTCAATTTAATTTATAATTTAACAAACTTTCATAGATATTCGACAAAGATTATTTTCATTATCCTTAATCCTACCAATATCGCATTCACTAAAGAAGGAAGATGAAAAAATAAATGTCACATAAGCTGATTTACTACAGTTCAACGATTTCATTGAAAACTGAAAATAAAATAAAATGAAAACAAAAAAATAGCTTTATCGACTTGATAGACAAAGGACAAAACAAAACGGATTTTTTATCAATTTTTTTATTAAATCACTTGAAGAAGGAAAGAAACCCCCTCAGAAGTTGGTTCAAGATAAAGTTCTTCGCCAATTCGATTCAAAGTTAAAACTGCTCGAGCGAAGACTAAAAAAATTTTCCATTTATCAGATTCATCAAACGTTAGAATATTTAAAGATTATTAACAATTAACTAGTTGTAATTATGGCTTAATTCTTGTAAAATTTTATTAGATTTTGAAATTTTATTAATAAAATTAGAAAAATAAAAAAAATGATATTGATTTTGAACGTCCCTACACGTTCTTTGCTATGCACCACAAGAGTTCGTTAAACCCTGTGATGGATGGCATCAAAAGCAAGGAGGACCAATCAAGAAAAGATTTTGAACATACAAAGAAAAAAAATTTAAAAATAAAAAATTTGAGTTAAAATAAAACTTTTAAAATAAAATTAAAACAAAATAAAACAAACTGACAAAGTTTAACAAAAATTTCGGAATAAATTTCGAAACCTTTAAAATTGCCGTGCATAACATAACGAGCTCCAGCCATTATATCGCTTGAATCCATATCTTTTCTCGAAAAAAATCCTCTTCCTCTGCAAATTTCAATAGTACTTGCCTTCTTAGAATTTGAAAACTTGAAGTGCCATATTGATATAAAATAATCAGATTCAACCAGAAAGCATCGAAAATTTCAGCAAATCATTCAGTAAAAAACAGCTAAACAGAGTTTTTAATTTTTCTCGCATTTTCCCTAAATTACCACTCACTATTACAAATGAAATGAGAAAACAATAAAAATTTTCCTTCTTCTAATACAATTTCCGGTTTTTCCAGCACTGCCCAGACTTCACTTTAAATAAAAATTTACTCCTTTCATGGGCCAAAAATAGAAACCATAATGACAATTAGAGAAATTTACCACTCAACTTTCGTCATTTCGCTATATTATTATTAGAACTATTTGGTGAGGAATTTAGAAAATTTACGACAATATTAACAGATTTTAGACAGAATTAAAAATCATAATACACTGAGATTCAACTCGATTTGACCTCCGAAATTTTTATATTGTTTGAAACCGATCATTTTGTTTATATTTCATTCAAATTTTATTTTTAATTCCTTATTTCTGATTCAAATATTTAAGAGAACCGAAATAAAACGAAGAAATATCAGAAATACGTCCTCGATAAGAAAGAAAGTAAGCAAGTGGCTATTTACCAGAGAGCCACTTGGCGGCAGAAGTATACGTAGACCATCAACATCGCTCGGCTTTTTCTTCAAAGACGAGTTCATTTTTTTCAAGGGCAAAGGCCCTTAAGACGATAGTCTGGGTCAGTGCCCATTCGGTCATGCTACCCCCCTCCCCCTCTTAATAAGAAAGATTCAAACAATGAAATAAACTACGGAGAAATCTCTCTCTCTCGCAAATTTAAGAAACAAAAAACCATGCGTCCTACAACGAATGTTGGATTACGATAAAACATTTCGAAATTTTCAGTTGTCGCGATATTCTGAAATGTTTTATCGTCAATATTTCATTAATTTCGATATTGTTTATTTGTTTTGTTTCGAAATTTTGATTGTTCGGTTAAGAATAAATATTTAAGAATATTTTATTGCTATAATTACAATTATTCTCATTTTTCAGCCAATCAAATATTAATTACTTATTAATTATTATTTATTTCTATGCAAATCAATGAAAATACGAAAATTGTTGGTGAAAGTGTTGTGTTGGTTCCATATAAGCGGCAGCACGTCGTCAAATATCACAACTGGATGGAGGTTTGCTTCGTTGATCGCCCCTCTTATTGTCCGATAATCAGAGGAGCAGTCGTCCTCTGGGACGTGAGTAAAGTGTCGTAGAGTGGTGCCGGGAATCCAAGCTCTTCGTCACTTCTAGGTCACTCCTGTCCTAACAGTCAGCGATGTTCGTCGGACTTAATGATTACTAACCAATTGTTTTTAAAAAATTTGAAAAAAATAAGTAGGAAGAGGAGTTGACGAAAATTTGTAGATTTGTAGATATGCTGCTGCGATTTGAGTAGTATATCGCTCCGACTGAATTCAAGCATGAGTCCGTTTCTGTTGATCGACGGGACGGGACGGGACGGGAAGTCATTAAAAGCGAAATCCAGACGATGCTGGTGGTTCACTTGTTTTTTCTTTAAGTTACTCTTCGACGGAATTCATCCTAGTAGTCTCTAAAGCCAAGCGGTCCAGAAGTAATGCGTGCTAGGAAGAAGAAAAAGCGAGTGGTGCTAAAAAGATAGTAAATCATCGATGAAGAATTAATAAGGAACAGTTGGAAGTTATAAATGAAGGATGTGAGGAAAATGTGAGGATAGAATATTAACGAAAAATAAAACAGCGCATGGCTATAGGACGGGTAGAATATTCAAGTTTTTGTTAATATTATTTGGTCACTTTTGTGTTAAAACAATTTTTCATTTTTTAAAAATATCTTTCTTATGTTTTGAGAATGCCTCATTACGAGAATTAACCGCATCAGAACGTCTCAGTCTTGATGAAGAATATGAGATGCAACTTTCTTGGGCGAATGATGGCGATAAATGTACTTTTATAGTTCTTAGTCGATTTTTATTTGAACAACAAAGGAATGAAGTAAATTTTTATTTTAAATATTTTCCTTCATATTTGCATAATACTTTTACTTCTGTCTTCTGTCACCTAGCTATAACCCTTTAGCTTCACGACTACGTTGTGTTGTCCTAACTCTCTTTTAAACCTCATTTTGAATTTAATTATCATTTTAAGTTGAGAAGGGGATCTTATTTTAAAATTAAAGATGATCGATGTTATTTTGACTTAATTTAAATTAATTTATGATATTTTTTTTGAATTCCTTGTTTAAATTTTTCTTGCTCTCTTTTCTGCTTATTTTCATTGTTTTTATCTATTATCTTCTTTATCTTTTCTTTTCACGGTAAACCGTCTTATTTTTATTTTCTCTTTATTTGATTCTTATTTGCAGATTAATTCGATGGTTGGTGATGTTAATGTATTTATTAATAATGAGGTTGGCGAATTAGAAATTATGATTGCTGAAGAAGAATGGAGAAAACGAGGTTTAGCTTTCGAAACACTTAAATTAATGATTCGCTATTGTTTTGATCATTTGAACCTGGTGAAATTTGTTGCAAAAATAGATGAGAATAATCTACCAAGCATATTGTTGTTTAAAAAACTCGGTTTTATTGAAAATTCATTTAATGAAGTATTTCGTGAATTTCATTTCATCTTAGATAGTTCTAATTTGTTTCATGTTATCGGTGATGTCAATTTGCAAATAATGATTTATTCCTTTGAATAAACCAAGGATTGAACCAAGGATTTTCATTGCGAATTTTTTTATAATTTTTTCTTTTATTATCAATTTAGAAATTATAATATCCTTCCTATTTATATAGGCAAGGCAAAAAAAAGGAAGATGTTGTTAAGTTGCCATAATTTAAAAAATTCTCCGTTACAGATTTTTAGCTTTTCAGTGATTTACAAACTCCAGTTGAGAATTGTTCTTCTCTAATTCCAGTTTTTATGGGTTTAAGCGAAACTATGTCATACTGTTAAACGCAGATGAGGTATAAGCCACATTGGTAATAATTAACATTAATTGATAATAAGAAACAGTCAATCAGTTTTTATTTTCATTTTAATGATAGGTTTAGTGGTAGGTCATCAAGACACAGTAATCAAACCTTTGTTACTTCGGAAGAAGGTAACTAATCTGATTTTTATTTATAAGAAATTGGTTTTATTGATATAAAACTGATACGTTCTGATACGTATGCTTGCATTCGTAGCTCCTGACAGAAAAAGAAGTAATATCTATTATCCATAAGTTTAAGGCCAATAAGATAGGAGATATCTTCCCGATCTGAACTCTTTAAATCCATCGTCCTTCATAACGCACCTTCAACAAATATACTGTCTGGTATGGGAAAAAGAAATATTGCCAGATAATTGGACAAAGCAATTCTGCTCTCAATTCTCAAGAAAGGTGATAGGACATACTGCGACAATTATCGAAGAATCAGTCTACTAGACATCTCAGCGAAAATATATTTCCCTTTTACTCAACAGACTTATGGATATACGGGACAGTATGCGCCTTAAACAAGCGGGGTGTGATTTTACTGATTAGATTTTCACGTTAAGAAGGTATTGGAACATCGCTTTATATATTTGCAATCCATTGTCACGTGTTTCATCGACTTTGTGGCTGATTCTATTGATAGAGCGGATCTTCGGAGGGTGGTGGAACGCGACGGTGTTTTAGAGAAGATCATTCGACTCCTGAAGGCATTTTATGAGCATATGTCGGGGTAGGTGTGGGTATATGGGCAATCAACAGACTCGTTCGAAATAAGAACTGGTGTCCGTCAAGGTTGTATCTTTTCCCTTACAATATTTGACTATGCGATAGACTGGGTAATGGACACCGCTTGTCGACACTCAGTGGGTGTCCAAATAAGTCCAGAGCAAAGGTAGATAGTTTCTTAATCACTTTTTAGATCTTGAATATTGATGATGTAGTCCTTTTTGCTGACTATTATGACAAAATGTAATGCTAAATAACATCTCAGAAACTACAGCAAAAATCGGACTCAGGGTTAATGTAAAAAACGAGTCTTTTCGTCTTATGCTCAAGAAGATGGTAAAATACTTCTTTTTTAAATTCATTGCAGGTCGAGGAAGTGCCCGATTTTAAATACCTTGGGTCCACTCTTATACCAAATGGCTAGACAAAAGACGATATTATCAGGATCATGGCAGCTAGAAATGGGTTCTTCCGGTTGACGAAACTTTTATGGCGCCGTCGTGAAATTACCATTAAAAAGAAAGTCAACATCTATATATGGCTCATTCGATCTTGCTATATGGATCTGAGACTTTACCAATGAAAGTGGAGGATATTAAGAAGCTAACTACCTTTGACCACTCTTATCTAAGGTCCATTTTACGGGTCCATCGAGCGGATAGGATCTCCCATGATCGCATCCATCTTTGCTCATATACCACTTGCATTAGCAATGCGGTTAGGAGCATGTTTTTTCATTGTTAACCACGGGAGTTCACATATATTTCACTACCTGTGATGGATAACGTCAAAACTAGGAGGGCCAGTCAGGATTTGGATCGATAGAGCCAGAAAAGATTTTCGTATAGGGAAATCGGCGGATATATGGATTTAGATGGAAAAAGGAATGGCTTCTATTATTATCAGCGATGGCGTTGGACCGAGCAGCTTATCCTTGTATCTAATGGAGCCAGCATAACCAGTAATGGTGAGAGCTATTAGAAGAAAAAGAAGAAAGTTTTATTGAATTAGACTATATATATTATATATATGTATATATACTATATATATTAATGTTTAAATTCTGGTGCTACAAGAGGCAATAGATCGGAATTATGCAAATCAAAATTTAGAAAAAAATTTAACTTCGCGCTTTATTGGTACTATAAATAAATAGAATGATTGCTATGTGAAGTGGTTTTTACTACGGCTAATTTTAAGAATATATTGAAAAAACTATCTCTAAAGTTAAATAATTGATCCTCAGCTTCGAGAAATTGTATATGCATCAGGCTCATGCATATGCTTCGCCATGCATTGCGATGGTATTATGCCTTTTTTGAATAAAAATAAATAACATCACATGGTTTTTCATCCAGAAATTGCATTAATCAAATTATCTATCTAGTTAATTGAATTCAATTTGTTGTTCATTAAAAATAAAATGGAAAAATTTCGGGATTTTTAATTATTTTCATGTTATTTAAAGATGAATATTCTATTCCAAATCATTTATTTATATACTTTTAAGATTTGAATTTATAAAATAAAGGATGAGCGAATTTCAGTCGAACAAACAAGAAACAAGTCTCAACAAAACAACAATTTTATAAAAGATTCGGGATTTGTCTGTTTTTCATAACAATAAGTACCATTTAATGAGAAAATAGGGATGGTTATATAGTTGGGAATTCAGAGAATTTTTCATTTAATAATAATTTAATACAATAGAAATTCAAATGAGGCAAATTTTAAAAAAACAAAAAATGAAGGTTCCATGAACCATCACACCTTTTCAACGGTGATTAAATAGGTTTCCCAGATATAGTACCGATTAATTACCGATGAAATTTGCATTTGAAAAATTAAGAATTTGCAGTTAATCAGCAGGTTGCACATTTTGGCAAATTCCGTTAATAGCGATTTGCTTCATGGGGCAACTGCTTTCACATCTTGTAATATATTGCCCATTAAAAAATCTTTTAACTTGTACTTGATAGCTGGGACAAGGACCTAAATGATGATTATTCTCTTTGATAAGGTTTACCAAATAGTTTTTAGAAAATTTTGCCAGAGCATAATCAGATTTTCTCCTTATGAAATATTATACCTAATTTTGATAGAAATATTTGCAAAGCTCACTTTTTATTTGCTTGTTGTTTTTTGCAACATTTTGGTGAAAGATTTGCGTTCGTTGCACTACTGAACAGCATTGATCGACTCCACTTCGAATGCTTCGTACACATTCATATCCACTGGGACAAGAGCTAGTCCTCATATTACTACACTGTACGGGTGTTCCAGTAGACGGGAAGAGTAAAGCTTTCGAGCCAATCGGGCAACCGTCATCTAAAATTCGTTCTACATATATTCTACATGTACTTTTTGCTTATTCGATATTTGAGACCACTGTAATCAGCTAACTTCCAAATGATCGTTCACTTTTACTCCTTTACGAATGAACTGAAAGTTGATATTGATTTTGAAAGGATTAACTGATTGATTGATAGAATATTGGGCAATAAGTAACCTAAAACTTTACTGCAACAATAATAATTCCTTGCTTTAGCCGAGAATTTACATTCATAGGCAGATGGGCATCGTATTCGAGTACATTCTTGAGGAACACCATCAATAAGATATGCTGTTCCTTTATCACACATATCAGTAGAATTTTGTAGATCTGGTGATCCAACCAATGGTCGTCCACAACATACGTTTAATTGCGATGTTCGACTTCGTTGACAATTAAAACCTTTCGGACATGTATTCTTCGATGGTGAACAAAAGCGTACCTGAAACCTACAAGTGTTTTACTTCTGCAGTCATAACTTTCGGTGACAAATCTATTCCCCACTCATTATATAACCAGTTCTATTCAGCAATTTTATTTTCTGGCTTGTTTCTCTATTTAAAGGTTTATTAAAGGTTTAAATTAGCAGAGAAATCGTGATTTTTTGATAAAATTTCAATTCGGCGGGATAAGTAATAAGTTAATGTCAAAAAAATCTTCAGCGTTTCAGTTTTAGTGGCAGATTTACTTTATTAATGGATAAGAATCAAGGCTATACTGCAGTAGCAGTGAACCAACATATAAATGAATGGTTTAACTATTATGCCCAATTAACTTTTAACTACAGTTTAATAAAATTGGTAATCAACACAAAAAATTCTACCCTTGTAGTTTCCGGTTCAATATATGGGACTTGTCCAGCAATAGGACACTCATTAGCGAGTTTACTGGAAATTCCGACACATTTTGAATTAACAATTCGTTGCCCTGTTTGACATTCGCAGATTCCGGCTTTACACGTTGATTTACCCTGACATTGCGCATCAATTTCACAAAATTCACCAGGATCAACCAGATTCAAACATTTGTCTTCCACAAGAATCTGAGTAGATAAACATCCTAAAAAAAGAATCACAGGTTTCCATTTTCTAAAAATAGATACGCTGCCAGAATTTCAAGTGTAATAAAATATTATTCGTCAGATTCTTCAATCAATTTTCTAGTAATCCAAAGCATTTTAAAGTGAAATTTATTCTGGAGATCAACCGATACTAATACCATGACTCTTGGGCGAAGGAATCTTACCCCAATAGCCAGTGGACCCAACTAAATGCAGTGATATTAGAAGGAAGAAAGGTAATTTTCATAAAGTTTTTTTTTTTCATTCTATATTTTTGTATAACTTTTGGAATTAATGAATATGGTGAATTAATGAATATGGTGAAATATTTCGAGAAATTTGTTATTTGAATTATTAAAATAAATATTTGGTTGAATTAGATGAAGTTTACCTTGCCGACATTTACCATCAACATTTGTCATACCAGGAGGACACGAACAAATACTGTTTGCACAGATCGATCCATTCGGACACTGTGCTTCCTTCTTACAGTTCCCACCGATCGGTGATTTGTTTACACAAGTACCACCGTCTTTAACTTGTGATTCACGACATGCTGTAAAGATAGCTTCATTATGATAATTTTGACAGTTTTCTTCATATAGATTAAATGCTGTTAAGTTGTTGAAAAAATAAAAAGTAAAATTGTCTGAATCTGCTTTAAAACATTTTTAAAATATAAAAATATTTTTTCAACCTGAAGCATCATCAGTGCAGCAAATTTGATTTCCAGAATGTAGTCTTTGGCAAGAATAACCTTCTGGGCAATTGCTTTGACCAATATTACATAATTCAGGTTCACCATTTATGCCGATAAATGCTACCTAAAAAATCGAGTTCAAACCAATTGAGGTCGGAATAAAACACAAAAGTAATTAAAATTAATATTTTTGTCACATGGATTTACTTGATCATTTGGGCATCCACCACTGATACCGCAACATTGAAATTGACTATTAATCGACGAGAATTGGCAGAAATATCCAATTGGACAATCCTGAGCTGCTGCAGTACAAGTACGAGGTGTTGCTGATCCAGAATTTTTGTAAGCCACTTGATTCGATGGACAGCCAAGAGATGCTTCTAAAGCCATCATCATATGATCAAAATTTTTCACCACTTTATTTGGACATTTGATTTCTTTGGCCTTTAAATTAATCATAATTTTTGTTCAGTGAAAATTCATAGAAATAGGTCTAATTAAGATTGCAATTAACTTACTTTTTATGGTTTTTTCAAAAACAACGGGAGTGGATCCGCAGCATTGATATTGTTGATTAGCAAGTGACCACTGACATGAATAACCAGTTGGGCACGATGCATCGTTCGAGTTAAATGGATCACACATAACAATGTCATTGTCCTTGACGTAAACATATTCATTAGGTGGACAGCCATCTGTAAATTTTTTTCCAGTTTTTCTTTATATTCGTTTTTTAGTGGGAATTTTATGAAAATAACAAATAAATAAATGACAACTTTCGACATTTTAAAGCTAAATTAATAAAAAAATTTTTGTCACCTGAAACCGGTTCTGCTCCACCTTTACAGCAATATCCAATGCTAAATTCATTTTGTGTACTTTGACAACTATATCCAGACGGGCATGTAATGAACACTCCTGGCGTACAGGACCGTGGCATTTGTGTTGATTCTTCAATGTAGAAATCCACTTTGTTTGGGCATAAATAGTTCGATGAGCAGCAGTATCCCTGAATAATTTACAACTTTTCTTATTCTCCGAGCTGATTGTGATAGAAGTGGTGGGATTTTTGAAAATCAGAGAAAAAATCAAGGAAAAGTGAAGTATTAAAAAAAGTATTAAAAATATGAAGCCGGCCCAGTCTTTTTTGTGATTTTATTGAGCTGAAATTTAAATCCTAATTAATGGGTTCAGTGTTGGTTAAAAGTTCTTTCTGTTAGCGATTGAATGTATTATAACCTGAAAAGCGCCTGGAAGATTAGATTGACATGAAAATCCACTCGGACATTGATTTCTATTATTCTTTATAATACATCTCACAGGATTTTTCGTAGATGATTCTTTGTAAAGCGCTTTCCCCGCAGGACATAGATCTAAATTTATCAATAATGCTTTAATGATAATTTGATTAATTTGATTAACGAAATGAACAAATGACATTTTCAAAAAGAAAAGAGAAAATATTGTTGTTCTTTGAATATTTTAACTGTAAAATAATTAAAGCAAATGAGAAAAACTGATGTGAAAAAGTTTTCAAAGGATGTTTTAAATGAATTTGATGGCTAACCTCCACTTATAGAAGCACAGCAATAGTAACGACTTCTCTGAGCATTAAATCGGCACAAATAATTCGATGGACACGAGTTATCAACATTTATAAGACATTCTCGAACGCTCATATCCACAGCATTAACATAAGCTTTCTCGCCTTCCGGACAGACATCTTGAAATTTTAAATACTCTTAAAATTTCAAAATCCAAAATTTAAATTCAATTTATGATTTTCAAAAGCTTCAAATTATTCAGAAAGACAAGAATGATATAAAATATACAATACACATATGTAATCACATTTTCGAAAATTTCAGAAATATAGATTTACCGTATTAAAAGTAATTACCCATGTTTGAAGCTCCGCAACATACACTACGTTCGGATAGTTGATCGTATGTACACATGAAACTGTTCGGACAACTATTACTTATGCCAGCATTACATTCGTATGGTAATCTAGTATTTGGATTAACATAGGCGACATCACCTGGTGCACATGCAGCTGATAAACAGAAATTATTGCATTGTTCAAGCGTGGCAAAATTATTTAAATTACCACTGCAACCGTTATACGTGAACTGTGTGCATTCCTTGGTAACGATATTGAAATAAAAGCGTGACGTTGCTGATGAACTACATGAACTTTCCTGTTGAGGTGGTAGCGAACAGATATAAGCTTAAAAGTTCCAATTTCAATTAAAAAATTATTAAATATTTGATGAAAATGGAAGAGCAGAATAGTCAAGCACCATAGGTTTTTTCACCTTGATATGAACTGATCATTAAAATTGAAAACATTAATATAAGGTTTCTCACCATCCGAATGGTGCTAGAGAATGGTGCTATTTTCTACCCACAATTGACTATGGTGAAAAGATTTCGTCCTAAGAACATTAAACCGGTCGGACCAAAAACGGTGAATGTTGTAAGAAAAAATAGAAAAATACTAAATGATAGGATTTTTTTATTAGAAAATTAATTATATGACTATAATTCATTAATTTCTGATGTAAATTTTATATAAATACACAAGCAGTTCGCACTATCCCACTTTTCCAGCGGAGATCCTTGGTCAAGACTCTCTGCCTTACTTTAATCTTCCAGGCCTCTGATCCTCTACTAAAGGCCTTGGAGCTTGAGGTTCAGATTCTGCAATATCTTAGCTGTTCCTAGCAGTGCAGTGCCAGCGTTCTCCTAGATAGAGATCTTTGATGTTGTTCTTGGAATCTGCTAAAGCCACTTTTCTAGATTAAGGGTCATAATTCCAAGTGTTCCAATTATCACTAGAATTGCTTTGACCTTTACTTTCCACATTTTCTCTAGTTCCTCTTTCAGCCCTTAGTATTTCTCTAATTTCTTATATTCTTTCTTTCTCTCCTGTCCCTTGGTAACACTATATCAATCACCAGTGCTGGTTTCTGGTTTCTGATTCTTATCTACTACCACGATATCTGGTTGTTTGGCTAGTGCTTGTTTATCTGTCTGGATAGAGTCCCACAGATAAATGTATATGGTAGATTTCGATGAATCTGGTGCTTAATGTTGCTCCTGTACTGCTATGGTCAATGCTCAATATTGCCTTTTAGTCCGGCTTTTTCCAACCACTGATAGGATTTCACAGTGCCAGTTATTTGACGATGGTGCAACCCATAGAGCGCCTTGCTTTGCTATGTTTCCTATGCTTGATCGTTTTCCAATGCCTGTATGCTTTAGACATTCTCTTTGCCATCTTGCTGATATATTTCTGGATGCTTCGAGTTTCATTCAAGATAGTGGTTTTCACACTCATTAAGCCTCACCCGCCTTCTTTTGGGCTGGTGTATAGTCTTTGTGTGTTGGACTTGGAATGGAAATTTCCCTGTGTGAGGAGTTTCCTGGTTTTTACATCAGTAGCTTCCGTGTCTTCCTCTGTCCATCTTGCAATGCCATCTGCGTATTTGATGACTGACAGCACATATGACATGGCTTTTGTTCTTCCCACTGGGTTAATTTTTCAAAATTTGTTTTATGCTTTGGTGATGCTTAAAAATTGTATCCTCATCATGATTACCATGTGACTATGGGATAGCAAGGTACTTGTAGTCGGAATGTCCTCTATATGTCCTGATGGCATGTTCATTAGTCATTAATCATTCTTCTCTCCTCTTTATTCGGCCACATTTCTCTAATCCGAATGTCCTCGCTGTATAACGGAGTTAGATGGATGGACGAGTCGATGTTCTCGTTCATTTTTTCCACATAACTTGATATCGTCCATGTAGAAAAGATGGCTTGTGATAGTCCGGCTCTTAAATTTATATCCACCTTTGTTTCTAGTGATTATCGGACGACTGAAGGAGTTTAGACCTATGCAGAATATTAAAGGAGACAATGCATCACTTTGGTTGCACTTGATAGCTGCTTGTGGCAACAATCAACAATCTGATAACAGTCTGATTCGAGTTGGTTTCAAGTATCGTTTTTCGCAGTCCCACTGAGTTCTCAATGGACGCCTTTACGATCCTGTTGATTTTGTATAGAGCTAGACACTAACAGATCCATTTGGGATGCACTGAGCTTTCTTACAATCAATCCAAGCTGTATACAGATTGATCAGCAGGAATTCTATGTCTAGGGCCGTAACTATGAGCAACTTGTGTTTGGAACCACTGATGTTGTTCCCAATACCTTTTTGAACTGCACTCATATGCTGACTCATATGGTCATGAAGCTTTATAACTATGATACCCGACAGGATATTGTGGATAGGCAGCATGGTCAACAATTGGACGGCGTTATGAGGGCCTTTATGAGGCTCTTTCACTTGTCTTGCGTTAAACAGCCTAGGTGAGAGCCTGCTAGAAGCATCTGGTTCATCTCTGTCATTGGGCACTCATGAACGGCTATTAGCTTCTTTAATCAGACCAGATAACAGACAAATTTTCATATTATGAGTTGGATATCAGCAACTGTGATGGTAACTGGTTAACTGGTTCCTACTCTGACTTGTTGTGCTGTATCTTAGATCTTGCAACCACTTTGCATTGGCACTATGAATCTTCTGTTTCTCCCATATATTCCAGTATTATATAGTTTTATTTAGTCTTCCATTATTATATAGTTTCTGCTATTGTTACCATATTACTGCACTGAATTTGAGTATATCTTGGATGGTTCCTTGGCGAATGGCATTTATCTTTTTACCCTCTGCTTCTCTACTATATCTCCTTAGCCTAATGGCTGTGAGCCTTTGTTTAAAAATCTTGAGGGCTTCTATGGGGTGAAACCGTTGCATTTTCTCCAATATCTGGATAATGTTTTTATTATTTACTTCCTATAATTATATCAACTGTCTAACTTTTCTGCTCTTTTGTACTCACATATTATTTTCCAGCCTCTTTTTCCATGGCCTAATTACGTCAATCTTTTTAATTTTACCACCATCACGAGAATTAAAGTGGCTGTGGCGTACATCAGTCCGTTGATTTCTGTCGTAGTGGCAGTAGGAATTGTTGCGAGTGCTCTATTTGCATCTTCAATTATATTATCTGGTGTTGCATCAAGCCTAAGCCTCGGTAGTCGGTCTCGATGGTTAATTACTGCCATTTTATTTATGCATTTCTGCCTCATTCCAACTTCCCAGCTTTTGCATGCGCACCTCTCCTTTCTGAACATTCTGCATTTGGGATGTAGCGCTAAATTGATCCATCTCCAACTGAAACAGCGTTCCTCTTTCTTTTGTACATGAAGCATTGAGCCACTGTTTCTCAGTTAATGTAGACGCAGGGCTTTTTTTCATCCATAGTGCCTTCATACGTTTCATATAATCTCTTTGATTAGGTCTACTATAATATAGCATTCTATCAATTCCAGATAATCTTGCTCATGTAAGGATTGTTCCAATAGCTTTTTTAACGCCAGACTGATTCCACAACTAGCGGCGTCCCAGTAATCCACTTGTCTCACCAGAGAACCCTGGCACCTCTGATGCGGATCTTGTTAATTCAGGCAGCATCCGAGCCAATTCTAATATAAAAAACTCTACAGAAACTCTCATAATGAGGTAGTACAGGTATGAATTAAGGGAGTATTACTCAAGGACTCCACCAGAAACGTAGAGGTCCGGACGAATACAGTTTTTTATACAATGTTGGTCGCCAGCCTTTAATCACTATACTATTTATATATATATATATGTGTGTGTTTATATATCATTTCAGTTATTTATCCAAAATATTTTCCCTCACCTCTAGTGGGACAACATCGATTTACAACGCTGCTGCCAGAATTTACTGATGTACATTCATGAGTCGGTGGACATGATGAACTAGAAGAGCAAATAATTAAACGTCCCAATTCATTATGTTTAGGTGTACCACCATTTGGACAACCACCAACTCCGCAATAATTTTCACATTCTTCACGTGTAGCAAAATTATTTGGATTTCCATCACATCCTGCAAATTTATCATTTTTATTGCTCCTCTTAATTGATTTACTATGTTTAAATATTTAACAAAAAAATTAATTAAAATTAAATCTGAAGCTGATTGACATTCTTATCAACAGGTAATCCATACTGTGAAGGGATTTCCAGGATTAGCTGAAAAAATTTCAGCTAATCCCAAAATCGCAAATCAGAATCTTTGCGAATAACTGAAATTGAAGTGAACCATTTTTTCGCCACAATATTTTGCAAATCATTGGTTTAATTTTATAAAATGAAATTTTACCGTTGTAGAGGAAGCTTTCACATTCCTGTGTTTGTGAATTATAGTAATAGCGATGTGATGACCCAGCGCCGCAAGTTACTCCTTTATTAGATGAAAGTGTGCAAGTATATGTTTTAGTTGGACAACAACCCCATACAAAACCATCATAATAACATTCATAATTAACCGGACATATATTGCCACTGCCAGAATTTGAACACACATAATATTTGCCTTGATAATCTTTGTATGCATCACCGTGTGGACACTGTGGTTCTGCTAAAATAGAGCTTTAGAAAGAAAGCTAATCTTTGATTCTAACATCTTAGCTGGGCAACTTTTTATTTTCAGTCCAAAGTCTAAAATTTTTGTATTTTAAATGAAATTGGCAATCAATTAAATTTCATCATGTAAATTTGAAATATATTGATAATCATATTTTTTGGACGACAGTCTGCAATGATTTATTTATTTTTAGGAGCCTCAATTAAGATTTCAAAATGCATAGGCGTCTCAATTACTAGACGGTGAAAAAAAAGAGCTTCAAGATGTGGTGTCAGATCGAAAGATGTATAAACTCTTAAGCTATATAAGCTTCACTCTTTTAGCCAGTATAGCTAGCTTAGCTAGCCAGCACTACATACATAGATAAAGAAAAGTTTCAAAATCAATCCAAGATCATACTTACGGATGATATTTTCACAAGTATTTTGGCAGTCCAGCAGAGTTTCAAAGTTATTATCATTCCCTTGGCATCCACTATAACTGAAAATTTCACAGGCTCTAGCTACTGCATTATACCAATAACGTCGAATACTTTGCTTACAATCACCTGGTCGAAGTGGCTGTGAGCAAATTGCTTCTAAATTTTTAGCAGTTAGTATGCAAATTATTTAAATTATTGAAATTATTGGTGTCCTAATTTTTTTGAAGTTTTTGCCTTCATTGATTTCTCGTTAAATTTATAGCTAAAAAATGATAAAATTATATAAACTGACGCGGTCGAGGGCAACAAACATTATGATCAGTTTGGCATTCATGAGTGCTAGGACATTCTGAATTACTGTTGCATCTCTGGTTATTTGCACCAATTTTAAGCGGGGCGCCATAGTTACATTGAAGCCTAGCGCAGAAAAATTCACATTCAGAAGCTGTCTTGAAATTATTAAAATTCCCGAGGCCACCATTGTATATAAATGATATGCATCGCCCTTGTTGAACATCATAGTAGTAGCGATTAGAAACTGCGTAATTAACCTCGAATGTTCTAAATTTCTGTTATAAAACAGCAAAAAAAAGAAATTTAAAAAAAAAATAATTTTTTTGATTCAAGGGTTATAGGAATAATCTCTAACTCTCTTCATATTTTTCGAATAAGAAAGTCTTTAACGTCACTTCTATTTACTTCTAATAACAGGTTCGCTCCGATAAAGAGGCATCAATTTTGCTATACTTTACCAAATAATGCCTGAACTATCACGCATTTTCTCCACTTAATTCATCGCAATATTAATCAACACAAAAAAAAACGATAGCGACGATAATCATAAACTGGAAAATCAACAGTGAAATTTATTATGTCTCTCCGCCCGTCATCTTCGAACAACCGTTACCATTACTGGTTAAGCTGGCTCTGCTAGCTATAAGGATAAGAAATTTCTAAGCTGCGTGGTCAGATACCATCGCTAATAGAAATGGATGCCATTCCTTTTTCCACCATATATTGCTAGTTCAAAATTTTTCGTGGCTCTGTCAATCCAGATCTTGATTGGCCTATCCCCTCTCGCTTTGATGTATTGATCCATTTAGCAAGTAAAGAAATATGTGTCAACTTTTGTGGTAAGCGACGAAAAATCAACCGTAACCAGCGAAGGCGACGCTCCGTGATCCTATGTTAATTGCGGCTGCTATTTGAACAAAGGTAGATGCAATTATTGAGATTTTATCCGCTTGGCAAATCCGTAAAATATATCTTAGACATGAGTGTCAAAGGCAGATTAGTTCCTTAATATCCTTCATTTCATTCAATCCTTCATTCTCATTGGCCTTGTCTCGCAGCATTGTAGAAAGATCGAGATCGAGTGAATTGCAGTTATATGGACGCGGGATTTTGTTTTTGTGGTGATTTCCCGACGACTCCATAAAGATTTCATCAACCGAAAGAATGCATTTCTAACTACCGTTATACGGGTTGTTCGTCTAATTTCGTCTTTCGCTTGTCTGTCTAAAATAAGAATGGATCGAAGATAATCGCGCGCTTCATCAACCCATAATAAATTGATAGTAATAGGTATTTTACCAGCTTATTATATATAAGACGAAAAGACTTTATAAGACGAAGACGTTTTATTTACATTGAACCTGTTGATTTTCGTTGCATATTGTTTGGCATTATTTGTATTTCGTCAGTGAGAAGGGTACATCATCAGTGTATTCAAGATACGATGCTCTGGACTAATTTGAACATTTCTTGTGTGACAAGCGATGTCCATTATTCAGTCAATCGCACAACTGAATATTGTAGGAGAAAGGCCTTAATGGACACTAGTCCTTCGAAGGAAATGCCTTTATGTGTTGAGTGATCATCTCTGGAATACCGCTTTCCATCACACCTCCAAAGCGCCCTTTTATATAAATCGAAGGCAACTATTCAGTCAATGAAACACAGCGGTGAGTTATAATATTTGAAACGATATTCCAACACTCTTCTCGTGAATATTCTGGTTAGCAGTACCAAATCCAGCTTGACTAGACCGCATCCTGCTATCTCGCATTGTCATAAGTATATCCAGTTGAAAGGAAGCAGATTTCCCATAAGATAGGCTAATTTCTTGATTCCTCAGTGCAATTGTCACAATATGTCTTGCTATCTTTTTTGGGGATCTTTTTTGAGCAAAATTGCTCCAGTAATCTGGTATTGTTTCCTTCTTCCATCATTAAGCTCATGGACTATTTTCCATTCTGCTGGCGGTTCGCAGTTGCAAGTATATGGCTCGACGAGCGATTCAGCTATGTCTGGCGCAACAGTTGGTACCTCATGGCCTCAAAGAAGTTCGCCTCTCTTTCCTTCCACTTTATGAGGCGATCTTTAATGGCTTTAACAAGCACACCATTACTATTCCATATCATTTTCATTGATCGTTCGCCAAGTTATAGTTGCTTTGGGAAGAAAACGGAATAGTTTCCTTTTATTGCCTAATCGAGCCGCGGCTCCATTCTCAAAGCCATGATGCCCTAGTAATAATTTCTATTCCGCCGTACTATTGAAATTCTTCGAAATATCTGATATCAGGATTTTCTAACATTCGTGCTTTGCTAATCTTTTCTGATAGTTGAACAGTTGCTTCCGTTAGCGAACTAGCGCATTTCCTACATTGTACTATGGAAATGACTTCTGGATACATATTTTTAATTGGGACCAATATTCATCCACTGTTCCAGAGATAACGTTGATGTTCAATCCACTGAAATGCTTCAATAATTTGTTTTGAAATGCACTGTCCTTGAAACTTTTAATTTGAGATAATTAAAAGATCTTAGGAGACGTTGTTTCTTGAGAGTTTTATGCGAATCTTATCTCGAATCATAACATGGTCTGATCATAAAGATCACCAGTTTCAGCGCCCCTATAGGAACGACTATATATTATGGAACTCTTCCAATGGCGACCGAATAAATATAATCAATCTGGTTGCAATGTTGGTTATCCGGGGAGTTCCAAGTGATTAGATATCTTTTACGATGCCTGAAGTATATATAAGTAACAAAAAGTTCATGCATGCTGTTTGGCGAAACGAAGAGATATTAGCAGTTGAAGCCCCTCATAGAACTTATCCTTACCACTCTGCGCATAATATTGGAGCATATATATTGATGACCGAAATATTGCAGAACTTTCCTTTGAAGCGAGCATAGGACATACGGTCTTTTACCTCTTTCCACTCAATCAGAGCAGATCCAGCTTTTGCAGAGGCAACACTACGCCATTTCGGGCTATCCGAAACACTACAGTGACATAGCCCATTAGTAATTGCGCGAGTGCCGAAGAAAACGGATTTCCGACAAGCGATATCCACACGATATAATAGAAAGAATATGGATAGTTATGGTTTGGTTTGCAACATCCATAAGCATTCTCTCGTTTCACGCTGCTACGGCTAACATCTCGCTGTGCGTGCATAGAGCCGTTTACCTTCTGAGCAGTTATCCTGGCTCATGACCACATATTATTTACTAGCCTCGGGATCGTTTTACGCCCAGATTGTTTACTTACTGCATGTACCACCGAGCTGGAAATCATATGCAGAGGATGATGATGCCGCACCAAGAACATAAAACTTTTTCTCGATAGAGTTATAGGTGCCCCTAGGGCTCCTAGCAGCCACTCGGATTTTTGATATGACAGGTTTATCTCTATTGAAGACAAGGATGAAGTATAAACATCGAAAAATTAAAAAAATTGAAAATTAAATTTAAGGGAAAAATAAACTAGAAAAAAAATTTAGTGTTTGAATTGTCCAAATGAAGAATTTTCTAATAACCAATAATCTTTATTTTTTTCATCTCAATATAAGGGCGCTTTATTGCTATGTAAAGTAACTAATTACTTTTTTAAAGTATATCCAGGGTCAAAGTTTGTAAGCCGATAAGGAACAAGTGGACGTCCACCCGCATTACTACAAATACTCGCGATAGTTGGACAACAAAGTTGCATCGAACCAACATTGCTACATTCATAATTCGTCATGCATGAATTAGCTGTTTGGCAATTACCGACCCGTTCGTCTTCGCTCATAATACTTCCAGCGAGATATTGCGGTGCTCCACGTTTACATGCTACAAAAATTAGATAAAAAATAGGAATAAAAAGTTCTTAAAGTTTTTGACCAGTACAACAAATATTTCTGGCCAATGTAAACGACTGGCTCACCATTCCCTACTAGAATAGCTCCACTCGCTGTTAGTAAGATAAGAAATTTTTGCTAGGAGTCAGTAAGATTTAAATGTAGAAGTAGAGATATCAGTGGATTGTTCTGATATATGTTCTGATTACTATATCCTTAATAATTTAGTTATCTTATCTCAGAATTTTAAAATAAGATGGATCAATCCGACTTGATTAAAATTAAATATTTTCGAATCTTACTATCATGACAATAAGACTCGCAATGTTGGCGGGTTTTAAAATTATTTGGTGATTGCATTTCGGTTTCATCCCATGGGTCCCACATAAACTGCTCACAAGCACCCGTTACTGCATTGTACCACCAGCGTGGTCGGATTCCAGCTGCAGAAGATAACCCAACATCAGCTTCCCTTTTCGGTTGAATACATGTAAAAGCTAAAAAAAGTAGCACTTGGATTAAAAACTCACAGTTACGCTAAGTTTTTTAACGCTTTTTCTTGCAAAATGAATTAAATTAATCAAATATTATAAATGAAAAACTGTGAGGAACCTCTATTGGGACAACAAATTCCATCAGCAAGTGGATGAATGTTGTAAATTTCTGACATGACTGCTTTTGCATCTTGCATGGGAACTTCAACGCAATCATAGATATCAGCAATATAAATGCCTTCGGCACCCTCTTCTACATTATCAGAAAATACGCAAGCACCACCACCATTTTTACTGAATCGTTTGTAGTCTGTTGATCTGGATGAACAGAACTGCAGTGGATATATGTTCTCGCCTATGGTAATCTAAAAGTTGAAATAGATCGACATCAAATTAAAATTTTTTCTGTTCAAATCGTTAATAATTTGATTCCTCATCCCTAATATTGGATAAGATGCAAGAAGATTTAATGCTTAAACTAAAGCCAGACCTTTATGGATTCGGTTTTTGCTCTTTTGCTCTTGAAAGAAAATAAACCTATCGCTGGGCCCAGGTACACACCACTTTCTCATGCCCATCGATCCAGTCTCATTACCCCACTCCTAAAGTCAGCAACAAATGAGATAGGGGAATAGGGGGAAGGTTAAAGAAAAAAGAATTTTAAATAAGTATTATTTGTGTTATTTGTATTTTGTTTCGTTTTATTTTATCTTATCTTTATCTTAGTCAAAACATTGGAAAGATCAATATCCTCGTTTTCTAGCAATTATTATAAATTCTAACAGGTTCATCACTGGTCATTGCTGGATTTCTTAGCTGCGAGACAGGCATAGCGAGAAGATCATCATCATATTCAGGCAATGGACATTTTGGAACGGGATCTCCATCTTCACCAGCCTTTAAGACACAAACAAACCCATCACGAGTATGTGCTTGAACATAAGGGACTCCATTCACGGCGTCGGGGCATACACATTGACCATTTTCGCACTTTGCTTCTGGCCATATTGCGCTGCACTGTTCATCATAATTACAATCACTTTCTCCTGGATTCTTCTCTGTAAATCATTCATTTTACAGCAATTAATCAAATTTTTTCAGTTTCTATTTTGTTATCTACGGCAGCAGATAATGAATATGCGAGCAATTTTTCATAACAACAAATTAATGCAATTTTGTGAAGAATGGGAAGCAGAATATCGCTTCATGGATATAACTTTATAATTTTATAGAGGAACTAGGATTTACGCAACGATAAAAAGTCACGACAAACATTATTCACTCACTTAAATAACAATATCCTTCAATGGCAACGAAACTGCTTAAACAAGTGCAACTCCCTGCTGAGCAGAACATCCCCTTAAAAAAGTTTATAAGCACGAAGGAATGAAAAAATAAATTTGCAATGCGCTTTTGTTACTGCCACATTTGTTAAAATAAATTAGTTGATTATTAATTGATTATTAGCTTTGTTATTATTCTGTCTCATTTCCAATATTTTTTTTACTTTTTGAATTAAATTTAGAATGAAGTTTTTAAATAATCCTTTCACACTTTCCAGGGTTTGTTTTTGGTATTATTATAAACATTCTAAAAATTACAGACCGCCAAACAATCAGTGTTAAATGAGCAGAAGTCGCCAACACGACCAGATCGTGAGACTCCTTGACGCTTAAATCGCTCGTTCGCATTTTCGATTCTCGTCGATTCGCAATCACCTTGAATTTAAATTTGCCTTAAATTTACCTTAATTTCTCATAATTAGAATCAAAATCAAAATTAGAATCAAAATTAGAATTAGAAAATTAGAATCTTTTTAAAATTCTGTGAATTAAAAATTTTTCAAAATGTCAATTTTCACTTTTAACAAATCATGAATATAAATCGCAAATAAATCTTAATACATACATCTCAACAACTTTTTTTTTATCTATAAGCCGACTAGCTCCACTGAATACCGGCGTGAGGCTCATTCGCCAGAGCCATTTGAAAGTAAAAAGAAGTGGTCCTATCTTCCTAATTAATAATTCATTTTTCATAAAATAAACTCAGTTGATACCAGCGTCGCACTTATTTGTACAAGCAAATGGCCTGGCAAATAAACCTCATCCTGCTAACAGGTGGAGTGAGAAATTGTGTGGATTTATTCACTTGCAAATTAAAATTAGCTGCGACAAATTACGAATATCTTTCTTTAAAATATATTATATTCGTTCAAAGTAATTTCTTATCCAATCCATTCAGCAAAAATTTGGCAGGAATGTTTCTCATAATTGTTAATAATTACAAATTACCTATGAAAAATAGCACAGATATTATCCACCACATAGATAAATAGACAAATGATTGGATCTGCAGCGTATTTAGTTGCGAAATTTGAGGTTAATGACAATGAAAAATAAGGAAAATAAGATTTATGAGTAATAAAAGTGAGAAGCAGCAAGGGCGAGGTGGAAGTTTGGATCGTATTTCCACTTATAAGTGATCAACTCAAACTAAGTTCGTGTCCACCTCTAAACCCCTTTTTCTCTTAATACGCATATTTTCAAAAGATTTTAGATGATTTCTTTTCCATACGATTACTTTACAGTATCACTGCCACTTTTTCAATGGAGCAAACGCCGAAATAATCTTTTGTTGCCACAAAGAATCAAATACTTCCCATTTCATTAAGAAAAGAGCCACTTTTCCATTTCATAATTTTTCCAGTTATTATTTATTTAGTTATTCATTTACCAAACAAAGTGGTAAGGCGATTTGCTCGTATTAATTAAAAAATTAATTAAAAAAACAATTTCTTTTTATTCAACTATTCATTCACAATTATTTGGTTGGTAACAAGTGGATCGACAGCTTTTTTAATGGTACGTTTGGTTCTTGAAGGAGATGCTTGAGGAGATCCGAACGCTTGACTATGCTCGATTATCTCATTCCGTCACTTAATATGGGACCTTAAAAGTAATCTCGTTTGTTCGACAAGTACTAAAATATTAATTAAATCATTATTCAATTGCACTAATTCATCATTTCTGCTTTTGCTAGTTCCAATGGCTGATGGGATGAAGTGTTTGCTCTAGTGAGCCAAAACAGAAGTACAAGTGGATCCAGCATAACCCAGATCAACAATAATTGCTGAACAATGATATCTAAAGAGATTGCTTATTTAATATTAATATTAATAATATATTTTTAAATAAATAGATTTCTTGCTTCATAGCAGAATAATCGTTTCTTGAAATAAGTAGTTAACCATTTGCCACTTGGCCATTTTTACCGCCCCACCCCTCCCTCCCTCCCTTTGTCTTATTATTCAAGTGTTTAAAATTTTCAAAATTATTAGAGCATTATTGGAATCTGCTCCTCTTAATTCTCTGAAATTCATTCTATTCAAAGTGGGGAAAATTATCGAAATTTCCGAATTCGTCAAAAATTTGAAAATGAAATTTGGCGAGGAAGTAATTCGCTTTAAAAAAATGAAAATATTTACCCAGAATTAAGAGCTACTGAAAACTAAAATATTTGATTTGTATTGGCGAATAGTCTTAAGAAATATTTACAAAGTCTAAGGGATAAAAGCTATTAACCTTATTTATAGTAGATGATATATATTGTTTAAACTTTTAGGATTAAAAGTTCAAACTTTGGAATTTTAAATCTAACGAAGCAGCCGCCCTTGCAAACATTATCCTCCATCATACGGAACTCTCTGATTCTGATTCTTATTCTGATTCTTTGATTTCAATTTTTACGCTCATGTTTACGCTCACGCGCTTCCTGTAATACGCTCATCAATCGGTCGCTTTAATGCTCGTTCTTCATCCTCGAGCTTGGCTTATAATTTTATTTATCTACTTTACTGCGTCGAATTACCGCGAACTGTAAAGTGAATTGTGGAAAAAATTCGTTTGCGATTCCTTTTCAATGAATTTTACAAAATTCGTCTCGCAATAAATATTTATAATTTTCACAACAAAAATCTTTTATATAAATACGGAACTCATCAATTCAGTCATCGATGCACGAATTTCCCTCATAAAATATTGAAGTACTATACAATTTATTATAAAAGACACAAGACATCCCTATATTTTAAATTTTTTTTTTCTTCTCGAGTAAAACTTTCCTCTTCTTCTTCAAGGTTATAAATACAAAATTATAAATTTAAGGAAAATCGAATTCATGACTGCAATGAAGAAAAGATAGCCGAATGCTTGCAGCTTAATTATTGTCTCTTAGGATTTTATCGGATCTAACAATGATGTCGTCTCATTTTTTATCGCTAAATGATTCCTCGGCAGAAAATTTTCATCATATTAATATCCAGTGAAGCAAACCTAGCCAGAAATGGCACTAATCGTTTACTTAATTTTACTGATCTGATCTGATGCCACCGTCGACAGTAATAGAAGCCATTCCTTTTTGCATCGTCTGAGTCCATATATTGCTGATCCACTTATACACGTTCAATGACTTCCCTGATTATATCAGGTCTTGATTGGTCCACCTCGCTTATGCCACCCATCATAGGGTTTGGCAAGTAACGAAATATTAAATTCTATGCTATGGTGTGTGGCAGCGAAGAACAAGTAATATTTGAGCAAGGTTGCACGCAATTATGTGAAATTTTATCCTCTCGGTGAACCCGTAAAATATCTTAAACGAAAATAACTTGTTATTATCCTTTACTTTCATATGCCAGGTCTCGCAGCCATATAGCAAGATCGATCGATCAGCCATATAAACGCGGATTTTCGTTTTTACAGTAATTTTGCAATGACATCATAAAGGTTTTGCCAACCTTAAAACGACAGCTATCCGGTTGTAATTTCCTGGCCGATTGGGATTGAAGTAGATCTGGAGATATTTAAAGTCTGCACTTCTTCAGCTGGCAATAAATTAATAAAAATGGGTGTTTTATCAGCATCGGACTTAAAAAATTTTTTACTTCAATTCCCTTGGAATAAATTTTTTCCTTCATCTCTAAAGGAAATTTAAAAATTTGAAACCCCGATAAGGAATTCGGAAGAACTTCAAATTAGTGATTCAAAAGAATATTTCTTGCAATTTTGCTCGCAAATATTTATATATTGCTAATCATAATAGAAAACCTTAAAAATTCAAACAATTTAAAACTCAAATTGTTCTATTCACCCATTCAATATAAATAATTAGCAATAAATACTTTGATAAACGATAAAACGAAACGATTATGAATTTTTCTTTTTTTAACAGTTTACACCATTACTGGTTAAACTCGCCCTGCTAGCCCTTCGCATCGGATAAATGTGCCAGAGAGTCCCTTGGCGATAGAAATACAGGTGAGTCGCCAGATTCACCGAGATTGTGAATTTTACTTCAATTGATTGCAGAACGCACAAATTTATTCGAGATTCACAGAGGGGAAATTTCGAAGATTCATGATTTAGATTCAAAATTCAATCTTGCTGATCGAACATTTTGATAATAAAATAAATGTGTTATAATTATATCACTGTTATAATCATAAAACTATTATAAGTTAAAGTGAACTGAAAGGAAATATGAGTATTGGACTGCTACCAGTGTTTTAATAAGCCACTATATGTGCTTTTTTTGCAATTTCGTTTAAAAAAATATTTTAAAACAATAAACCATTTTTAACCAGGTATTTCCCAAACATTTTCCTTATGCATATAAAATTAAAAAATTTCTCTGAAAATTCCATAAATCATAAATATTTCAAAATTTATATTTAATCATCATTTTAAAAACTTCAACTTTTATTGATTTAAATAATAAAGCGAAATTTTCAAGAAAAAAACGAAAATGCTAAGGATTAAATGGGAAAAAATATTTCCTTTAAGGGAAGTTGAATGCAACAAAAGGAATAAACGAATGGATACCGAGTTTCATTAAATAATAATGCAAAACAAAAGTGAAAAAAAGACAACCAATCGAAATTCGAACATAATGTAATAAGATTCGAACATAACAGTACCATAAATAAGAAAAGGAAAAATGAAACGTAGTAGGGTTGGTGGTTTCTAGGGAAGAATATACGAAGAGAAAGTCCGAATATCTCTGAATATTCGGACAATAACAGATTCGGAAATTTTTTTGATTTCCTTTAGTATCGTTACTTGATGGACGCAAAAATAAAAATTTTCTTTTTTCATATTGAACGATAAAATTTATTTATTCTTGATTTACGATATTTTATACGACCAATGCACCTATATAAAAAAAATTTGCATTTTTCACGATTTTTATTATATAAATTCAAATATGTAGCAAAAAAGATAATCGAACCACCCCACAAATAATTCATACTAAACGGTTTTCTAAATAATAAAAACGACAAAACTATCGTTATTGCTTTACGTACTGTTGTTACGGTAACTGCTATTAAAGCTCCTTGTGTTTTAACCAATGATAGAACTAAATTGATACCCAAATAACCGATTAGACTGAATGCTGTTACATATCCATAGGTATGCCAAGGATTCTGAAAAATATTAATAATCTGCTCATAGTCATGTCAAAGCGAATAAACTTGAATAATTTACGATGCTATGAATATTTAAATTTATGATTTGAACTAGAATTTAGAAAAAGAACTTTAAAAAAAACTTTAAGAACTTTAAATAACTTTAAAAAAGAAAACAAATCCGTGGATCAAATCGCCATTAACAAGAATGAAGAAAAAAATATAGACAACACCTAACGAGTAAGAATAAAATACCTGAAAAATGAAGCATTTTATATATGAAAAATTATCCTACTAACAAGTAAAAATGGAAAACTTTTAGCATAGGTCAGAATAGTTTTTTTTCTTTTAAAGACCTCACCACTACTGGTGAAACTCGCTTGTCGTTGGCTTGTCGCATTGGACAAATATGCCCTTGGCGATAGAAGTACAGGTGAATCGCCAGCATCACCCGGATTTTTGGACAGGTTTACTCATGCGAGATCAAAGGAAGGATGGTGCAGTTTAAGTGAAATTAGATCAAAATAGTAAGTTTAATTTAAAGTTCAAGTTTCAAAATAGTAAGTTTATTCACAAATCCACCATTTTTCATTTGACTTGTTCTTGTAACTATCGAAGTAAGATTTTTCGGCCTGATGGTCACTTTGAAATAGTGAATGATTCAGCAATTCTCAATCCTGCTCATCCCCCTCCCCGCCCCCCTCCCGCCATAAATTTCCCAAATTTTATTATAAAAAAAATATTGGTAAATAATTTATTGAACAAGGTAGTGCTAATAAAATAATTTTAAATATACTATTTCGGTATTTGTTGCATCATATTTTTTAATTATCTTTTCTTGCACATTTCCTATAACAGCATCTGCGATCAAAGCTACTGAAATCATCAAATATCCGCGAAAATCAAAATTTGGGGAAACTTGATTGTCAGCAAGTGTAAAAAGAATCAAACCAAGACTCATCAAGCAAGCTACACAAAAATCTATACAATTATACTTTTTGCCTGAAAAAAATTGAATTCAAGAAATGAATTTTAAGCATAAACTTTGATGAAAAAATTATAGGAACATAACCTTGCTAAAATCATCTTTAAAAAAACTTTTATAAACTAATGGATTAAAAGGATCAACACATAATAATTAAACGATTTTCTGAAAGTTTCCTTCTAAATAGGTAAAAGAAGGAAGAAAGAGAAGCTTGCTAGCCTGATGCTTTCGAACCAAAAGAATAAATTAAAGCCAAAATTTAAAAAAAAAAAAACTAGGCGAAGTCATCCTAATAGGTCGTGGATCTAGACGAACCAGGAATAAGTGCACCAACAGAAGGGTCAGTAATTAATTCTAATTTTAAATTTATTAAATTAATTTCAGACTGATTAAAAGACCATTATCCAGCCACAACAAACGTCACAGTTTTTGCTAAAATTTCAAAATTTGCCTTGGATAATTAATTCACCGATAAAGACAGGAATTAATTTACAACATTTAAAAATAATTTGAGTTGGATAATTGAGATAAGCGAAAGCAGCTGTTGAAAAACCCATTGAAACGACTGTAAAAAAAGCCAACAACACATACGTCGACAGTGGAATTCTGAAACAAAATTCCTATAAAATTCTATATAAATTCCTATAAAATTTCTACAACCATTTCCGGCCAAGTTTAATCTTCTTTGCCGAAGAGCAAGTTGGCGATGGAAGGTGAATGGTTAGTACTACCCGAATTATTTCATTCATGTACAAATAAATGTGATTAATAAAATAGAAACATATGTGGAAAAGCTGTTTTCATATCCAAAATATTTTATTTTCCTTAATATTTTCCGTGGATAAATAACAGCATTTTCAAAAAAAAAACAAAAAATTATTAAAAGTGGGGTTAATGGAGTCCAAAAATTTTTTCCTGAAAACGTGATAATTTGCATTTATATTTGTATGAAAAAAAAATTACTTGCGAGCAAAAGAAAAGAAATATTTAAGTTCACAGTAACCACATAAAGTATAAATTATAAACTGTATAAAAGTTATATAGAATCCAAGTGGTTTAATACCTTCTAGTTTAAACATGATCTCCTGAAACATAAACAACCTTATTATCCTTGATTTTTTAAGAATATTTCTCAATTGATTGATACTACTGGTTATTGAAGATCCTTTCATCAAGGCCACAAAGGCAGAAGTAGCTTCTAGCCTCATTAAGATTACCCTTAATTAAATGCATATAATGAAGATAAATGAAAAAAATGAAATAAAATAAACCTGTACATAACTATATGCGATATAAAATACAAAAACACCCGTTGATAACAAAATAAATTGTAGCGATTTTGGCCTTAAAATGTAAATTTTTAAATAAATGATTAAATAAAAAACGTTCTTTCAGTGATTTTTCTATTACCATTATTTCTGGCTTAACTGGTTTCACTGGCAATTGGAAATCACTCCTGGATAGATAAAGGAACAGATAAAGATGGTTTTAAAAAAAATACGGATTATACTTTTAATGATAGGCTTACTCCTAACAAAACCAGAAACATGACAATTTGGTTTTAATCGAAGCAATATACCATCTGATCACTCTATCACCTTATCACTCTATTCTGATGATTGGAATTGAATAAAATTTTAAGGAAAATTTTTATTTGAAACATTTAATAAAAATAAGATTTTGAAAAAACAAAATTCTCTAAAAAACTCACCAAAAAGTAATATTGATACCAAGCATATATACAGTAATTGCCGATTCATCATTGATTGCCGTAGGTAGCATCTTGCAGAACTATAAATCCTATGAAACCACGATATTTGATTTAGCTTAAAGTACCATTTCAGAACTAAAAAATATAAGATTGGCAAGAATGTTTGGATTTTTTCCAAACTAAAATTTTCACCAGGAAATGCAAAATAAACTTTGTTAATTTACAATCTGATATCAACATTAAATTGAATTTATGATATAATATATGGAATTTTACTGGAATATTTATAGCAGCAAATTCCACTAATTAAATTAAATTAAAACTGATTAAAGATATCAAGATGTTAAAATATCAGCATGACTTGTAGTTTTCGGCCATTTAGTCCACGGTGACCTTTCCATGAATAAGGAAATATTAAAGAAGCCACGATAAAGTTACTGATGATAAAAATGCAACAAAAAATGTAGAAAAAAAGACGGATGAGGAAGATGAAAAAAGTGCATACAAACGAGGTATGTGGAAATTATGTAAAAATCTTAAGCATAAACCCATCGCTAGTCAAAAAATGATCTTGCAGACCTAGCACAATGTGTAGACGAGATCCATGATTCGCGATTTTTACAAGCACTGAAGAAAAAATAACTTACGATGTGTTATGATGTATTAAGGAAGTACAAAAATGGAGCTCACGGGATGTTAAGGGAACATAAGTAAGACGCATTTGAGAAGTTCAAAGACATATAGCGAGTTTGATGAAGATATGGATAAAACAACGTTTGGAAGCGTACAAAAAAAGTACCTTTCTCGGAGTAGAGGATAACAGTTATTGAAGGACGGTAAAAAAACACAACATGTTTTGAATGGATGGAAGCTAAAATAAAACGTGAAAGAAAGCTAATTTCTCACAGATCACCTTCATTACTTTAAAAATCAGTAGGCTATGATAGTTAATAATGCAACAAAGAAATAATAAACATGTGTTGAAAGAATGCAGTATCCTAAATCTGGTAATTATAATTATAGGCTTATTCACCAGTCATCCTCCAGTAGCATTATTGTTTTTTTTTTAACCTAAGCCTAAACACCATTAAATTTCCTTTAATAATCATTTCCACATCTTCCAATCCGCATCTTATTGTAAGATATTGCTTCTAACAAGTCTCACCATTACTGGTTAATCTGGCTCCGCTGGCTACAACAGTAAGATGTCTCCAGGCTTTCCATCCGATGCCATATCTGCTGTAGTAGAAGCCATTTTTCCAAACGTTTAAATGCTTATATCGCAGATTTTCCTATATGTTCTTATATCGCAGACTTTCAAAACCTTTTCTGACTCTATTAGTCCAGGTCTTGACTGGCCTTCTTCGCTTTTGATGCTAACTATCGCAAGCATCAAAATATGTGTCAACTCTTGTGGTGGGCATGCTCTAACCAATTAAGATGACGCTCTGATGATACAGTTACAGTTAATATGAGTAGTATTTGAGCGAAAGTGGGTGCAATCATGTGAAATCTGAGATATTTTATCCGCTCAACGAAGCCGTAAAATGTACCTTAGATATGAGTGATCAAAGGTACTTTCCTAACATAATTAATATCCTAATATCCTCCACTCTCATGAGCCATACATGACCGCATGAATTGCGACTTTCATCTTGATAGTAATTTCGCTTTTTAAAAGTTACCGCATTTTTAACTACCGTTACCCGGGTTACAATTTCATCTTTCGTTCGGCTGTTTGGATTACAACGGATCCAAGATATTCAAAATCTAGCATTTCCTTAACCAATGATGAATTGGTAAAATTAGGTATTTTATTGACTTCTAATAAACAATACGAAAAGGCTTTCGTTTTGTTTACATTGACAATACGTTCAACTATCGCTGCAATCGCCGACACATTGTTTATCATTATTTGTACTTCATCATAACTGTCAGCGAAAAAGATTGCTTTAATAGATCATGCAATGATACAATGCTCTCGACTAATTTGTACAGCTCTTGATGCCCACAAGCAATGTCTATTATTCAGTCCATCGCATAGCTGAACACTGTAGAAGAGAGGAGATGACAGACATCAGTTCTTATTTTGAGTCTGTTAGTTCTTCACATACGATCATTCTCTGGGACCAGTGAATGGTCTTAAGCCTTTGAATGACAGCGATTATTTCTTGTTCTGCTGGCAGTTCGCAGTTGCAAGCATATGGCTGGACGAGTGATTCGGCTATGTCCCGGACAACAGATGAATAAGATGCACTCCCATACAATTCCTAAAATTTCCTGATATTCCCTTTATATTTCTTAAAACTTCTGTTCAGTAGTTTTGCTTCGTTACAAATCCGCGATCAAATAGACTGATAATTTGAGCCCTTACCATAGCATTTTTGCTTTCCTTCACTTATACAGTACGACATTTACGTTATAAAAATAACGGGTTTTGAGGCTTAAACTTTCGCTTACCTAATTTTTTCTATCTTATTAAGGCGAGCCATGTCAGTTTTTCTTCAACTCTTACTATTGACACGATAGCCATTAATTTTCCCGGTATTAAAAGGTCCATTTGCCTCATGAAAACGCAGAAAATCCATACCTACAAAACCCATAAAATGTAAACATTTAAAAATACAGAAGTGAACCGCACTGTTCCACGCTTGGCAATCCATTCTAATTTTAATTATAATGCAAATAAACCATCCTCTTCCAGGCTTTTGCTTTTAATACATAAAGATTAGAAATCTTTTCAAAAAGTTTTTTCAACTTTAATCGATTTTCAGCCACATTACACAACATTTGTACAATTGTACAATTTTCATCTTATTCCGAATGTTGAATTCTTCTAGCACACTCACCAATATTATCGAGTGGTGCATTGCTTTGACCATTTCAGGCATTATATTTTTTCCATTTTTCCTCTTAAAAAGTAAGTCTATCATCAATAAAACCGTTCAGTGCTGGATACCTGCCTATAATGAAAATCAAAATTCAAGGTTCCTCCTCCATCATGCAATGGTCAGTGGAATAAGTTTAAATATATATATATATATCCCATTTAAAAAAAAAGATTGCGTTTCTAGGTTTGTAATGAATTTCATTCGAATGAAAATCCGATAATTCAACAATAAAAAATTTTAACCAGTGAATAAAATTTATTGGACAAAAAATTCACAAACGAAGGACAATAAATTTTTTAACAATTGATATAACTCTATTGGTTTTTAAAATATTCCTCCATAACTGCTCTTGCAATATCATCTTGTCCATAGTCTCGTACTACTGCGCAAGAACAACAAACCACCTAAGACAAGAAAAGAATAATAAATAAAAATAACGAAAAGTAAAATTATGAATTTTTCATAGAACTTTATTAATGGTCTATAATCGCCTTTTAGAGCAGACAGCATAATCTTTTGGCTTCCCTGGGCTTAAGTGAAAAGGTATTGTCTCATACAGCATATAAAGTTTTTCAATATATTTTCAATATATTCCTATATATTCCCGAATTAAATATAAAAAGTAAAAAAAAACTTAATGCTTAGGAGAACTAAAATAAATTATAAAATCCATTTATTGTTTATATTATTATTAATAGTAAAAAACTAAAAAGAGATGGCGACATAAATCTGGAAGAATACTTAACCTTGTTTTTGTGAAAGTCGCGCACCAACGACTGGTGAGAATGTGAGAACTTGCAATTCTCAACAAATTATCAGGTCTACGATAAGCCGAATTACTATTTCTCTGGGGCCAAAGCTGGGAAACCTCTGATTTAAAGAGCAATTTAATTGTAAATTGTTGCTCTCATTTAAGAGTGTCGATAGTGGAGTTTCCCTTTCAGTAAAAAAAATAAATATGACTTTCGAAAAGCCAGGCAATTCTTTTCTACTATCACTAAGTGACTCCGGTAAAATTTGTCTGATCAGATAAGGCAGTGGAATGAGCTTGATCAAAAATGGTAATCACTCTTAGAAAAAAATCGTTGAATGAATAAACAATTTTGTTCATACTATATTTCATAAAAATAGTAATTTACCTTGCGAGCTTTCCCCTCTTTGTCATATTTACACAGGCCAATCCATTCACCAAGCTGACGTTTTTCTTTTACTTTAATCAATGGAATTGAATGCTCATTACACAAGGCTTCAACAAGCCTAACATACATTGCTTCATCACAGTCTTCTGCCAGAACACAAAAATAAGCTTCGCGTCTAAAACATCGATAATTGTTCAATCTTTTTACTAACGAAAAGTTTGATAAATTTTTATCAATAGGAATAAAAAGATTTATGAGATTTTAAGAAAAAAACTCCTACAGTTTCTATAAAAATTCACCGAACAATTAGCAAAATAATTTCCTTGCTCATTTGCCAATAAGACCAAAAAATTTAAGAGTTTAAGAGAATAAAAGAGTTTACAAAATTTGTGATTATAATGAACTGCAATTTCCTAAAACCTGTTAAATTTTACCGAAATTTTCCACAAATGCCCGCCATAATCCATAAATAAAATCATTCAAACCCTTTTCTACCACTTTAACCGAATCAGCTACACTCCTTTCATCATCCAGCTCTGTATTGTTATCTTCCACTAATACTTTCTGACTAATACTTTCTACCACGACCATCAATTTTGAAATCACAAAAACCTTATATGAAGAGGATTCAGAGGAATATAGAAAAAGCAAATATATCTGAATTGGGCGTTTTAAGAATAATGATATGAAAGCGAGAAAGTAAGTTGATAAAGACAGAAGAGTTGTCAAGGCAAAAAATTATGAAGAGGTGCCAAGAATCACTATTTAAAAACTGTTTCTTCTGTCTCTCTGTTGAAAGTTCTTTTTTGATATGGTGTTTACACACACTCCGCTGGTGGCAAATATTGCCAGATGTTATATGACGACAGAACTCACCAGACAAGACCAAGATCACCAGCACCATCGGAATTTTTAAAACACAGGTTTATTCTTACTGAAAGTAAAACCTTAGCAATTTAGCCTTGAAATGATAAGGGATAAATCCACTGAATTACTTTACAAAAAAATCCAAAGCAATAAAAAATCGATAAGAGAAATAAAAATGTGATTGTTAAGTCAAACCGCTAATTGTAATCAAAAGATTTTATGAAAAATGCATTTATGGAATTTTATGCTTATGGAAGTTTATGGAATTTTGAAAGGGGTTAATGGACAATATAAAAAGTTTATTCGTTGTTTGGAATATATAAAAAAAAGAAAAACGGTCATACATTATAAGATCTCGTTTTTTTTTTAAATTCATATAAACAAGCAAAATATTGGAGAATAATATAATACAAAAATTCTACAGATCGAAGTAAAAAAAAGGGGATTCAGGATTAAATGAATGTTTTCTTTAACAAAATCCAAATTAAATATTGAAAAAAATAAAATAGTATGAAATAGAAAAAAACCAAACAATTCTCTTGTGGATCTAATGAACGTAATAAATCCTCTTCATAAAGTTTAAATATATAAAAATGATTTTAATTTTGCATAAGTGATTACACTACAAAGAAATTGTTTATTATGCCACCACAAAGCATATCCACAAAAAAATCTCATTCATGGGCTATAAAGATTTCATAAATTTAAAATCATTTAAGGAAACAATCAAATACACGTAATTTGTTAACAGATTAAACTTACTTATCAAGAGCTTTGGTTGCTTCATGCAATCCTTTCGCCAAACCATCAGCAATGATGGCTGATTTAAGAGTTCGTTTTAAAGCTGTCTTAACATCGATTTTATCATCAATTATTGCTGGAGCTACATGGACTTCATCTCTTAAATTTGCTCCTATACTTGTAGAATAAACAATAAATTAAATATATTAAGGAAAAACTGAATATTTATGAATATCATTTGTGAACGAATCAAAATCACGACTGGACTGACATTAAATGTTAATTTAAAATTAAAATTATTAATTTAAAATTAATTTAATATTGAATTAAAATTAAATATTAATTTAAGATCGAATTAAATTAAATTAATTTAATTAATATAAAATTGATAAGTTAAACTTATGAAACGAATGAAATGAAACGAAATTTTATTTCCGAAAAAACGCAATTTAATCTGATTTCGCTATGCAAAAAAACAAAAACTAGAAGAAAATTAAAATTTACAAAATTTACCCTGCTGCAAGAGCCATTTGCACAATCCTCGATGATTTCCTTGAGAACAAAGCTGGAAAAATTTCATTAAAACAAGCAAGAAATTTGAAATAAATAAAGGCTTTTAAAAAACCCCTCAAAACCCCTCAAGTCAAACCTATTACTTTTACTGGAAAAACCTAATTTCTCTTTTTTTGAAAAAATTCCACAGCTTTCATCACATTTCACAAGTAAACCAGATCAGTATTGAACTAAGTGCCTATAAAAAAACGCTGAAAGAACAAAATTTGATGAAGCAACTTAAACCACCAACCACCTACCGCAACAACACACCCCCTAAATTTCTGCCCAGAAATAAAATCGCTCAATTTTGGATTAATGAAACAATTGCGTGAAGACCTAAATTTTAGTATATTTTATTCTTAGTAGCACAAAATTCCTATACATTTGTTTATTTTCAGTCGAGAAAAACCGACGATCCATACGGAATCTTGGCAGCAGTCCATGTTTCCATGTTGAAAAGTATGGATCAAAATAAGTGCAAGCGCCAAGCATTCCACGCGGGTCTAAATTTTACAGTGGAGCTTCCTATTAATTCTTTAAGGAAAACCCTTGCTACTTTTGTGGGTTTGAAGCACTCTTTGACAATCAATGGTCCTGCATTCAATTCTAGATGTGGCTATTTAACTAAAACCCGGATGTGTAATTGTTCACTAATTTCCTTCAATGGTTGTCAAGAAAATTTTGTTAGTTCTTGTTAGATTTGTTAGTTCTTGACAAACATACTCTGTGACAATAGTGGTACTTTCTCTTCTCTGCATTTTATTGATGGTTTTAATATATTGTCCCGACTTAAGATCAAGTGATATACGTTTTCAAATGCAATTTTTCTCGCGGTGAAGACAAAATTCTAACGTTTTACGACTGTGCCCACACTGTACCTACATGGTGGGTCCATGGAAGGTTCCGATATTCGAACTAGAATTCAAATTAAAAGAGTTCAAGTAAAGGCATGGTTTCGTACCCAAAGGCGAAGGATAAAATGCGAATTAGTCAATGGTCTTATCTTTTTGTTTTATTCCTTTTTCTTTCTCAACACATTCTGAATATGATCGTCTTCCTTTTGAATAAAAAGATTTTCCATGTTATTTTTTAAGAATGATTACCCGAGCTTCTAGAACAATATATTTTTATATATCAACATTTGTCGTTGAACAAGAACCTAAGGCGGATGTGCATCGGCAACAATGTTAAACTTCAAATGTCAAAAAAGATGTTAAAAAAAATGTTAAAGTTAAAGAAGCTCATCTGAAAATTTATTTCCCGAAAAATATGAAATATGGAAGTAGAAAATCCTGAAACTTCCCTGCATTCCTCAGGTTTCTCCAATTATGGTTTGATTATTAATTATAATAATATATTTAATAATTTATATAATATTATAATATAATTTAATATAATATAATTTATATAATAATATTATTATTAATTGAGCAAATTAAAAGATTTATTGCGACTACTTTTTCTTTGAAATTTAAGACCGTATCAGAATACTTCTCAGCAAGTGAAAGGGCTGTTCAGAACTGATATTACTAATTACTGATATTATCAAATTTATTCATCAGATTAATGCAAAAGAGGGCAATCGCAGTAGAATCCACACGCTCGTATAAGTAACGTCAAAGTCGATTTTCATCTGAAGTCTGAAGTTGTTCAAGGATGAGTGAAATGTAACGATCGATACGGGACCTTTATTGCAGTAAGGTCATTCTCGTGTTCCTTATAGTTTCTTGAGGTCAAACATAATTTGATAGCATAACCCATAACCTATTGATGTTAGCTTTTTTTATTGTCCTTATTATGTGTAGCAGCATATTTCATGTTGCGATAAATTCTCTAAAATTGTTTCATTAAACTTTTCATAACACAATAGATTGTTCTTTTACAATAAAAGAGAGCGCTCCATAGTGCAGAAGCATAAATCTTTAATTTGTTGTTCAGAAATACCACCGAACCATTTATTCGCGATTATATTGGAATATTTTTGTTGAATTGAGAGGAAAGCCGATTCTTTAAGTGTTGGAGGTTGTAACGGCAATAAAGCTATACCATTTTTACAAATGAAGACAAACTGAGACTTCGTACACACCTGCAACTTTTCTTTCTAATAGTTTTTTCTCTATTTAACAAATAAGAAATTTTTTCTGCTTTTCTGATTTTTCTGATTTGTAGCATCAAACGAAAAGAATTACGATGTGGTATTCTTCAGTGCATTTTGAATATCATGGTTCGGCCAATGTCTCTAGGAATAAATCTGTTATTAAAAAATCTCAGCCTAGGGACCCACATCGAGTGATTCTTTGGCAATATTCGCCAATTTTTTTTCTAAGGGCGCTCACCATTGCTCATTATGCTCGCTCCACTGGTTTGTCGGGCCAGACAGTCTTCGGATCAGAGAGTCAACTGGCAATAGAAGTAAATCGCCATTTTCATTACCTCGATTTCCGAAGGATTTTGGAAGATGTTGAAGGTTTACTTCCGCCGTTTTTTTACATAGATTTTCAGCATCAAACAGATCAACAGTCCACTGAACTATTTCTGTCTTTGATGAAGCGCGGCAAAATTCGTTACTTTTAATATTTTTTTTTACTTTTTCAATCAGAAAAAATGAAACAATGAAAAATGGTAGAACGACGGAGAAAATTTTGGCCTACGAAAAGTAATCCTCTTCTGAGATATTTCTGTTCTGCCTCCACTTATTAGCAGATAAGACTCCTTCATCGGAGGTTCATTCGGGGATAGCAGAACAGACAGATCCCTCGCGTCATTCTCATTTCATTTTTAATGACAGAGAGGATTCGAGTTCGTGATGCTCAAGACCTTAATTAAAGTAATATAACGCTCGACCATCCCGCGATTTAGAATCACTTTATTTGAAAAATATCTATAACTTACACCATAAAACCTTTGCTGTATAAAAAATGGTAATTTGCATCGAGATGCGCCTTCAGTTACGTATTCACGCTTTTCATCATTCAGTTTTATATAGAAAAATGAATGAAAATTATTTCTGTATATCTAAAATTTTCATAAGTTTTTCGTGAAATCTCGCTCGCTGATCGATAATAAATATATTTTTCTCACTTCTTTTTATTTTTTCTTGTCCTTCTGATAATAAGGAAGTACCACCACCAGTTAGAATTAGGTGGGTTTCACTGCCCGTAAAGTTAAGTCGGGCGTGTTCCAGAAGTTTCTAGATATCGCAGACGCTTCTGTATTTCAGATTCCTTTACAGAATGCAAAAAATAATTGATGAAAAGATTATAAAAATGATGAAAATAGCAAACTTCTTTAACCTTAGCAATGCATATTCCTTCATCGATAAATATAGTCAAAAGCGATTCAACAGCACCTACGCGATGACCATTTCGGCCATATGTTTCTCCGATTCCTCGAGCAGTTAAGCTATTTAGCTCAAAATTGGAAAGGATGCAAACTTCTGCTCACTTCTAATTCTATTCTTTTGATCAATTATTTTGGCCTTTATTAAATTAAGGTAGAATTATAAAATCTTTTATTTCGTCCTTTCATAATCCGTCAAACAGTCTGATAATAAAGTAAATTTAGATTTTTAACCTCACTGCAGCTAAAATAATAATGGTGGTGGTATATTACTTGAACTATTAAAGGTTTTCGCTCTTTCTTGCCCTTTGAAGGAACGAAAATCGCAAGTTGGTGAACCATCTTCAAGTGACTTCTCAAAGACTTTGGAAAGATTTTTGATCCAAAGAGATAGGGTCGTCAAATGATAATATATTTAGGATGCGAAATTTTTCACAGTAGCTTAATGCCATCAAGGCTTGGCCTAATATATAAAACTGTATAAAAGTGGTACATTGATGCACGATTTTGGTGAAGGAAAATATGTATTCCAACAGTTTTTGTTGCCGTCATAAACTACTAATTCATGATTATCGTAAATTTTTAAAATTTTTCTTATATCACCATCTATGACGATTGGGAAACGACTACAACGGTCATCCTTCAATTTACCATAAATCTGTTCATTTTTTATCACAAATGTCATCGAATCCTGAAAATACTGGAAAATCAATCGCCTCCAATCATTTTATTTTAAAGAAAGAATATTAATGGAATATGCACGTTCTTTACGGAATCTAAATTTTCAGATATTAGTGCAATTGTGTACTGCTACACAAATAATCACAAATTGTGTACTGCTACACAAATCTAAATAAATGAAGTCTAATTAAAAGGACAAGAATATCTGCAAAATTCGCATGAAGTATATCATCAAAAAATGCCTATGTCATCATTCACAGGAACAAGAAATCTTATTTGTGACAGGCTTTGTGATGGATGGTATGAAAGAGGCGAGGGCCCTATCAAGATCTCGATAGATAGAAACCGAGCAATGACACTTTAGACGAAGCAATATTTACAGCAATAGGGAATGATTTTGAAAATATAGGTGGTCCAGTAAAAAGGTTTTAAGACAGTGAAGGAGAAAGCGACTTCTATTGCTTTCAAGCATGCCTTCAGATCGCTTGGGAACGCTATTGTAGCAATCCCAAACCACTAATAGAACGAACCTTTAGGAAAAGAATATACCTGTAATAACGTGATAAACCAAAAGGGTATGGGTCCCATAACAATACTTCTATCATACATAAAAAGTTTTTCTCTTCCACATTGAATGACGATGTTCTCAAGGAAAACATTGTTCTCGAATTCTTCACCGCATAATTCATCCAGATTATAAGTTTTTGAACGTCTATTATCCGCATTAATTTCAATTATTGATATTCGCGGTATATCGCAGTCCTTAAAGATTTATTTTTATTTTTCATCTATATTATCGTCCCGAATTCTTTTTGCGACAGAAATAAACCTATCATTAAAAACCCGAGGCGTGCTGGAGGTTCATTTGAATCCCAAAGGACCCTCTGGCAAAAATTTCTTATTGCACTAATAGCCAATAAAGCCTAATAAGATGTGAGCGTTAAATATTTATTTACTACCTCAAAATGCGAAATTTGAAACAAAGCTAGCATCATATTTAATATTTATAACTAATTTTCGTTTCATTTGTCATCTTGGAAAAAATGAATCGTTCAATGGTTTGGAGTTTTTCTTCTAAATAGCGATAGATACAGTTTTGGATGCTTTAAAAAGTGAGATTCTTTTACTAATTAACATTAACATAAGCCACTTCCGTCAAGAAATTTCGACGAAAAAATTAAAGCAGAGTGATCAATGTTTAGATCGCTAACAGTTAGAATGGTTTGAATATTTAGGACGTGAATAATCTGTCTGATGGGTAAAATATAGATTTGACTCACTGATTTGATTTACCTTTATGCCTAAAACTTTCTCCTCTTGCAACACTCATTAACTATTTCCCCAGAAAATTAAAATGAAGTTGTCGGAGAACCGGGTTTCGATGCACAAGTGGCCCGTGGCCCGCACTACCATTGTTTTTAATGATTTCCTTCCTTTCGCGAACCAAATTGTTTATTAAAGTCGTCAGATGGTGCTGTACTTTAGTCGCCGAGTAACTCGTGTGGGAAAAAATTTTCATCATAAGAACCTAAGAATTAGCCAAATCAGAAATTGTGAATGCTAGCCACTTATCGGGCTCAACCACTAATTAGAGTCGACTTTTTTCATTCAAAGAAAAACTAACAAAGCAGGCAACGGCAAGAACATAAATAATTGGTTGTTGTTGGCTTATCGCAAAAGATGTAAATAATTTCTCGATTAGAGGTATGTGAATAATTCTTGTCCACGAATTAGCGACAAAAGTGTGTATCGACCAAATTTCTATCGAATCATTACGATCCGGTGAAATATAAAGAAGGTTTTCTCGAATACCAATCTTATGAAGACGATAATTTTTAAGATTTTCGTCAATTGGGAAGATTCGCATCGACTTATCGCGGTAATAATGACATAAACTGATGGATATCAATAGAAATATGCTTGGAAAAAAATTATTTCTGCATCAAAATAAATTTTCACTGAACAGCTGTTACAGCAGGAATAATGACTAAGAACAACAGACTTCGGCTGGAACAACAGATTCTTCTTTCTTCTAATAATTCACCGTTTTCGGTTTGATTTCTTTTTCTTGGTGACTATTTGGATGAACCTGTTTCACGAGAGATTCATTGGAGAAGGAAATATAAGTGTGTGTGTCACGGAAAGCGCAATGTCACGCAACTTAAATTTTTAGAAATTTTTGCATGAAATCAATATGAAAAGCACCTTAAATAATAATGAAATATAAGTAGATTGAAATTTATAATAGAAAAATTGATGGTGAAATGCGATAGAAAAATAGACTGTTTAACCATTGACAAGGTGTGCGCTGAGCGTTTCTAACCGGATTCGCGGCACGCAGATTGCTAGATTGCTAGACGAGGTAATCACTTGAGCACTTGAGCAGTACAAGTGGACACGCTCGAGCCAACAAAGATTGAGTTATAATAATTATTATCCGTCAAAACCCCATTAAATAACCTCAACAACAAAAAAGCAGCGCCATACGCTTTTGGTATAATCCACATAATATCGTCACTAAGGATCCTCGTAAACAGTCGCACAGCATGCACGGTATCCACTTAAAATTGGCAACAATTTGCATGCTGCCGTAACTCTGTGCGGTCTTTCGCTAATTGTTTAGTTCATGGTTTTTCTTCAGATGAGCCAGTTACTTGAATAGAATATTCTGCCCAACTACTTAATCTTCCGATTCAGTGAAACCCTCTTTAACTCAAAGCCTTTTCTGTCACCTTAAGCCTCTCAGATCTCGTTATAACGCTTGTCGATTAAAGTTTATCTATATCAATCATCTTTCGATAAAAATGCAAATTTTAGAAGTTCGTTCTCCGCTGCACGCTTCGGATATATTGAAATAAAATATAACACCATTAATAAGAATGGAGAAAATGTTGAAACGAGGTCTGTTTGAAAAATGGATTAAATATAACGATCTTTGTTGCGGTTGTTCTTAAAGTATATTGTGTTTGCTGATGCTGACTTCCTGAAAATTAAAGGAAGCGAAAACCTATCGCCACTATCGCAAGCTTAAATTGCGTAAGAAAATTTGTCTGCTCTAATCTGCAAATGTCATTTAATCTTTTATGGATGGATCTGTGGCGAAATCCGTGACAATACCTTAGTGCTTAGTTTTTTTTCTTAAGAGTCCTCACCATTACTGATTGAACTCCCTCCACTCGCTCCACTGGCTTGTCACGCTGGGCAATATGCCACGGAATCCTTTGGCGACAGAAATACAAGTGAGTCGCCAGCATCGCTCGGATATTTATACAGGTTTACTCCTGTGGCGAATCGAACCTCAGCATCGGCGCTCCCAACTGAGCAACCCACGGAGCCATTCGATCCCTATGCCTTGGTGGTTAGTAGAATAAAACAATTTTTTAGTTAATAGGTTGGCAACCGATGAATCTTCGGGAAGTCATCGTTCTAAGAAATTTCCTCACTCATAATTCTTTCGTAACCGAGCCTTTTAGCCTTTTATTAACCCCACTTACATCCAGGAAAAATTCCCCGAACAGTTATTGCTTATTAAAGAACGGCCAATTCGCTCGTCAAACGAATCTTTTGCAAAAGTTTGTCCCAAATTAGCAGCCAAAGGAGCGAGCGAACCAGAAATTATAAGCGCTGACAGTTTAATCCATTCACTTCAACAACAAATCTGCACGGCTGTAATATTTTACAAATTTGGCTCCTTTAGAAAATAATAAAAAAAGAAAAATTTGGTTTATTTGAACTATAAAAAAGAATTTATTATACGAAAAAAAAGATTTCTTCATACGGAAAAGTATTTAAGAAAAGCAAGAAATCATCTCTTCTTGAAAGAGTTTTCTTCAGTTTGTTGTCGTTCATCTACTGCAAGGAAAGAATTTTGTTAATATTTAGCTGTTAAATTTGGAATAGCTGAAAATTTAATAATGAAACGAAAACTAGATTGCGATAATATTGATAATGGTTTGGATTTGCTAGCTGACTTTATTTTGCTTCCCTCGTCGTTTCCTAATTGCTAAATTGTTTGTGTAATTGGGCTGGGGTGGTCGGTGCGTTAACGTTAAATATGAGTGATAGGTCAATATTTGGCCAGTAAATTAAAAGAACGAGGTGGTACTTCGATTAAGGTCGTTATGGATTTAGCTCCAAATCTAGGTGTTGCTGTTGCACTTACATTTACCTCTGTAATAAGCCGTTTTCCGTAAAGATTCCTTGTGGTATCAGAGGAGCTTGTGAAATTAGAAGTTATTATATTAAAAGAAAGAGAGGAAGGTCAGCAAGTTCTTTTTTTGCTTTGGACCATGGATATGATTTGTGTTTTATTGCAGAAAAATTAATTCTGGGCAGTTTCAACCATAATTTTAATCGGTTTAATGAGTTTGGAAATCATTGATAGAAAAGTAAAAGTAAAAATTTATTCGACAATTTCATCAAGAAACATAAAATTCTGCGAAATCCTTAAATTGTGGGGAAAGTTGAATTTATTTCAGTCATATGAAATATAAATGCACTATTTAAACTTAAAGGCAAAGAATCAAAAAATTAATTACTGATTAGTATTCTCTCCGTTTTTTTAATTTTGGGTGATATGTACGATGGATAAATTTGGTTTGTTTTTGTTTCTTATCAATTATTTCTTATATTTTCCGTCTCGTCTTATTTCATCTTGTACTCGAACTCGGCCTTATATTTGGACCGCTATTTCAATTCGAAATTACGGTTTAAATCGAAACAGCACTAAAATCGAAATATGTATCGAATTGTTTCGTAATCATTATACATCCATTGACCTTTGTTTTTCGATTCATTTACAGAGCAGTCTGTTGATTTTTCTCTCATTTAGAAATTTTCTTTGATACATTATTTCATTGATGTTGATGACTTATTTGCAGGTTTATGACAATATAACTTAAGTGATAATCGGGTTATATTTTTTAGTTTTTCTTTCACATTTGGTGATGGCGACCCAAGACACAAGTCGTTTTATATGTAAGTTTACAAAATCAGTTTCGGTTATTTGCTCTTGAATAGTTATGGTAATAGCTATTTACTTTTGCTAAGTGTAATATCCGATTTCATAGGGGCGACTGGCTGGTGAATATTCTTCGCTCTATTCATTATTGTGAATTAAAAAATTCGCCAGTAGGGTAGGTAGAATTTAGTTGGATCAACTGACTTTGAAATTGTCTCATAGAGAGGTTAACCTCTATTCTACTTGATAACATTTTCAGATTTTGTTGTACCTTCTGATGGCCTTCATATTTCCCCTTACCACTCAACTCTAAACAATTCCTTTTAACACCTTCTGCCCTTGTCTGAATCCAGCATGAGAATAATTTCATTTTGTAAGCTACTTTTATTTTCTAGTTATTTCATAGTTTAATTCTAATATCATATTGTCATATTTAATGCGTTATTGGCTCAGACATGATCCGGCCTTTATTTTTTAATAGGAGTTCGAGAGGAGACTCACCTTTAGTTTTCCAAGGGTCTAGCATCATCTCATTCTAATATTTAGTTAAAATCAGTTAAATGAGGTTTGATCAGTATTGTAGAAAAAAAATGTACCATTATTATCATCTATTTTTGCGTTGGTGATTTTAAATTAATTTCATACAAATCAAAATTTTAGCATTATTGACAATGTGTGACGAGGATGATGATGAAGTATTATTATTTGAATGTGGCGCATCATTGGCTGCTAATGCTTTTTCCAAATTTGAAGAAATTCGTCGAAGTGGAAAATTATGCGATGTTATAATTGTCGCTTCTGGTGTAAAGTTAGTTATATCGTTTAGTGATAAAAGCATCTTATTTGGTTTTTATTAGTTTTGTTCAGTTTTTAAAATTATTTTTTAGGTTCAGTGCACATCGAATTGTACTGGCGGCCACTATTCCTTATTTTCGCGCTATGTTCACGGCAGAAATGGCTGAATGTCAACAAAATGAAATTTGTCTTAAAGGTAGGCATGAACGAGTTTCTAACTTGTTCCCAAACGAACTTACTCTTTAAATCACTGAATTTAAAAAATTTTATCTATTTCTTTTAAATTTCAAAAATTTGAAAAATGCACGATTCTCTCCGAGGATTGATTATAAGAAATCCATTTCAGAAAATTTCTTATTTTCAGAAATGGATGCGGATACATTAGAACAAATAATAGATTTTACTTATACGGGTCGATTAAGGATAACGGCTGCAAATGTACAAAGTACAATGGAAGCAGCAAATTTTTTACAACTTTATAGTATTGTTGATGAGTGCTGCAAATTTTTACAATGCCGTTTGCATAGTCAAAACGTGCTCGGTATTCGATCGTTTGCAATGACATTAGGATGTGTATCACTTGTTCTTTCTGCAGGTAAAATCCTCTTAGTTCTCTTTCATTTCTTATGTTATCTTATATTCAATCTATTTATTTTGTTTTCAGATCGCTTCATTCATAAGCATTTTCTATCAGTTTCACAAGGTGAAGAATATCTGATGTTGAAGTTCGATGAAATTTCGACGATTTTATCGCGTGACGAATTGCTTGTTGATAATGAGCAACAGATTTTTGAAGCGGCAATGAGATGGCTTAGTTATGATCCAGAGAGGAGCAAATATTCTGCTCAGTTAATAATTTCTTGTAGCGAATTCGTTATTTGTGAAGAGAATTGAAAGATTTAGAAATATTATCTGGAAATTTGTAAATTTTGATTATCGAGTATCGAATGTCTAGGTTTATACGTTCTTTGAAGGATTCTGAAAACAGTTCGTTTACCACTTCTGAAACCACAGTATGTGACGGATGAAGTTGCTTCTTGCCCAATAATAAATCAAAGTCTGGAATGTCGCGATTTGGTAGATGAAGCAAAGGATTATCACTTAATGCCTGAACGCCGGAAATTTTTAAAAAGTTTCAGGTTTCTTTCCTTTGATTATATTGCTTTTTTAAACAAAAATTTTAGTCCGTTTTTTTTGCAAGATTGCCCTTGTATTTTTTTATATTCCTTGAATTATTTTAGAATAAAGCAACGATGTTGCCAAGATGCTGTTGGTGTAATTTATGCTGTTGGAGGTCTTACTAGCACTGGCGATTCTTTATCTACTGTAGAAATGTATAATCCAGCTGTTGGTAACATTTTCGTTATCTAATTAATTTACTAATCATAATTAATTTATTAATTATTTATTATTAAAATTATTTATAGTAAATTTATTTAAATTTATCTCATATAATTAAATTTATTTTAATGATTCCATTTTGCTTGCTTTTTCATATTTTCATGTATTCATGTATTTATTATTTTGTTAAAGGGAAATGGGAATGCACTCAAGCAATGAATTCAATTAGGTCACGTGTTGGTGTAGCAGTAATGAATCGTATCCTTTATGCCATTGGTGGCTTCAATGGTCAAGAAAGGTTAAGAACTGTAGAACTTTTTGATCCCGAAAAAAAGCAATGGAAAGAGGTATTTTTAACGATTTTTTTACAATAATTCGCTGTAAAAATCTACTCACTATCCCAGCATCTTTATTTTATCAATTATATCATTTATTTATATAGATATTTATTTGTATATGGCGAGCATTTTCATTGGTTAGTTTGGCTCCGCTGGCCACAAAAATTATGCTTACTTTTTTACCATATCGAAAAATAACAAAAGCCACACTTATTCTCGTCGTCTAAGGTTTTATATCGCTACCTGCCAGTAGATCAAAATTTCATCTGTACCATCCCAGCTCTTATTTGTTTAACCTTGCTTCCACCACTGAGCAATTAATGAAATAAACATTAATTCTTGACGACCTAATAATACGGCCTAACCATTGCCTCTTTTCTTTTCGTGCCATCGTATAGAATACAGTTTTTGTTATAATTGAAAATTCGCCCAAGGAAACGATCCTTTTTGGATCTTATTAGAGCGAACAACAAATCTCCAAACATGTTCTCATCTAATGTCTAGTCATTTCATGGGGTACTTATTTTTAAATTCATCCATCTTCCTCATTGTGTTCATGTGATTCTGTACGAGATGAAACTTCGACTTCTGCACAATTCATTCTGCAATTAGCCATTTCTGCCATTTCCTTCAGGGATTCATTTATAGAACTTAAGGGCTTTCGATGTACTTTCGATTGCATTGTTTGGTGCACCAATTGCAAAATCATGAAGTGCTACAATTCCAAAGTCACGCTGTTGTATAAATTTAAATGCGTAAATTACCCAAAATAAAATAAATAAATTTAAAAAATAAATTAAAATCGCCTACTGTTTCTGATGTGAAAAGGGAATTGAGTGACAGTTGGCATTTTAGCTAAATGACAACAAAGAAAATATACGACCACAGACCTAGATACAAAAAAAACCGGCAGAATTCTTAGGATTATCCAACAGTGTTAAAGCGAAGCGTGGGAAATGCAGTTGTATGAGATCCTCTTGATGGATAGTAAATTATATCTTAAGGCAATAATCAAAGATAGTTTCTTAATATCTTCCATTATCATTAATCATATAACAAGATGATGCGCTTTGAAGCAGATAGATCCATGCTTTCTTCTTGATCATGATCGCGATCATTCATGATCGCTCATCCCAACGAAAGAACTTATTACTTTTATATCTATCTGTGACTGTCTTGACTGTATCCTATCAGTGCTATTCATATATCAATACATTCAGTAACTTTTATAGCTTTCCAGTTTCCAGTTTTTTTAGGTATGTCCTTTGATAAATAAACGGTCAGCATTGGGTGCTGCAGTTGTAAATGAGCGTTTATATGTTTGCGGTGGTTATGATGGTATAAGCTCTCTGTCATCGGTAGAAGTTTATGATGCAAATACTGATAAATGGACATTGACTATTCCAATGAATAAACAGAGATCAGCGGCTGGTATTGCGGTTATTGATAACTTTATATATGGTTATTTTTCAAAGATTTACTTTAATTTTATTCATATTATTTTATTATTTTCGTCTCAGCATCTTATTTCAATTTATTTTCCTTTTTTTTAGTTGATATTTTTTATATTTTTAAATTTTTTTGTTTAAATTTTTTTAAATTTACGTACATTGCTACTTATGCGAATAAATAAATGAATATTGTAAGATTTGAAAGAAAATGGGATAGGATGGCTCAGTGGGTTTTTGCTGAAGTTTTTGCAGTGGGTTTCTTTTGTTTTGGAGCTCCAATGGTTGAGGTTCTCTTCCCCACAGGAGTAAAACCGTCCAAAAATCCGGGTGATGCTGATGACTCATCAATACTTCTGTCGCCAAGAGAGTCCCTGGCATATTTGTTCGATGTGATAAGCCAGCAGAGCGAGTTTAACCAGTAATGGTAAGGACTCTTAAAAAAAAAAGATTAGAAAGAAAAAAAATCAAATATCACTTGTTTCAGTTATACGTTTAGCAGTTACTGTTTTCTGAAGCTACCACTGAATTTAAATCTCTCAACTCCGTTAATGAATTACAGTAATTGGTGGCCATGATGGCATGTCTATATTTAATTCTGTGGAGCGTTTTAACGTTGAAACGGAAGAGTGGCAATCTGTTAAACCAATGGGAAACAAAAGATGTAGGTCAGGTGCAACAGCTTTACGGGATAAAATTTATGTCTGTGGAGGGTAAGCTTAATAAACTTTGATATTTCAGAAATTTCGAAAAGAAAATATCCATTTTCAGTTATGATGGGCGTCAGTTTTTAAAAAGTGTGGAAGTATATGATCCCGATAAAGATGAATGGAGTCCTCTGTCACCAATGCATTTTAAACGAAGTCGTGTATCATTAGTAGCAAACTCGGGGATGTTATATGCTATTGCTGGGTAATTTTAGATTGTCATTATTCTCAGAAATATAAAATTTTTGTAGAAGTTAATCTATCGTGTTAAATGTTATTTCTAACTTTTTTTTTTAGGTATGACGGTATATCTAATTTAAGTTCAGTGGAAATATATAATGTGGAAGAAGATAGTTGGACTCTAGGATCAAGTATGATCGCTCATGAGGGTGGTGTTGGTATAGGTGTAATTCCGATTCCTGCTGAAAGATTGTAACTACTATTTTTAAGCAGAAATATTTTCAATAAAAAATTCGCTTTCGCTATGAAATTCGTTGTGATGAAAACAGTGGTATCAAAAATAAAATTTATATTAATAAAGTTGCTTAATTTTTTATTGTTGTTAGATATCCTTTTTTTGGTTTTTTAATACATTATTCGTCTACAATCTGGAAGATTTTTTTCTTTGAATATAGAATTAAATGCTAATGTCTCAAAAAAAGGTTTTCGAAATAATGTGGGCTTGCGAATAATTGGTTTTGCAAATTATCTAAAGTTTAGCTTATTTATCTATCCAAATTACTATATTTTCCAAAATAAATTATAGTCAAAGATGTCAGAACTTTTTTATGATAAAATAATATTCGTTATAGAAAAAATGTGTTTTCCGGCTATTATGTATTTTATCAAGTTATTTGATGTTCCAGTGTTTGGCTAGTTTTTGTTTTCAATAATTGTTATGCTAATTTCTTCAGTTATGCTAATTTCTTCAGTTCACGTGTTTTCTTGTAGCAGTTATGTATCTACTATATATTTTTCAGTTTAATTAAGCATTAACTGTCGACTTTAAGCAGAGTGATGTTGTCGCATAACTTGGTGTTATCTATTTGTGGAATTGTTCGATGGTGAGGTATTCTTCGTGCATAAATTTTTTGCTATTGTATAAAGCGTGTAATTGAGAGGTTTTAAAAATTTTATCAATTAAATTTCGTAAATTGCTAATTTTGCTCTGAATAACTTAAATCTGAAATATATTATCGCTTGGATTGTCATATTAAGTATCACAATTTGGATTCTGCATCAAGAAGTAAATCTACCTAAAAAACCTGTGCAGTGAGCAAGATGAACCTGTATGTCCGAGTGAACTGAATGTCAAAAAAAGGCTTGAAATTTAAAAAATTTGCGATATCCATCTGCTCCTCTAACCTAAAGCGAATTGTCCAGAAACCTTAAAATTAGACGTGAAAAAGCTGATCAAAAAGAGCGAGGAGGGCCAAATAAAATCTGGATTGATTCTGGATTCAGGAAAAGTTTTGAGTATATAGATCCGGTGGAATATTGACTTAAACGATGGAAAAAACGATTTTGGATTCTGATGGCTATTCCATTTTTGTATCAACTTTTGTAGATAAAGCATTAAGAATCACGATATTCACGATATTTATACGATTTACTCGATTTGTTCAAATGGATGATATTTTTCATTATCCTAGGTCAGTATTTCTTTCGAAGACTTTGACCTTAAATGCTCATTTCCCTCATTTAAATCTTAAAAGCAGTTGAAGGCAGAATAGACAATAGGTTGCTGCCAATATAATCGCCTCGAGTACCAAAAAAATTTCGGAATTTTCGGAATATCTCCCATCATAGAGCCAAAGCTATCATTAAAAAACTCGGGTGAAGCTGTATATTGCTATTCCAAATAAATTACTTAGCCAAAGTTTCTATGAGATTTCTTGAAACAAATTGCCAAAGAAACCTTTTTTTTCATCCATTTATCGTTGCTTTTTTTGTAATGAAAATTTTTATTTCATTTTTACATTTTTTTGATTTTCATTTTTTAAATTAATTAAATATTTTAAATAGCTGATTTTCATTCTTAGTGGAACTGTTTTCTTTATTCATAACTCTTTTGTTTCACTAAAATTTTCAATTTGTTTTATTTCAAACATTCTTTAATTTTCTTTGTTTCTTTAAATTTCGCTTATCAATGACTGAAAAGTTTTAATTTTTTGGTAATTTTTTCCAAACTTTTAAATAGGAGACCAACAAAAATTTGTTGATTAGCAAAAGAATATTTATACTAAAAAAAATTGGTAAAAATTATACAACTTTGTGAAATATTTTTTCGACTATTTTGATCATAGCGATCATTATTTATTATGTGAACTGAGAATGCTGATCCCCTGGTATATTTCTTCGTTGACCTTTTGTCTTGGTAAGAATAAATAGACACCTATATGTTACAAATCGAATTATATACGTAAAAAATAAACAAAAATTTTAATGCAATGAACGAAGATAAACTATATTTAAAAAAAAAAAAAATGAAAATAGTTACAGCTTTACAATGTTCAATAAAGGAAATTCTTTTTAGACACTATACATAACTTGGAAGCAAGACAGCCAAGTAGTCTCAAGCATCAAAGTCCTAAATGGTGCGAAACCTTCAACCTTAAGTGTTTTAACTAAAATATGACGCGATTCTTGGCAAAAATATTTTTATAAATTTTATAATTCTGGGCATTCAATATAATCTTGATTTATTTTCTGCACGAAAGTGATAAAAGTCCATAGCACTTATCGAAATATTCCAACCAGCCGTCACTGTCGCAATATAAAAGATAAAAAGAAATGTTATAGGATAAAAGAATATATGTGTATTCTTCAGAATTGGTAATGCTAAAATTTGAACTTAATATAGCAAAGAATATTATAAAATTGCAAAAATTTTCAAAAAAATATCAAACAGAAAGGACCTGTATAGCCGAGAAAAGATATATATATGTAATAAACCACTGAAGCAAACCATAAGCCATTGCCGTAAAGACGACACAAAAAAGAATCATAGCCAATAAGAGCTAAAAATTTTGAAGAAACAAGCAAAGAATGAAATAAACGATGAAACAAATTGGACTGAAAATGAAAAAAAGGACATTAGAAAAACGTCGATTAAGCTTCTTGCTTGAATATAATATGGTTCAAAATTCGATTTAAGGCATACTTGAAAAAGTAATAGGCATGACCACATGGAGAAGAATAAGTACTGGGAAAAACGCGTTAAGATGGACGTCAAAACAATAACCCCATTCAACATCCTGGTCATCGACTCGTCGAAAATAACGATTTGAAATAAACCTATTATTCAAAATATTTAAAATCTAAGAATATAGCGATCTAGTTTCATTTAAAATTTCAATTTTTTAAGACGATTTCATACTACAATAATTAAAAAGAACTTGGAGCTTGGAGAACTCTATTCAAAAATAATTAAACTAAAAAATTAATTAATTTTAAAAAATTTTAAAGCACCTCATCTAAGAAATATTTAAAAAACAAAACAAAATCTTATCGAAAAAACTAACCAAAAAATAGTGGCAATGATCAACCCTACAGCAATGCAATCGATGAATACCACCCACAGAAAGAAAGCTAGAAATCCAAGAAATGACAAATTGATAACGAATGAAAAAAGCAGACTAGAGAAAAATAATGCTACTGCAAGCAAAACCAAAAAGGCTGGATCATCTCGAGCCCATTGATCTTTTGTTCCTAAAACAGTTCATAAATTAAAAAAAAGAGTGGATTACTCATATTTCGGTGGAAGGTGGATGAGTTTTTATTAGTAACAAGTTTAAAAAATGATAAATACCACAGGAATGGAAATAAAGAAAACAAAAATGTAAAATTAGAGGATGCAATAGAAAAAATAAGATAAGATGAAGGAACTAAAATAACTTTTTTCCCTAATATTATTATAATTAAATAAGAAAATTAAATATTCTAGAAATAGAAAATGGCCAAATAATTAATTTAGGAAAATCAACTTATAATTGAAAATATACTTAAATCTTTAAAAACTTTCAATATCAAACTCACTTTTACGATACATAAAATTGCGATATACTTTTTGTGGCTGAACAAGTAAATATATCATTTGCCAAATAGCAAATTCAAAATCCATTTGTTGAAATCGAATAAGTCGACGAAAATATCGCCCCAGTTTTGCTGAAGCTGTCATCCTCACGGCAGTCAAGCAACCGATTTGATCCGGTAAACTAAATATTGCAAAAATGTATATTTAGAATTAAATTTGTATTTAAGTTGAATTAATTTCTTAAGTTGAATTAATTTCTAAATTCTATTAAAATTTCTAGAAAACCTATTTTCACGATTGCATAGCTCAATCATAATATATATCTAAGCTAAGAATGTAACTGATAAAAAACATACGAAAAGGAAGATTTGGAACGAGGCGAATTATAACCGGTTGAATAAGGACTTTGTCTCACATATCTTGAACGATCAGCAACTACACCTGGAGATGCGACCAATGATGGAAATTGCAGTGATGGTGGAATTAAGTTATTCCCACTATGAGCCTCATTCATCGAAAGATGCAAGAAATGCAAATATGAAAGGAACTCATTCTTTTAAAAGTTTTTTAAAAGGAAAATGGAAAAAAAAAAAATTAATTTAAATCAAATCGAATCAAATCTGATCCATAGAACAAATATAAAAAATAAATAACAATTCGTTAAAAATATCGAAATTGTACAATATTGAAAAAAAAGAATTTTTTTAAAATATTTATTGCTAGAAATCAATAAAATTAGAAAAAAAGCAAGAAACAGTCAATAGGATTACAAAGAAAATTAATAAAAATAAATACAAATAAATACTAATTATTAAAGAAAATGTTTCAAGACACAACTCCCAAACTTCTAAACTGCAAAAAAATAGCGAAAATAGCTTGGTATTCTTATTTTTAAATAGACTAAATTTACCATTTGATTATAAAAATTACCCTAAAAAATGAATAAAACGTTAAAAAGCAATAAATCACCATCACGACTTTCCAAAAAATAATCAAATAAAACGTCATACCATAATAACAAAAAAACGACAAAAATGAGCAAGGAAAATAAATAAAGCCATCAAAAACTGACGTATATAAGCCACAAGTATTGCTATAACCAAAAAAAATCCGAAATAATTTTTTTGAAATGACTGAGGAAGCAAATCGAATCGGCAAAACCAACTTGCGAGCGTTTATCTGAAAATCTCTTTCCCTTTCACAAAAAATATAAAATTTATACTAATCATCACTGAAAAAATTTAAAAAAAGAAAGTTGAAAAAAATTTGTTGAAAGCAGTAAATACAATACAAATCCGGGTTTTTTTACTAAATTTTAATTAGCTAAAAAAAGATAATGAAAAAAAATAGTAAAAAGTAGGCAAATAAAACAATTTATGGGCGAAAATGTAGTATTGTGATAGAATGGATTATATGAAATTCTATAAAAAGAGTAAAGCGCAGAGACGATAACGAAAAAGTAAAAAGGGAAAATAAGAAGAAAATAATAAGAAAAATACGCCCTTTCATTGTTGCTGACCACAAAAATGAATTGAATTATTTCCACAAATTTGACACACTGATATAATCCATGTAATAAGTAACTAAAAATGAAACTGTCTATTGAGGAGAAATTTTTTCCAACTAATTCCTTGAAACAAAAGGCCAACCTAGTTGGACTTTAATTTCCTCGTACCTCACTGGACTTCAGAATTAACGGAAAGAATTTTTCTCGAAAATAACCCATAGTGATATTAGGAAAGGGTCAAAATAATTTGTGAGGCCTTAGAAATTTCTTCTTCTCAATGAAATTTATTTAAAAAATCACAATTGTCCGCTTTTTAATAAATGTTTTTTTCTGAAAAGCGTCCACCACTTTCAATTTTAAGCTCGCACTGCAGATTTGGCAGCAGTAAACTAACTTTTGCCGGGAAGTCGCTTGGTGAGACGGAAATACAATTCGCCGGCGCTACCCCGATTTCTGAAAGACAGCTCTCTTATCGCTGCGAGTCGCAGAACCGCAGAATTCCGAAGAGGGGAGAGTTGCACTACGCTTTCACCAAATTAATTTTCAAGGTTTTTAAACTAAATTAAATTAATTCAAATAAAATAAACTACTGAAGCAAATTCAAATTTAATTTTGAAGGAAAAACAAACTTAATTTTTCTCTTTTCGTTGATTTGCCAGAAAATAGTGAAAAAGCACAACAAGCAATAACATTATAATACCTAAAGCATTCGCCATAACTCCAAGCTGCGTATCGCTTATCATTTTCGCTTCAACGAACCTGCGAAAAGAATAAATGAATGAGGGACGTTGAGAGCAACGTGGACGTCTAATACACAGTAAATAATTGCGGGGGGGGGGGGGGGGGAGGGGATTTCTTCTGAATTTCTTCACAGCCGCGAAATGCGGTAAAAACCGATTTAATCCAATGGTTTAAATTTATAACATTAATCATAAATAATAATAAAAAATAATAAAACTTATCGGGTCGCTTTCAAACGAATAAAAACTCTGAAAACGCAAATTTTGGTTGATCTATAGAGCCATTAAAGAATGAAGGAAAAGAGAAATAGGAGAATATAAGTTAAAATACCTCAATCAGGCGACTGTAACGTTGGCAGCACAGTTTGAAAATTGAAAGAAATTTGGAGGCCGATGATTAGCAAAGTGAAATTTGCAGCTTTGTAGAGTTGAAAGTAACTGTGGATGTCGTTAAAGGAGCGAAGATGGTTCGTAGGAAGTTTTAAAGAAACAGAGATAGGGGAATAGGAGGGAGGGGAGGGGGTCGCAGTGAAAAGAGTGGGGCTACGAGTTTCTACTAAAAAAGGTCGTCAAAAGGAACAAATTTTTGCTTTGTTTTTTTTTGAAGATCGATTATCTAATTGATTTGCGAATGAAATGAAAAAATTCTAATAAATTTTAACTCTAACTTAATGCGAAGTTCTGAGAGGTTATTCTTTGAAGGTTTACTTTCTGCAACTTTTTTAAATTTTGTGGACTGAAATTAATTTCAGTTAATATAAAAATTGTATTGTGTATGGCTGAAAATACTGAAAACTTCCCTCTCGCTGATGATGGTTCGCATTTTTCTATTTTATTTATTTGTGGGTTTAATTGCAATCGTTTTTCTATGTGCATTTCTTTCCTTCCATATGGTCAACGCCAAGTTAGCATTTCATCCAATCGCGATTTTTGAGCTAAAAATGGATAAAACTAAGGAAAACGGATTATAGAGAGAAAGCTGCTAAAACCACATTTCCGTTATTTTTCTCACTGTTATTATTATACAACTGCAATTATTTTAATTAATAAAGCCGTTTAATAAAAAGAAGAAGACTTCTGAAAAATAACCCTAAAAGGCATTTAATTAAGATTGTTTTTACAGTAAAAAAGTTTTTATAGATGAACATAGCAATATAATTGATACAGGTGGACGAAAACCATTGCCAGCAAAGCCACTGCCGAAGGAAGAATGCGAAGATCAAGAAGAAAAAGCGCGATTAATTGCGCAAGTTCTCGAATTACAAAATACTCTTGATGGTATGCGTTTTTTGACATTGATTTGGTTTAAATTAATTAACCTGGAGATGGAAAAAATGGTTTCTTCAATGATACTTGATGCCAGCTATGTAAGTTAGTGGTTTTGCTTGTGGTTGGGGCTACTCCAGTTAAAGTCAAGCAAGTATCATGAATTTGATTCATTGATGTCCACTGTTGGGAGTAAATTGTCATTAAAAGCTGCGCATTCGCTTATTTTCAGTGGAATCACCCGAATCAGAAATAATTATGAAGAAATTTCATTGATTAACACAAATAACAGAAAGATATTACAGGTCACAATTTCGTAACATTGCACTTCCCAGATATTTTGGGCTGCTAGGTGCCATAGACTAGTTATAACATTTATTGTGGGATAGGGTATAATTTTTTTTTTTAAGAAATTATGCTCAATTTATTTTGTTTTACTTGAAAATTATTTCTGATAACAATTCAGCTAAGTTCTCTTGAACTTTTAATTTTTTTTTGTCTTTGGCAGGAGTAAACTTGCTATTATATCAAAAATCCGGATGCCTGCTGGGGACCCACCTACATCTCTATCCCCAAGTGACTCTATAGTGAAAGGGTCAGATACACTTCATACGGCATCCACGTCTCCCGACGCGCATGATACTTCGAACTCAGTGGTACATGCGATAACTATACAATCCGAGCTTAAAGCGATCCCAAAGATGGTAAATAAAATGTGCTCTCAAGCCAGGGTAATTGCTCGAAACCTATCAAGAAGGGAAACAGCACGCGCGCGCGGCCAGGTATTAGCCGTATTGGAAACGTTAGAGCGCTTATTGACGTTGCAAACCAAGCGATCACTGTCCACACCCTGTCTCAGTATCGTGTGGATTGCTTGTCAAAGGTCCATCTTCCTCACTTTGGGTCTCGAGAAATTATTAATCCTGGTTCAGAGCAGAGATACTGGCTACATCACTGTGATGTTCGAATAACTCGGGACGAAATGGTGTAGCGATTGTCATATCTGACAAGGCCCATTCCGCTTTGATTGAGTGGAAACCGGTAAGCAACCGTATGGCCTATGCCCATTTTAAGGGTAAGTTCTGCTATATCTCGGTCATTAGTGTCTATGGTTCAACGCTGCCGGCAGATGACCGTGATAAAGACAAGTTCTATGCGGAATGCGGAATTTCAACTGCTAACGAAGTCTCTATCGAAACATGACATGATCATAATCGGGAGAGACTGGAATACTCGCATAGGTCATATTGTAGTGACCTACGATGACCTCAACAATTGGCAAATATGGCATCGGAGACCGGTGTGTCAATGGGGAACGTCTTCTTCGTTATGCCGAAGAGCATGAACTTTTTGTTACTAATACTTGCTTCTAGCATCATAAAAAACACCACGTGGAACTCCCCGGACAACCAACACTTCAACCAGATTTAGTCAGTCGTCGTTGGAAGAGTTCCGTACTAGATAATCGTTCCTATCGCGGAGCTGAAACGGGCAATCTTCATGGATCTGACCATGTTATGGTTCGAGCCAAAATCCGCATAAAATTGACAACTCGCTGAAAACAACATTCCTCAAGATCCTTCAATTATCTCAAACTAAAAATTTCGAGAAACAGTAAGGAGCATTTCAAACCGAATTATTGATGCATCTCAGTGATACAAATGTCAATAATTTTTCTGGAACGGCAAATGAACACTGGTCCAAACTAAAGGAATGTCTCCGAAAATCAGCCACTTCCACGCTAGTGCATACTAGTAGGAAGTGTGCTAGTTGGGTATCGGAAGCAACTGTCCAATTGCCTGAAAAAGCTGCCAAAGCACGAATGTCAGGTGACCCTGACTACCGGATGCTTCAAAGATTTGCAACGAAAGCAGCAAGGCGGGACAGAAATCTCTATTGGAGTGACATGCCCTGAAGAATGGAGGTGGCGGCTCGATTAGGCGACAATAGGAGACTATTCTGCCTTCTTCATAAAGCAACTATGACTCGGGGAACGATCAGTGAAATGGTAAGAGATAGCAATAGCGTATTAATTAAAAATATTAAGGATCGCCTCATAAGATGGAAAGAATTCTTTGAGGCCAAACTTAACCATGAAGCGCCATCTGTTGCCCCTGATATAGCTGATACGTCTGCCAAAGCATACGTTTGCAAATGCGAGCCTCCAACAGAAGAAAAAATAATTTCAGTTATCCATAAGCTTAAGGCCAACAAAACTCCAGGAGAAGATGGTCTTCGGGCTTTTCAAATGCTGTCCATTGTCCTTCATAAGGCACCTTCAACAAATGTACTCTTTAGTATGAAAAAAAGAAATATTACCAGATGATTGGAGCAAAGCAATTCTGCTTCCAATTCTCAAGAAATAAAGGTGATAGGACATGTTGCGACAATTATCGAGGAAGCCTATTAGAGGTCTCAGCAAAAATTTTTGCTTCTGTTACTCAACAGACTTATGGAAGTACGAGACAGCAGGATGCGCCCTAATCAAGCTGGTTTCAGACCAGGGCGCGGTTGCGCTGACCAGATATTCACGTTAAGAAGGGTGTTGGAACATCGCTTCAAATATTTGCAACCCACTGTCACGTGTTTCATCGACTTTGCGGCTGCCTTTGATTCAATTGATAGAGCGGTGCTTTGGAGAATGATGGAACGTGATGGTGTTTTAGAGAAAATCATTAGACTCATAAAGGCATTTTATGAGCGTACATCGGCGCAGATCTGTGTATATGAGGAGCTGACAGATTCCTTCGAAATAAGAACAGGTGTCCGTCAGGGCTGCGTCCTTTCTCTCACAATATTCAACTATGCGATAGACTGGATAATGGGCATTGCTTGTCGGCTCTCAAGAAGTGTCCGAATCAGTCCAGAGCATCGTATCACAGATCTTGAATACGCTGATGATCTAGTACTTTTTGCTAACGAAATGCAAGTAATATTAAATAACGTGTCAGAAACTGCAGCAAGAATCGGACTCAGGATCAGTGTAAATAAAATGGAAGTTTTTTCGTCTTATGTGCAAGAAGCTGATAAAATGCCTCTTTTTTTGTAAATTCATTGCCGGTTGAGGAAGTGCTTGATTTCAAATACCTTGGGTCCACTCTAATACCAAATGGACAGGCAAAAAATGATATTATAACTCGGATCACGGCAGCTAGAAATGCGTTCTTCCGGTTGACGAAATCTTTATGGAATCGTCGTGAAATCACCATAAAAACGAAAATCCGCATCTATATTGCCATGATCCGTTCGATCTTATTATATGATTCTGAGACATGGCCAATGAGAGTGGAGGATATTAAGAAGTTATCTGCCTTTGACCACTCTTGTCTAAGGTATATTTTACGGGTTCACCGAGTGGGTAAAATCTCACAAGATCGCATCCACCTTTGTTCAAATACCACTTGTATAAATAATGTTATCACAGAGCGCCGCCTTCGCTGGTTAGGGCACATTCTCCGTCGTCCACCACTCGAGTTGACGCATATTTCGTTATTTGCTAAAGTGTGATGGTTGGCGTCAAAAGCGAGGTGGGCCAATCAAGACAGGGATTGATACGATGAGAAAAGATTTTGAACGTATAGGTAGGTGGACCAGCAATATATGGACTTAGACGATGGAAAAAGGAATGGCTTCCATTACTGTCGACGATGGCATCAGACCGCGCAGCTTGAAAGCGTTTTACCCTTATAGCCGTTGGAGTTAGCCTAACCAGTAATGGTGAGAGCTGTTAAAAGAAGAAGAAGAAGAAGGGTATAATGGTGAGAATAATGGAATACTAAGTTTCATATGGTAATAGGTTTCTCACTGATCCTTAGTCGACCCATATTTCATTCATAAAAGGAGTGGAATTTTTGCAGTTCTTTAAAAAAGTTGTCTTCCAACGATGAATTTTCCCCTTTTTTTACGATTAAATTCACTTCCAAAATATATCTTTTTGCTTGAATATGTCTTTTTTTATAGATTTAAGTCAACGTGTTGATAGCGTTAAAGAGGAAAGTTTAAAACTTCGATCTGAAAATCAAGTGCTTGGGCAATACATACAAAATTTAATGGCATCAAGTGCGGTCTTTCAATCTTCTCATCCAAGAGCGACAAGCAACAAGTAATTCAGATAATCAATCAATGTTGATAAATTTATTAATTAGCTTTAAATATAGCAAAAAAAGTGGCCGATTACTTTTCTTAGATTTCCAGTTTTTTAATTGTATTCATTTTGCTTGTTAAATTTCTAAATTATTGCCTCAGAACTGCTTTAAAATTTATATGTTAATGAGATTTCTATGTTCAACTTTTATTTATTGACTTCTTTGAAAGTTTTTGAAATTTAAAAAGAAAAATATAATGGAATTTATAATTTTAGTGAATCTTTTAATTTCCTTTTAAAAAATTTATATAAATATTTCTAAATTCTGACATTAGTGTAAGTGTTTTTGTTTAGGCTCGTTTCACTGGCTGTTAGTACAGTGAGAAATTTTTGCCAGGGAGTAGTCATGTGGGAAAAGAAGAACAGGTGAATTCCCAACATCGCTCGGAATTCAGTAATTGATTAATTTTGGAAATTATTAGTTTTAACTTCATTTTATCATTTATTAGTTTTCTAATTTTCTTCTGCGAGAATTTTAATTGTATTCGAAATATGAATCCTGTTTCCTCATATCATATTTTTCCTCTAATTTTTTCTATGGTAAATCGATAATTTGATTAATTTTTTGAATATTTTGATTTTACAAGGAAATGATTTTTCGCTTAATTTATCTACAAACTTCTTTCTTTCTTATCATCCTCATCATTATCATATTTTACAGTTTCTAAATAAAAATTCATTATTTTTTAAACGATTTCTATTTTTCTATTTTATTCATTGAATCGTCTTTTATCAATTTTTTATTAATTTTTTGTAATATGTTTTTTAGTTTCACTTTTTCTCACCAGAAAAGATAAGATAAATTGTTTTAAATAATAAATATTTGTGGTAGTTTTTATTTTTTAACTTTCAACAAGCAATTTTTCAATTTTTGTGGTTCGCGTGTTTTGTTTTTTTATATTTTTGTTACCTAAATAAAGTAAATTAAATAAAGTTAGTTTTGTGGAAGAGGATTTCTTTATTTATCGTACTTTTTAATTTGTTGTTGTTTGTTAATTTACTTTATTCATCGATTTTTAGAGGCGAAATGTTTGGTTCGTTCTTTTGGTGAAAGTCATCTCATCTCGGCTCTCTGCTTATCAATATTCTCATTAAATTATCAATCTGATCACCGTTATCATCGAGTTCCCCAGGGATGAAAAGGAACTAATGCGCCGCTTCCAAAGGACTACTTTTTTGAGATTGGACGATATGTTTGTGCTTAAATAAAATAAATCAACTAATAGATAATGAGCTTTTTTCTTAGTTCTCGATCGCAATCGTGATGAGCAGAAAATCTGTGAATCCCACTAATCTTCTTTCTCCATATTTTGCTGATTTTAGTTGTGCGAGTAAATTATTTGTAAAGTTTTTTATACGCATGCAATATACATTATTTGTTGCAATTTCAATGCATAAAAATATACAGGAAGAAATAAAAAAAAGTCGCAAAAAATAAAAATAAAATTTCACAGAAAATGTATTCACATTAAACTCAACAAAGTTTGAAACAAAGATACTTTTCGTTGTTTCTGGTAAAGACACCGAGCAATCAGATAAAGGAAGTGACGAGAAATATCTCAAATTATTAACGAATTACGAAAACGAGAAGAGATGAGATCGGTCGGCTGCGAAATCGAAACGAAAAAGAGGTAGGCCCAGAAGGCTTATGCAGCCGCTTTCTTGCCTTTGTGTGTTGCCTTTTTCGTTGCTTTTGATTTCTTGTTTGTTGCCGTTGTTTTCGGCTTCGCAGAATCGGCGACAGGTGCTGAAGGTGTCGCAGACGCTGTTGCCTTCTTTGGTTTCGTTTTTTCGACTTTCTTTGGCGGACTTTTTGTAATCTTTGTCTTCGTGATTTTCATTCTTTCTATCTTAAATTCGTATTTTTTTCCCATGAAATGAAGTTTAATACTTCGTAAATATTTTATAAATATAAAATTTTTTATAATTTTTATAAACAAATAAATAAATAAACAAATAAATAATATAATAAAATATAATAAGTAATAAATAAATAAATAATAAATGATAAGATGATAAATAAATAAACGATAAATAAATGATAATAAATGATAATGATAAACAAATAATAAATGATGATGAATAATAAATTCTTTTAATATTTCCTGAGAATTATTTGCCTTTTTTTTAGGTTTTGCTGTAACTTTCTTCGGTGAAGATTTCTTCACCGTGGCAACAGCGGGTTTCTTCTCGGCGTTCTTTTTGCTTTTCGAATCGCTTTTACTTTCCGACAATTTAAATGAACCAGATGCGCCAGTTCCTTTTACTTGCTTCAACATTCCCGACGCAACACCACGTTTAAGTCCGAGTCGAAGATGAGCATTTATCTGCAAAAATAAATAATGAGGGAAAATTTTGTAAAAGTGGAAAAAATATTTTAACAATGAAAACAATGAAAAATTCAAAACAAAGAACCAATCGTATAAAACTGGAGATAGGGCAGTCTAACGCTTGTTGCTCAAACTTTTTCTTCAACATGCAAAGACACTGTCGAAAAACCACCTGTCGTTCGTATGGGTGATCCAAGGAATCCGCGATAATTCTATGGCCAAGGGACTCTCCGGTGAAATATTTCTCATCGATGAAGCGAGTATAACGAGGTGTGATGAATGCTAACCCCTTGCTTAATACTGCATAAAATTAAAGTCATAAGCTTTTTATTTAAATTGCCGAAAAAAAAATATTTTTGCAAATGTGCAAAATTTTCGAAAAAGAAAGCGAACAAAATTCAAATTCAAAAAACTTAATTCAAAAAAACCAGCTTCTCGGCATTTTCTATTTTTTTCCATTCAAATTATAAAAAATTAATTTTAAATCTTTAAAAAATTAAATTTTCTAAAAATCGCTAAATTTTCTAAAAAATAAATCGTAAAATTTGTTTTAAATCGTAAAATTTATTTATTTGAATAAAGCATTTAAAAAAATCAAAACTTGAAAAATTTAAAAAAAACGAACTGCAGCTAAATTGTCGCCAAGTGAATAGGTTTGAATGATATATTTGAGAACGGCAGCTCGACTCGACCCCTTGCTATCGTTCAAGTGAATAATCGCTGATTTTATCATATCACCATAGGGAGGATGATTTGAGGCCATCTTTTCTGCCTTTGTCTTACCTCGACGCTTCTTACTTACTGGTGACTTTTTTGATGGCGATTCACCCATACTCACCGACTCGTTTACCGCTACCTCTGTCGACATTTTTCAAAATAATTCCACAACGCAGAAGACCTGAGGAACCGAACAAAAACTGATCGCAAAATGTAATCGAACAGAGATGGGTGAGCTTCTATAGAGGCGGGCATGACTACATCGCGACTCCTCTTATAAATTCGCTTTCAATGTCAAAACGTTGAAAATTATTGTTAAGTATATTTCGATTTTAGCGAATTTTTTAAATAAAATTGCGAGAAATTTAGAAAATTTTCTTAAAAACTTTGAGAAAATATTTTTTTTAAAAGAAAAATTAAAATCTTCGAAAATTTTCCAAAGTTATGCAAAAAAAACGATAAGAAAACGAAGAAATTTTCAATGATTTTTGCATTAATCTCATTTAATTTCCTAATTTTTATTTATTTATTGGAATTTTCTATAAAATTTTTATTTTTTAATAAAAAAAAAATTCTTTTCTTATAGGAAAACATAAAAATTTGAAATTTTTCCGAATTTATAATCAAAAATAAGTATAAAAAAAAATACCATTCAACAAAACTGTTTTATAACGTTAAATATATTTTCGGTTAATTTTTACAAAATTTTCCCAGTTTTTTCAAAATTATTTAGATTTTCTTTTAGATTTTAATTAACTTAACCGATTAATGCTAAAAATTCGTAGTTTTCTCCAAAAAATCGAAAATTTAAGAGATTTTTTTAAAAAATTTTTTTTCATCTTTTATTTGAGAAATTTACAAAATTCAGCGAAAATTTTCTCATCGGAATTTAATATCGAATTTAATTTTTGAAACATTTTTTAAATTAAAAATCATGATCAATTTGATTTAATTAATAAATTAAAAATAAAATTAATTGAGATTTATGTAGCAATAAAGTATTGGAGAAATTTTCAGAGAATAAAATCCAAGCTGAATGGAACAGAAATTTTTTGATCTGTGTAATTAACAGATCGACGTGACCCATCGATTCGACGTGATCAGCTTGACCCGCAAATCTAAATCGTTTGTTGATCTAAAGCAAAGAAGCAATATCCAAATTTCGCAACGAAAACCAATAATTTCGTTTCATTGCTTATATTTGGTGATAAATTTAGATAAATCAATTGGGTCTGATCCGTGGAACTGACACTAAAAAGTATTTTATTGTTAGCTGCGAATCTAATTCGAACTAGACTTCAATTTAAATAATATAGGGTTAACAATTTTTTTCTTATCAATCTTTTTTAGAAGGATTATGGAGATGAAAGTGGCTGAGGCTTCACCAGTACATCCAAAGGATTTAAGGTGAAGCTGTTAAAAAAGCAAATAACTGTCTGAAAATTTTAAAAGTAAAAAGATTTGGAAATGAGAGTGAAGTTTTAAGCGAAAGCCATACATCTCTAATGATTTTCTGGCCACTTCCAAGATTTGTGTAGGCTATACGCGACTGTAATCTTTTCCAGCAGTTTCGTAGCACTCCATAGCCTTTTGTGAAGTGGAATCGTATATTTACCGCATGTGGAAATAATGAGGTGCTGGAAAGCTAAAGCAGGACGTAGATGTGATCCAGTATTACTTTGTCTATATTTAAAATAAAATCAGTCAACATACATATTTTCTTTGCAAATTCGTTATTTCTTTCTAACGGGACGTAGAATGGCTCAATTCGAAGCGCCGATGCTGGGATTCTACTTCTCGCAGGAGTAAACCTGTCCAAAATCCAGGTGATGCTGCCATTCACCTGTACATCAAGGGATTCCCTGGGACTGCATATCTGTCCAGTGTTACAAGTAAGCGGAGCGAATCTAACAGAGTTTAATGGCCTCTTAAAAAAACATTTTTTTCTAACATCTATATGTTGTAAGAGTAGGATAACCGACTGAGTAATGATTTAGATGATTTAGATTGTTGAAAAGCAATAGACAGAAATAAACCACGAAAAAGTGGTACTCGTTCTTCCGACTCTCCACAGAATTTCTGGAAGTACTGAAGAAGAGAGGGACTAATCTAGCCAATAATGGTGAACGCTACCCACTTACTTATTTAACTATACATTGAATGCTGAAAAATTTATCTCATATCTCATCTACAATGCAACCACATTACCAATGATGTGAATTAGCATAATACTTAACAACTACTGATCCATCCGTTCGATTCTATTTATTGCCAGTATTATTCGCGTTTACAAGAAATTGAGCCATAGGCTTAGTGACAATTGATAAATTCTTCATCCTCTACCATGTACAATGTTCTTGAGCTCGAAAATGTAGCTTTGAAACGAGCCAACAGGCAAGAAATAAACGTCAACAATCAAATGAAACAGAGGTCACCAAAGATTACACCTAATGAGATTGTTGTAGATCAGTTGAAGACTGATTGCTGCCTTTCGCAAATTGTTGCCATTTCATTCCTATCACAAGTAGAAAGATCTAATTATCCGAGTTCGGCTACGTTACACGATTCAATATTTTTTAACGGAAAGTAAACTCAAGAGACAAGCACCGCTTTTTTGAGCATTTTCCTCACAAACATCGCAGTGACGAAGGTTCCTCTAACATTGACCACAGTATCCATCAACTGCATTGAAATAACGACCGCGAAGGCACGCCAGTTGGAAATATTTTCACTGCTCACTTTTATGGAAATGGCGACGAGAATAATCCACTAAAGGAATGATCGCGTTCATCGAGGAGGTAGTTGAGATTTTATGAAAAGGTTGAGCCGCCTTGCCTCGATGATTGCTTAAACAAAAGCTAGAAGAGATAACAAATATAGAAGTAAATTTATCATATGAAATTACGAGAATATGAAAGGCGAGTTCTGTCGCATTTCTTGCTTTTACTTTTGTTGCATCGTAGCATACGTCTTCTGACAAACATGTTCTGGCAGAATCTTCGGACAGTTGGGCTGTTGCTTCTGAAATCTAACTAGTGCAAAAAAAAGTACGGTGAAATGATCCCAAATAATGATAATGTTTATAAGGCCTATCAAACGCACTTCGCCTTGTACGGTGGAAGAAGTTGTTTGAGGCAGAGCCTAATCACGATATGCCATCATCCTTGGCAAACACGTGAACCGAACGTCTAAAACTCGCGATTTCTCTCATACTGAATAGGATTATTATCGCAACACGATAGGCTAATCCGTCTCACGGCGCTCTGAATCCAGGAGGTAGTTGAGATTTTATGAACTATTGATGGAGAATAGCGCTTGATGAATTCTGCTTGACGGTGATGACGATGACGTTTCACAGTTGAGTTCTTTCTTTTGGCCGCTAAAAAAAATTTTCATAACACTTTTATTATCTCCCTCATTACTAATCAGATTAGAACCAAGTTCAACAGGGTTTTCCTCTCCGCCAGCTCGTTCCCTTGGCTGTGGTTTCGTTAGATGATAGCTAGGACAATGGCAATCTCATTCATCCATTCATCGAGGCGTTTGATTACCTTAAGAGGAAAAATTTATTTGAGGCAGCTGTCAAGTCAAATTCGAATTGCTTTTGACTACTAAAATTTCTGTTTGATATTTTATATTGTTATCATTTTTATCTTCTATATTTTCAAGTTGAGGAATGCACGCAGAACTTCGAAATTTTTCTTTATTGGTCGAGCCGCATCAACTCTTCGTTTCCACTTCGTATCCACGAAATTTTTCTAATTTCAGCTCACCGTTCACAAAAAACACTGAAAACAAATGCACAGAGTCTGCACCAAAAAAATATATTCTCTCACTTTAACCGTTACTGGCAATTAAGTTTAGCGACTAAGAAGGAAAGCGTCGAAAGTATGGAATATCATTTTACCATTTTACTGTTATATATCGAATCAAAGTAACGATACCAAAATAACGAGAATAGAGAATGGATGGATCGGATTGGAATCTGATTGGCATTAGGCGTTGTCGAGTGGCAATTTCGCCGTACGACGAAGGCAAAGGAAGATAAAATGGCTCAGCGCTTTATTTTGGAATGCCGATACTGCGGTTCTATGCCGGAATATTCGGATGGTGCTGGCGACTCATCCATACTCCAACCGGCAAATGGCTCCTCAGCAAGATTTATCTGCTTTGACATTTTTTCCTTATCCCTGTCAGCATACTCGATGCCTTCCAGCCGGGCCCCTCCACGGCACATCGTCTACTTATTATGGTCATTCAATCGCTCTCAAATACCTAAGCACCTAAGCCGTTTAGAATCAAAACTAATATTCGTCCTACAACGATTACTTGATTTCAGTATCTTTCAAATTTTCTCTCTTTCTCATTAAATAAAGCGTATGAAGCAAATTTCATTATGCTGCTTTCTAGTTATTTTATTAAACGTTAATGGATGGGTGAACGATGAAAAGCTTCGTATTTATGATTTGATTGATGAAATTAATGCTAATTTCTATGAATTTTTCAATTTGAGTCGGGTTTGTAAAGTTTTTTTATTTAAAATCGTTTTGTTTCTGTTTTTATTCTTTTTCCTTTTTTGCCAAAATTTCCCTCTAATCAATCGAATTTTTATAAAATTTTCAAGATTCCTTCTATTATCTGAAAGATTTTTTAGAATAATTTTCCTTTTTTTAAAATTTCCGAATTATTAAATTATTTCTGCCATTTTCAGTTTAACTATTTAATATAATTTATTTGTCCATTTTTTATTAATATTCATTAATTAATTTTTATCTTCTGTGCGTTGAAAATATTCAGTAAATTTAGGATGCAAGTGAGTCAGAAATCAGAAAAACCTATCGAAAATTGAGCATGAAATGGCACCCGGACAGGAACCGGGCCGAGGAAGCAGGCGAGCAATTCCGAAAAGTCAGCCTCTCTTCGCAACTTTCATTTTATTTTGATCATTTCTATTGCAAGAACTTATGTTTTGTATTAATTACCTTTATCTCCTCTCACACCGTCTTATTATTATTTCGTAACCAGTAAACGGAATGAATTCAGTTTTTTGATTTAATTTAATCAAAAAAGGTTAATTTATTTTTCTATTCTGAAGGTTCTATGCAAATTTTTCGAGAGATCCAATTTTTTGGTTTTGAATTTGATTTTTTGAAAATTATTTGTTTTTTATTTAATTTAATCAATTGATTAATTAATTTTTTAAAGATTGCTGCAGTTTATGAAATACTGCGATCTACAGATCGGCGTGCTATTTATGATCAGATCTTGGGAGAAGGATTACCTGATTGGCGGCGCCCTGTCTATTATTACCGGTAAAAATAATTTCCATTATTTCCTATTATCCATTTTTATTTATCTATCAAATATCTAGCACGAATTTTATATTGAAATTTGTTTTATATCTTTTATTGTTTTATCTAACGATATCGTTTACTGGTGAGGAAAAAAATGTTGTGCTACCAGTGAATATAAGGTTGTAGGGAAAGATTAAATGAAGGCTGTAAGTAAAGGAGAAGAAAAAGAGGGGGAGAAAAAGGAGGAATAGAGGAAGCAGAAAATGTAAATTTGCCAATGTAAAATTCATCTTGATGTGGACCAAATAGGCAGAAAATATCTTTTTAAAAAAAAAAAACGGCAAGAATAATTTTTAATTTATGGATAAATAATTTATAGAAATACTTTTTACTTTTTGTTGTTGCTTTGTTGTTTAATACTTTTTGTTTTACTATAATACTAAAAAAGTGTTTATTAACTGTTTCATTTTGTTATTTGTAAAAATATTTGTAATTATAAAAATATTTTATTTTATAATATAAACTTGCATAAATTTTTGTAAATTTCTGTATTTTTAGGGAAATTTAACTAAAAATGATATATAATGAATTTTATATTGAAATTTAACTAAAAATGATATATAATGAATTTTATATTGAAATTTGTTTTATATTTTTTATTGTTTTTATATTTTTTCTGGGAACTTTATGCCGAATTTTTATGATTATAATTTGTTTTTGAATTTTTTAAATTTTTTCCATAAATAAGAATTTTACAGACATGTTCGAAAACTGAGAAAAATATCGTTGGTTGAAGTGGTAATTATTATCGTTCTATTCATTTCAATTACAGACGCTATAATTACGTGGATCAATTTTTTCATGAAGAGAAATGAGCTGGTATATTAGTTTTTTTTCGTTTGAAAATTGTTATTTAATTTAATTTTTATTTATATAAGCTATTTGTTTAATAGTCAAAGTACATATTTACAGATTCAACGTTGTAAACGTTGTTGTAAATGGACATCAAGTATTACACCAGAAGAGAGGAAAAGAAAACAAGAAGAGTTGAACAGTAAAATTTCATCGCTTAGGCCCAAACTAAATCATTACATTTTTTTTCAGTTCTTTACAGCCCTTCACCATTTTATCAAGGACTATTGGCAAATTATAATTGCTAAAAACGCTGCAAAGAACAGCGAAGTATGGCTTCTTCTGTATAGAATATTATATACTGTATCTGTTTTTTTTTTCAATTTTTATTTTTCAGTGAATTGCAAAATATTATAGGGCTGAGTTTTTTTAGTGTTTATTCACGGTATTTGTTGATGTTGTGCAAGCTCCTAATAGTTTTGTTTTCTTTTTTTACTCTTTGTAAATTCATTCATTTTGAATTGAAAATGCGAGACTTTGAAATAAATTTTTAGATTAATTTTTTAGATGGAGATAAATAAATTTTTTAAAATAGATATTTTTCTAATTTTAATGGATCTAGACAAATAGACTTGAATGAATTGAACATTATTGTTTGAATCGTTTTTTGCTTCAAGTGGGATTTATCTCCATTTTTCTCCCTTAGCAGAAACATATCTATAAGTGGAACCGTGCAGCTATTGTGTTAACTACTTGTTTTTGTGACTTAGATTCTCGGTGGAGAAATCTCACTTTAATTAACAAGAATGAGGATATTGCGTGTTGTTAGGAGAGAAAGAAGATATATAAGAAGGGGTATTAGTACATAAATAATTTCATAGATAGGTACAGAAGAACCTGTTTCTTCATGATTATCAGTATTTTCCCAAACTGAGACAGATTATTGGCTTACTTGCCTATTTGCATCAGAAACAATTTAACTACTTTAACAATAATGTGTGATTTAGTGAAAACCATGTTTACAAGAATATTTCAGGATCGTATAGTAATTAAAAGAGCACAAGTTCCTACTTTTGTTCCTTTTCATGAATATGAGGTGGCTTCTGATGTTAAAGCTTTCAAAGCTGTTAATGATATATTTTCGTTCGGTCCAAATCCAGAAACTTCAGGAACTGGCGGTATGTTTCTTGTATTTTTAATAAATATGGGATCGATCTTTGAATTTTGTTGAGCATAAAAGAATCATCGCTTCTGTTATCATACTGTTATTTTATTTGTAGAAGTTTTTTCTTATAAGCTACTATAATAATTTGTTTTGAACTATTATTTCCTGCATTGGTTAGATGCTATTACTTGTTTTTTGTTTTTTAGTTTTCAGTTTCGCCTTGTATTTTGTACATTTCACTTATATGTTGCAGTAAATGGACTTATAATTCTAGGAGAAAAAAAATATGAGTGGTCTTTGGAGGAAATGAAAACACTTATTAAACTTTGCAATACGAAATATCGCATAGGAACTCCAAACAGGTGATTTTTATGCAATTATTTCACTTATTTTTTCTGTGATGGTTTCTGTTACTTCACCACCTTTTCATTTATTGAACTAATTGATACTAATCTGAATTTTTAAAGATAATTTCAGAAACAAAGAGCTAAGTAGAGTGTTGAAAAGAGATTTGTCTGATATTGCCAAAATGATTAGAGTGGTTAATGAAGTATGCGTTTTCGTTTAATATTTGTTTTCGAAGAATTGAATTTGCATTCCTTATTATCTCATAATCAAGTTTTTTTTCGCATCTTGTTCCTTTGTTTCTTCAAAATATTCGAAAAAAAATTGCTTTAATTCTGTAAATCTACAATTAATTCATTTTTCTCTATAAGATCTTCCTCTTAATTTCTCTATCATTCTTTTTAATATCACTCTTGCATATTCGCAGATATATAGGAAATATTCTTTTTTCTTAATGAATTATTCTAAATTAAATTAATTTTTTTTTTTTTATTGGTTTATTTTCTTAGTAATAAGATAGCTAAGGTGACTTTGGCGATTCACGTGTACTTCTGTCGTCAAGGGACTTCTTAGCATATTTGTCTATTGCGATAAGCCAGCGGAGAAAATCTAAGCAGTAATTGCGAGGACTATTAAACAAAAAATTAGATAGCTATTACAAGGAAATATAATGAATATAATATAAGAAATATAATAATAATGAAAATAATGGAAAAAAGGTCATAATTCTTGAATGAAGAATTTATAGAAAAATGGGATGTTGAATTTGATTTAATTTAAATTTAAAGGATTTATTTCCTAATTTATTACTTCTGTTAGTTAGTGTTATTTTATAAATTATACATTCATAGAAATTTCTTTTTTTTAAAATATGTTTTGGCATCCCGAAATTTCCACATTCGCTTCTTCAAAATTCATTTCCTTTCTTTCTCTTTAGAGCGATCTGTGTTGAATTCTTAAAAAAGAGTCATTTAATGTACAAAATTTGCGCAGTTTTAAAAGTTTTGATAAAAGTTTTTATAGAGCTTTACAAATTCAGAATGGATTGATGAAAGTATTTCGTGATATGAATTTGAATGATGAAATGACTAATGCATTTAATCTTACGATGTTGAAAACCTCCAAAAAATCGGGCAAAAATTGTATTGATGCCGAGAAATTTGACAATGGTTTGTCTAATTCAGGTATTTGGACGCAAATAGACCAGCGCAATTTAGAAATAGCGCTTGTTCGTTTCCCTAAAGGAACAGAAGATCGGTAAGTTTTTCCTTATGATTTACAAAAAATCTGTGCCAGAGTTTATTTGATATTTAAGGATGCAAAAATTATTCTTTTTATTTTTGAATGACATTTAACGAAAAATATAAAAATTATTTAGTTGGGATAAAATCGTAGAATATGTGCCGAATAAAACGAAGCAACAGTGCATTGATCGATTCAAAGAATTAAATGAGCTTATTCGACAGAGAAGATTTAAAAAATAATTTTTAAATTTGTTTTTCTTGTAACTTAATTTTTCATTTATGTATTTCGTATTTATTTTCGATTTTTATCTATCCTTACATTAATCCATTTATTAATCCATTTTCTTATTTCGTTGCATTTATGCCTTTTTCAACTTATCTTCATTCTAAATTGCCAGTTTTTAAGATAAAAGAAATTTTTAAAAAATTTTAAGAAAAAATTTGCTATTACCGCGGCCAGTTTGAACCAGTGAAAAATAATTTTTTATCAAATGAAGTCGTAAATGTTAAATTCTGAAGATTTGTTTTTTCACAAAAGAATTGGCAACAAGCGCCAGTCATTTGCTGGTATGTTAATTGAACTGAGAATTGGCCAATTTTTTCACATTAGCCTGATGAAATATCGTTAATGTTACAGATCGGCTAACTTCTATTCTCAGGTGATCTTCAAACAATAGGGAGCAGGATAGCTGAATGGATAATGGGTTGGGTCGTCGTATTTGGAGGCAAGGATTTGGTTCCTGATTCCGATGGTAGTAATTAGGGGTTAAATTTACATCAGCGTTAGATTGATAGGTTAAATAAAAGACTTCAAATATTCAAATAAAAGTTAGAAACCTTGTTGGCAGAAGAAAACACATAGAAAACAAAAATAAATACGAAAACACATGAGTTGAGTTTATTATCCGAAAATAGAAATTCAAACGCATTCCATGAAGTTTACTTGACATATTGCCATATTTTAATTAATCTTTTTTAAATGTTGATATAAATTTAAGATATAAATTAAGAGATATAAATTAGATATGAGGGCAAAAAATGACGGCAACCACGTGAGCAGATGGCTTTTGGTATAAATAGGTCAGTTTCGCTCAGTTTCTGGCCAAATTAAATAATTAGTACCCGAATGCTCGTATAGATATATATATATATATATCCATTAGATCGGTCGGTTACGCATGGTTTCTATACCATCTTTAATTTAGATAGCTTCATTGACAACCGATATGAGACTTTTTTTTCAGAGAGTTATGAGAGCTATATAGAATTTTTTATTTGTTTCATGGATAAAGCGAATGTGGCGTAAGTCAATCTGCTGCTTTAATTTCCTTATTCTGGTGGAACATATTCTGGTGGAATCTGAAATATTTGTTGTTGTTGATTTATAGCATGACGACCAGTCATCACCTTTTTGCATTTATTGTATCCATGTATATTTATAATTGAAGCCGTTGTTTTGCAAGTTGCGGTAAAAAAAATTGATGATGAACCAGTGGTATTGAAAATGCGAAATGAAATGAGCATGATTGATACCAGTAACGGCAATATTACTATTTGATGGAAGACCATAGTTAAAAATCTCAGAGAAGAATCGAGGTTGTATTTTAGCAGTTTTCTTTCATAATTAAAATTGCTATTAAAAGAGAGGCATCTACTTATAAGATTTCGTATGATTAAACTAGATTGCTCAAAATATTATAATTTTAGGCTAAATTTGAATCCATCAAGAACTAATGGGCTGAAATTACTAAAACCTACGTGTAAAATTAAATTAAAGACTTATGACTTCTTTATTCGTACTATCAATTACTGGAACAAATTATCGAACGATATAGCTTGTGCGTTATCGCTATCTTTAAAAAATTAGATTAGATATCATTTATGATAATATTTAAAAAGTTCACATCATGCAGGAAATGTGAAATCTCTATTTTTGCCATCCGATTATGTATAATACAGTTACTTCGAATTATATATTATTATTTTGTAATTTCCTCTTTATTTCCTCTTTAAATTGTTAATTTTTGTCATATTTTCTTTTTCTTTTTTCATTAATTATTATTATTATTAATTATTATTATTACTCATTAATTATTATTATTTGTTATTTTAACTGTTGTTATTAATATAAGCACTTGGCGTTTGTCGCCATGCTTGGCTGGTTTTCAATAAATAATAAATAATATTGTTTACTCAGCAATCTTATCAATCGAAGAGGAGCAACTCAAATTAGTGGTGAAAAGATAGCAGCCCTTATTGCTTTTTTTTCTGAAATTTGAAGTTTGAAGCTATGTTTTTTGTCTGCTTTTGTGGAATTTAATGAAGTTTGGTGCAGTAATAAGAATTGTCTTTTTCTGCTAACAGCGTTCACCATTTAATTTTGGCTCAGCCACTGATTCTATGGAGTGAACATCTTTTCCCCTGTTGGTGAAAAATATTTAGCTTCGCTTGAGAGAAAGAATCGAAAAAAAATTAACAAAAAATATTAAAACGAAATATTTATGATTGAAACAGAACTTTTCAAAACATTAATGAATATAAAAGGCACAAATTATATATATATATATATATTCACTACTGAAAGTTCATTTTATATTTTCTTTAACTGATTAAAGGGTTTGGAGGAAATTCGAAAGAGGAATCATATAAGGAAGACGATTTGCAAGAGATCAAATGTATAGATGTTTTGACGCCTTTCGATTAAGTTTATATAGAGTGAAAATAAAGTAATAATGGCAGTTTTATAGTAAATATCAATTATTATTACTCTTATATACTCTTTCAAAAATACATTTCTACAAGTTTATAGGCAAGTGCAGGCATAATTGTGGCCGAACATCAATAAATTATAGTGCGTTCAATAGAATTCAGCAACAGACTGGAATGGATTATCGCATAAAGATGTGTTCTCGAATTGAGGCACTCTACTTCTATTCCCAAATAACTTTCTTGTCTTACCTTGAGAGCCATCCAAATCCGGGAATGGTGAACGTTGGAAGAAATGAGAGAATATCGACAGGACATGAGAACAGCGCATGCGGAAAGCCAAGAATTAATAGTTCGAAGCATTAACTCTGTTACACTTTATATGCCTTAAAAAATCGGTGAACTTAGATTATAAAGCTTGAGAAATTGTACGATGGAAAAAATTCAAAATTATAAGATAACTCCATGTTTCTCGCTGGAATACATGTGTGGTTGAGCATATCGCACTTGGCTATCCGCATAAAAATCTGCATTTCGAGATCCAGTATTATAAGTTGCTTGTTCAGTTGGTGGTCGATTCCTTTTAAAGAATCCACACTAAAATTTGTGTCCATAATGGCGTCCATAAATTACTAATGTGTATTTAATGAATTTCGTTCAACTATGAAAATCGGTAAAATTATAGATTAAGTGAATGAAATTATAAAGAAATTTGGAACTTACTCGCCAAAGGCATAAAATGAGCAAAGCAAGTATAACAAGACCAATAAGAATGGCGAGCAGGTATAACCACCATGGCACTCCACGCTGAGACTGTTCTGGATCTGTCGGATTCACATCTGTGGTCACCTAAACAGTCTACTTTATAAGTTTTTAGGCAAAAAAGAAGCTCTATCATATCCCAAAAAAGATTCGATCAAGTGTTCACATAAAATTTCTTGTTTTTTCGTTTTATACTTTAAATTTTTTCTTCAGATCATTCTTTTTTATGAATCTCCTCTTCTTCAGTGTCAAACAAGCAGAAAATAAATAAACATACAGCAACAAGTTGAGCAGGTGGATTATAACGGGGCGCATTTGGTAGAGCAAATATTTTTGCTAGGCCAATTGATGAAATATCAGCTTCGAAAATATTGTTATCTATTAGTGTATTCAAGTATAACCTCGCATAAATCTCTATAAGAACATACTCATCTTCGTTTAGTCGACCAATATCACATTCGATATGTGTGCAGTTATCCAGATGACAATTCTGAAATTCTGTTGTATTTATTAAATGGCTCGTTGATTGAAGCCAAACAACTATCAAACCATCTGATAAGCTCGCAAATTTTGGTATAGAACCATTGGTTTTATTTGGATATCATAGATTGTCGCTTATGAGGATAATGAAACCTTCGTTTACGCAAACTTTTAGCAACTAATTGAAAGATTAATTATGCAGTATCTTTTATCCTGAAATCGGTCCGATTGAGACCTATTTTCAAAACTTTCAAGTTTTTAATTTTCTTCTTGATTTTTTCTTAATTTTTGAATATATATCTTAGATCTATCAAAACAATTGTAGTTACGCCATCTATTTAACCAAGATTTCAAGGTACCCAATGATATATCAAGGAATGGAGACATTATTTATTTACTTTGTGGAAAAGATTGAATGATGAGCTTACAATAGTTGCTCGACTTAAAGGTCCTTTATATTCAACGGCAGATCCAGCTGATTTAGCCATTTTTACAGCATTCTTCATGTCATTTTTAGACTGTATCATACGTGCTCGCCGTTCATCTCGTAGATTATTACCAGCTGAGCTACGTTTAATTTTTTTAATTTTCCGCATATATTTGAAATCTTCATACTGATTACGAATAGAACCATCCGAATAATCGACATTATTCATCGTTGTTGATTCTGTTGCAAAATGTTCATTCGAGATCTGCAAATTTGATATTTGTATTTTAAATTACCTGCGGCAGAACCAAACTGCAATTGAATGAGTTAATAACGGATTCTGAAAATAGAAAAGGTAGCAAATCCAATGTGTAAGATTGACTGGAAAAGATAACAATTAAAGCAAAAACGAGTCAAATTCCTGGAAAATTAAATAGCCTTCGTCTCATGGATTCAGATTTTTTCTCTTTTTTTTTCAGAAATCTCATCAATCTTACGCTCATTGGATTTATGGGATGAAATATACGTTACGCTCATCGGTAATATCGCTATTATGTTCATAAAAATCATTTTTTTTAAAGAGCACTCAGCATTAATGGTTAGGCTTGCTACACTGGCTTGTCACACTAGAAAACATGCCTTGGCAATGGAAGTACACTAAGTCGCTAGCATCAGTCAAACTTTTGGGCAGGGAGTAGAGTGCAGAGAACTTCAGAATCTGCGTTCTCAATTAAATCATTGAGCCATTCTACTTCTTGCTGAAAAAAATCACACTAATAAAAAATTATTTTTGTATTAAATGGAGCCATACTGTCAGGCTGTCCGGATTGATATTTTGGTTTTGTTTTACTCGACATTTTACTTTGCTAGGATCATCAACTTGTGGCTCATCAATCAGATATAGCAAGTGTTGACCATTTTCAGAGAAACTTGGCCATATTATATCCAACGATGCACCGGTGATTGCACTTGGTCCTCGATTTATCACCTGTAGAGTATATATATATATATATATATCATCAAGGTCATAGCAGAAAAGGCGATAAAAGAAAAATTTACCTGATATAAATGACTCACAATAGGCCCAATTTCAGAATCAAAAATAGCATTTAGGCCGGGCGTACGATTTCGAATTGAATAATCGAGTTGTTCTGGTGTTGATCGACCGACTAATGATAATTGCGCTTTTACTTCTAGTGGAACTCGTAGAATAATTTCATTGTCAATATCTCGACCTTCTGCTTCCTTATTCGTACTAAACAAACATAAGCTTATAAATAAGCTCGATAAGATCTATTTCAACCATACATATTATTATTTAATAGTATTCACCAGTTCTTGTTTGGCTGAGCCCACTAAGTATTTGGAACAAGATCCCTATGTCAGAAAGTCAATTGAGGATAGATTGACATGTTGCTGCCATGCATCGCTTGAACTTCACTTCTAATTACATTTATTTCGCAAAAAAATAGGAATCGAGCCCATGATGCTTGACAATGTTAGTCGAAGCGATTCTCCACTTGACTATCATTTCATTCTTAGTTCAGTGATACATAAGTAAGCGATTAGCAGAGTCATATCTGGTTATGTCAGCGCGATTAGAAATTTTTGCCAGAGAATTACATAGCGATAAAACTACAGCTGGGTCGCCAGCAGCAATCGGATTGTTGAATGGCCAGCTAACTACGGTATTTGCAATAGGATTCGATTAATTTAAAAAAATGTTCGAGCAAACCTGTTAGCAAACATTTTAACGACGACTTCTTCACCGGTTGCATCAACATTCGTACCTGTCAAACGGAATCCGAAATTTGCTTTACCATCTCCAGGTAGAGGATTGCCAATATCGCAGACAAAAATATAATCATCGCTTTTACCAGCTTTTGTTTGAGGAGAACAACTAAGCGGTTGCTAAAGTGTAAAAAAAGTGGATTCGTTCTCAAGAGACAATGAAATGGCCTCACTCCTAAGCTTGTCAACATAAATGTCACACTAGGAATGAAAACAATCTTAAGCATCAATTTTAAAAGCCAGATTTAAGTTTTTGATACAATATTCTTCTTTTTTTATTTTATAAAAACGGCTTTGGTTTTAATTTTCGCTTTTTTTTCGAGAATTTTGTTTGATTCTAACTTTTATAAGAAAAATATTTCATCTTTTTCGTTTAATATTGTTAAACGACACAGCGTTCAAATTCGTTCTCTACTCGGCTCTTTTCTAAATAAATAAGTAATATTTGCATTAAGTTAAAACAGTTAAAACAGCCAGGAGGTTATTATCGTAAGGTATTGGGCAAATTACTTAGAAGAGAGGAAAGAAGGGTAAATGACGATGAAATTTAAATGCTATTTTCTAACATATGTTCTTTTGTTGTCAGGAAAATTTTTTTTCTTCTTTTTCTCACACCATCATCATTTCTGGTTTGACTGGTTTCTCTGGCTATTGGGACGAAATCGCTCCTCCAGAAAGTCATTTGGAGATAAAAATATAGGTGGAGTGGATTCTTGGTATGCACTACAGCTTTTATTTAAAGCATAAGAGAAGTACCTTCGTTGCATAATTTTCAACACCACCATATTCGAATCCAGATGGAATAATAACATAAAATTGACTTTCATACGAATCTTCTCCACGATTGTTAACCGTCACATCAATTAATAGTGATTGATCAATTGCACCAATGGTAAACTTTTCTTTACGTCTGAAATAAATGGTAAATTAAAGAACTGACTATTAAAAAGGGTTATTTTCCATGGAAAATCAGTAAAACGAAGTAGAAACTAACGAAATGGCGTGTACTTTCAAATCAGGGACACACTTTTCATCAGATCCACAATTTTTATCAATCGCTAACTGAAATAAGAATTATCAATTTTTCTGTCCTAAATGAAGGACAAATCGTCAACCCATTGGCTAAATAAATGGAATTAAATTCTAATGAAATTTTTTTGAAATTAATCTACCGAGAAAGGGTAAGTATGGGATTAGATCTTAAATATTGCATCTTTTTCATCTTCTATTTGTAATTACCATTTCTTGTTGGCTGGTTCCACTGATTAGGACCTTGGAGATAGTGGCACAAACATTCCCATCTCTCCATTAACTTCCCATCATTAAGCATGTCTCATTTTCGAAGAAAGTTTTGTTCCTAGCCAGGAATTCTAACCTGTGATTTGGTTCTAATCGAGGCAAATGCCACCTGACCCCTCGATATTTCGAAATCCCCTTATTTTCTTATTTATTGGTTTATATAAATTATTTCCTCCTATATAGTGCTCAATTTTCCCTTTTCGCTTCATTTCTCTTGGGCATTTTTCTTTCTTTTCGACTCAAATCATATTGTAATATTTCGCACTTTTCGTTTAATTACTAAAATATAATTATTCATAAGGGGAATGAAAAGCCGCCGAAGTAATTCAGATATGATAATTTGTTTCACAATACGGCTCAATATTAAAGATCTATGTAAATGTAAATTTATTGATGCTTGTGATCTGTGCTTTTAATATCCTCTTGATGTATAATTTAAAGCTATCATATTACTCCGGGAACTCTGGGTTTATTATTAGATTATTGTGTCATATTTTACCTATTGCCTACTATTTGTCTTCCGACATCGTCTGCAATGTTCCGAAATAGCAGTTGGCGATCGACATAACAGATTGGGGATAACGAATTGGCCAAATAGGAAACTTACTGTTAGTCAAATTAGCGAATCTCTTTTTTTAATTCGTTCGACCGGCAGCGGGTAAAATCTCGCGAACTGTTCGATGTTATCTTACAGCCAGCAGATAATGATGGAAATGTTTGCAGAGCTACTGCAACAATCGAGAACTATATCGTTAGAGCAGATCGAGCCTTCCTTTGAAACCATCGCTGGAAACATCTCGACATTCCATTTTTATCCGAAAAATTAGAACCAAACATTCAACACGTGGTTTAACCATTATCATAGCTTATTTTCAAAAGACGCCACATAGCTGGACGGATTAGTGAAGACTACTACACCATCTATATCGCTCGCAAATTGGATAAATCATTACATGAATTTCATTCTATGCTATCTTTAGCTATTTTAGCTATCTTTATACTTGGTGATGACAAAACTTGTCCTTTCAGTGAAACTATTGCTATGAAAATTCAGCAAAACAATATTTGAATTATGAGGTGTAGAATGGCTCAGTGGGTTATTGCCCAGTTTGGAGCGCCGATGCTGATTCCCCGCAGAAGTAAACTTGTACAAAAATGCGAGTGGTGCTGGCGACTTATCTGTACTTATACTGCCAAGGCACTTCCTGACATATTTCTCTAGTGCGACAAGCCAACGGAGCGAATAATGAGAATTTTCAAAAAAAAAAACTAATTTGGATGGACTACTGTATAAAATCAAATATGAACGAAGCACTGCGATTCATCAGCTGATTGAGATTGAGAAATGCATTATATTAGCCTATTGTGCAATAAAAAAATGGTAAATGGAAAAACGACTAAAACCATCACACAGTCGACAATTATGAAACCACAGTTAAACACTCAAATCACCAAAGAACCCAACTGTTTACAATTTTACATTTAAAAACATGAAAAGCAGCAATCTAGAGCAATGTCAAGGAGAATGTACATGATCATTGTTGATCCTATGGTGAAATACATTACCAGAAATTGTGGCTATTAAAAAACACTCCATATGGAAGCAAAAAAGAAAAATTTTGCAGCTTAAATAAATTTTGCAGCAGAGGAGCAAAAGATATTCTTGAAACAAAAGGAAATTAATCGCAACAATAAAACAAATTGAGGAAGAAAATGCACACTAACAATATTCAACAATTTCTATCTCATACCATTTCTTTTTTTTTCAATGTTTTTCCAAAATAGAAAAAATTATGGTATATTATGTTATGAAATTGATAAAAATTCTCGGGTTGCTAGAGATTGGAAGTTTTAATCTCGAAAATGCCATTAAATTTCTGCCGAATACTGCAGCAGCTCATGTGTTGCATTATTTAATGACATCACAATGATATAGATTCTATAGCAGACCCGACGACAATTTTCAACCATCTGTGGCTTATCTATTGGATGGTTTTCCAAATCAAAAGCATTATTTCAACTTAGTAACTCAACTTAAAATATTAGCAGTATCCCCTCTCAGTACTTTATGCAAATAATTCAATCTATCGATTGAGGCTAGATTTTGGCTATGAACACAAAAGAATCCGTAAATTTCAACTCGAGGCATTCGAGATAATTCCTCGGGAAGTCCTCCAATTCCAATTTAATATAGGAAGTTGAGGTCTAATCTATCAGAACTGAGTAATTCGATTTTTAGATTTAGACTAAGATTTCGCCTCGTGGACTTTAATAGCATATTTGGCCTCTCTAATATATCATGAAAAGACTAGAGCATCCTTAATAACTGAGTTATTATAATCTTGGAACATTTTGCCATATTCATCGTCTTCCACCATTTGTTTTAAGTGGAACACGACTTTATTTGTTGAAAAAACTGACTTTCAGAAAACTCAGTATTTCTGGTTTGCTTAGCATTCTGTCTTTTTGAGGCTGCGTTTTTAGCTTATTAGTCTAATAATGAGACGGATTTTTCTCACACTGGGAATTCCAGGATGCTCCTTCGCTTCTTCTCTTATGAAAGGGGAAAAGGAAAGTTGCTTTAAGAGGTGAAAAAATAATATGATTAGCGGAATAGGAAATAAAATTAAGTGTTTAATCAAACATTTTGCAAAGTCGCCACTATTTTTATAGTTATCTGAGCTTTGTGGGTAGTAACGCTATGAAGGAAAATTAGGTAGAATCATAGAAATGTTATGTGAAGCACTGAACAAATTTTATTAAATTGATTGATCTGATGATCTAATTAATGAATATGAAGTGAATATTATGACTGGTTTCGCTTCAAGACTGATTAAAGAAAATTTCAGTTGGAATTTCAGTTACACTTTAAAGAAAATTTCAGTTGGAATTTCAGTTATACTTTTGTTTCTTTGCGAGAATTTCATAGATTGTACGATTTCTGCGTTAATTTGCAAGATTTTTCATGTAAAGTTTCATACAATACATGCACATTGCCATCTGTAAACTTTTATAAAACTTTTTATTTAAAATTTATCTTATTTTATTCATATCAGGATTCACATCCTTTTCATAGTTTGTCTCTTCATTCTCGTCTGTATTTTTTCCCTTCACACGAATGTGAATGTGAATGAATGTGAATTTCTACTAATATCACCGATTGGACTGTTTGATTGTTTATGGCAAAGGATAATTAAGTATAACTTTATTTCCGACACACTAATGAAGAAATCCACTAATCAATAATCAAAGGAGCCAACCAAACCAACAGTATGCGCTTACATAACAATGGTGATAGCGAGTTATAAGAAGACTATAATTTGAGAAAAGGAAATCTTTCTCGAAAAATCATAATTCTAATGATAAAACTTCTTAATGTTGATGGTTTAATTTCAAATGCAGCATATTACAATACTGTAGAAATGGAAGGATCGAAAAAAGGCTGGCCATCATCTTATTTCCTCACCAGCAATTTATGTATTAGTGTTTTGCAGTTGCAAACACCTTCATCTTTATATTCTTTCTCATGATTCCCGCGATCAAGCAAGGATCTTTTAGCCTTCATATATCTCAAATCTTTCGCGAATCTTTCACTATGGTGCTTTTTAGTTATCAGGCAAATTAGCAATTTTTTGTTTTATTAATTTAATTCGTCCCTTTTTTGGAAGAATCGCTATCTTTTTGTGATTTAATTATGGCTAATATAACTTTTAATAAAAATTCATCAAATCATTCCAAAAGTTTCCAAATTTTTGCAGTATTTGCTGCAGCTAATTATCTTAACTATTGTAGATTGTTTTTGGAGATATATTCACGTTTTTTTTCTAATAAATAATTGATTTCGACTATTCCGGCAATACCTAAATTGAACTGGTTGGAGATAGTCCAAAATATGCTCAGAACTTTTAGCGATGATGCTTCGAAAGAAAGAATGAAGCAAAAATAATTTGCCAAACTCGGACCTGAAGATATGTTTGATTTCGAATATGTTCAGTATAACAGGTTGTCCTCAAAGTATATGGACGAAAGACTAATTACGGAAGGATCAGCAGGGCCTGTTGAAAAGCTGAGTATATTAAGCTCAGAGAACAATGACAGCAATTAGCAGAATTCTGGAGAATAGCTCCACAACGTTATGTTATCAACAGTCAACTACTTTTCGCATTTATAAAAAAACTTTCGAACAACTTTTTGCCAATTCAAAATATAATAGAATTCGCATTATCTGTTTTAAAATGGTTTATAAGATCACAAAGTATAGTTATAACATTTTTCGTTTGATCGATTGTATATTCAAGTCGTCTTGAAGTTAATGATAAATCTACATTTGTACCATCTTTCGCATGAGGATCCTCCTGAAATTATATAGTAGTGAGAGCAACATTAAGGGAATTATTAAAAGATGAAGTATTTATTTATTTATTTATTTTCTAAGAGAAAGAAATGGAAAATCGTTGACACTGAATGAAAAAAAAATTTTTTTAAAAACTATGCAAAATTAAAATTAAGTTTAAGAATATAACTTTCTAATAATTTTCGCAAATAAAGTGAATACTAGAAAAATGAATATTAGTTGATGATATTGAAGTTAAAAAATTAGCAGAGTATTTTTTGCGCAGTGGCGTAAAGATAAAAACTTTTAATAAAAACAACTTGCAAAATTCTTATCCTTCCCCGATTACAGTATTATAAAATGAGCAAAAAAATGGTTCGACGAAAATTCTCCAAAATTGCAATATTCTTATCTTTCCCCAAACAATATATCATTTATTCAATTGAAGTCTTACAAGTTCCAGATTGATGAATCTGATTTACGAATATGTAATCGTAATATATTCTAAGGTTATTTTGTAATTTTTTCATTAACATCAATTATTTTTAAAATAACATTTTCCAAACCTTTATTAGATGAATCGATGAAAATTTTCCTGTTAAATTATGATGGCTTAATTCAATCGAACTCTCTCTATATTCGTTGAATTCGGATATATCGGGCAAATAAATAGTAGTCAGTAGGGAGAGTAAAAAAATGATTCTACAAAATTAATAAAAATAGTAAATTGCATCAAATGTCGGTAATTCAGCGAAAAAAATCTTATAAATTAATTTAATAGAAATTAGACAAAAATTCTTTAGATAGAAATTTAAGAAATTCCATACTTTACAAGCAATTTAATGATTTTGATTTAAATGAATTCGATATTTTGGGATGAATTTGGTGGACAACACATTCAATCCCCTAAATCGGCAAATTCTGTTTTCTTCTTCTAACGGCATTACTGGTTAGGCTGGCTCTGACTAGGCTAAAGCATTTTCAAAATTTCCAACTCATGCCGCCATCTAAAACCAAAATATTAGTGGAGAGCGCTCTTCTGACTGTATCTACTCTGATTGGGCCTTTGAGTTTTTTGACACTCTCTAAACATGTGGCGAAAAAATATGTTCAAATGGACGACAAAAAAGGCCTAACCAGCGTAAGTAACGTTATCAGATGCGTTAATTGCAAAGCAATGAATTAAAAACTGTAAAAGACTGTAAAAATTAATTTGAATAAATTAATTAAAAATTTCATTAATAAAACAAAAAAACTGACTAACATGGCCAATGTTTGTTTGGTCATGCACAATACAGTCCACATTCATTTCTTCTTCATTATTACAGTCTTCATCTTCACTTTCAATAGAATCAATGAAACGTTTTAATGATCGTTTTGAAGATAACGGTGATAAATTGCTACTCATAATCATCGAACGATAATTCGATGGCATTGAATCCTTGGCACAATGTCCACAGTGCTCCAAACAAAATTGTACCGATGTTGTCCTGCAAATCCAAGGACAACCAATGAAATTTTTCTCTATCTAAAGAAATGAATGTATGTAAAAAATTAAAATATTTTTCTACATTTTCTTTTACAAGCAGGCAATATTTTTTTCCATCTTTTCAATATTTTTAAACTCAATTAACTCAATTAACTTCTTTTACTGATCCTTTTCCAAAACTAATGCAAATAATGAAGTGTTCACCATTTCTGGTTGAAGCTCCCGTTGGCAGTTAGAAATTTTTCCCAGAAAGTCATTTGCGTACACACGAACTTCAAACATAGTCTGCATTTTTCAAATCTTAATCAGAGGTAAAGTCTGGAAGTCTTAATCAAAGGTAAAATCTGGACTTACAATCTTGCGCTCAATATGGTAATCTGCACATTAAATTTTCAATGTTTCGATTCCTTAATATATGTATCAGTATAAATATACAAATAAATTCAAAAGAAAAGATATCCAGCTGAAAAAGATATCCAGAATAGCCAGCTGACTATATGACAGGCAAATTACCCTCTCCTTTTAAAAATGTAGCGTTCTTCATATCAATTCTAAAGGTTCCGATTTTCCTAATTTTATTATTAATGGCAATATAATCAGTAGAGTCTCACACATTTCCGATCTTGGAATAATCATGGATGAAAATCTTGATTTCGACCTTCACTGTAGAATCATGGTAAAGAATCCTCAAAGCTATTAAATTTTATTTTTCGTTCCTTTAAAAAGAAAACTGAAGATTTTATCATCAAAACGTTCGTTCGGCCAATTCTTGAATACAGTGCTACATGTGATTCCCGAGATATCGTAAATCAAGTAAAATAATTGAAGGACTACAAAAATATTTTATACGCGCCTCTCTCCTAATTGCAATTTTAATTATATTTTATTTATTATTTATTTAATTATTTATTTATATTAAACTATATTAAACTAGATTGTTCAAAATATTATAATTGTAGGTTAAATTTAAATCCAACAAGAACTAATGGGCTAAAATTACTGAAAACTTGTGTGTAAAACTAAACTAAGGATTTCATGATTTCTTTATTCGATGTTAATTACTGGAATTAACTACCGAACGATATAGCTTGTGTGTCATCCCTATCTATCTCTAAAAAAAGAATAGATAATATCATTTATTTTTCATTTATTTAAAAAGTTCATGATCATGCAGGAAGTGCGAAATCTCGATTTTTACCATACAATTTAGTTATTTCGAATTGTACTATATTATATTATTTTGCAATTTCCTCTTTATTTCATCTTTAAAATGTTTACTTTATTTTGTTATTATTATTTTTTGTTTTTGTCATTAATTCTTATTATTATTTGTTATTTTAACTATTGTTATTAATATAAGAACATGGCGTTTGTGACCTGGGTGGTTTTCAGTAAATAAATAAATATCCAAGTGGTTGGTACAAAAATTATCATGTTGAGATTCGTTTCCTGCCTCCAGTAGTAGTAAACATGTCATTAAAAAATCTGCGCAGTGTTACCAATCTACGAGTACTTCTAACCGTCGGCAAGAAGTGATTACTCTTCAAAATTTCCAAGTTTATAAAAAAACAGTATATATGTATATATATATACTACAATTTATCTGTGAAAATGTGAAGAATCGATATTTTAACAAAATCTGTAATATTTCGTCAATGTTTCAGCTTTAGTAGCATCGAAAAAAAATCCCGGAAGTTTTTTTAAAAAATTGAAAAACAAACAGTGAAAACCATGTCAATGTTTCAGCTTTAGTAGCATCGAAAAAAAATCCCGGAAGTTTTTTTAAAAAATTGAAAAACAAACAGTGAAAACCATACCCATCAGATTTTTCAATAACATGAACAAATGCTGTACAACAAATCGTCAAATTGGTGTGAAGAAAATAATTCGTTGATTCAGACGTAATTCGTCGACGTTTTAATGTTGGTGATCGTTTTCGGCATAATAAATAATACTCCTGAACGTTAGTAAGTAAATAAAAGCATTCGTCAAATTCGGTTACATTAGCTCCGCATATGGCGATACAAATGCAAGTCACTTTGGATTTTTTTAACGACAAGTTTATTCCTGTCGAGAGCAGAACTGAGCACGTCATTCAAAGCAGTGATACAACAGCACGAAGCCACTCGATTATCTTATCCTTATTGCATTTCCAATATATTTAAATTAAAAAATTATAATATAATATAATATAATATAATATAATATAATATAATATAATATAATATAATATAATATTAGGTGTATTTCTTCCTATCATCCAATCATTACGGCCAACTGTAACTTTAATTTTTTCTAATTAATCATATTTAAAGTTTTTCTTAATTCTAGATGAAGTGAAATAGAAAGAGTTTAACAAGAGTTTCACCGATAAACAACAGATGCACGCATTTACCCATTCATCTTGAATGCTTTTAACCAGCAACTTTCCCAAAAAATGCTCGAAAATGAGCTTACCTCTTGCGGATTTACATCTGTATCTTTGCGTTTATCTTGAGCAACATATCCACTACACTCCACTCGAGAATCTTCAACACTTTCTAGCCATTTCTGAAAACGAAGGCACTTCGTAAAAAAATTTTTTCACACGTAGAAAATCCCTAAAGCATTTTTTATCAATTTAATCTTTCCACGTTTTGCATCGTTTCATAAGCCTATTTTATTCTTTTTCGTATATTAAGAAGTATATAAGAAGTATTTCCTTTTTAAATCTCTGATTTTATTTCCGTCTCGCACTTTAAATTTGAAATTTATTTAGAATAATTTAAAATTTTTCGATTAAGTCGAAATTTAAAATAAAAATTAAAGCATTTTAAAATTAAGCAAATACAAACAATACAATTCAATTTTAAAAAGAAATAGATGTTGAGGAAGTTATAAATTTATTTTTTTCGAATCGATTGATAAATATTTCATCTTTTAAAATAAATAAGCCTTTAATTTTTCAAAAACTATACAACTATACAAATAAGATTATTTATCATAGTCATCCAAATAATTTATCTGATATCAAGTACATCGCTAATTACGACAATTAATTAGCTTCTCTTCACATTTTAAAGTAAACAAAAAAGTATTCCATGGAAAAGTTTTTTGAAAAGTATTTCATAAAAAAGTCGAATAAAAAAATTATTGTCCGAAATTTATAAAAAAATTTCAGCAAAATATTCACAAAGAACTAAACAAATTAATTTCGGCAATTTTTTATAGGTTTATCAATCGCTAATAAAGTGGTACTAAGGAATGGCCATGGTGAATATAAGATGAGTTCTTAACTGACAAAAGAAATATCGACAATGAAACGATAGGGTAGAAACAAAAAAGAAAAAAAAAGGAGACACAACATCATCATGGAGCTGATCATGGAACTGGTAAGTAATTTTTGCTTAAGGAAATGATTAGCACCATTTCTGATTAGGTTTACTCCGCTTGTTATTAATACGGCAAAAAATTTTTGTTAAGAATTTATTTGGCAGTGGAAGCACACTTGGCCCTCGGCACTACCCAGCTGCTCAGATTTTTTTAGTGACAGGCATGTTCTTGTCTGGGACAACAGCCTTCCTTCGACAAGGACTTCGCCTCTCAAGCAGTCTAAACCATCATGCATTCAGCTATTCTGACCTTTAATTTATGCGAACCCTTGTTGCTTATATGAAATATGGAAAAATATGATGAAAAGCAACATGTAGAAATCTTTAAAAGATGATCCATTAATAAACAAAGTTATAACCGATATTTTAAAATGGAAGAAAAATTTTCGAAAGAAATAAAAATTGAAAGACAAAAAAGGATGAAATATTTCCAGCTAATATATAAAATATTCGCATTTATTTTATTCCGCAGAAGAGAAACAAAGCACAAAAAAAATTAAAAATTTTTCAAAAAAAATTATTATTACGGAAATACAAAATACGGATTATTACGGAAATACAAAAAAAATTTAACTAAACCGAAAAAGACCGATTAAAAATCTTTGGAAAGAAAATGATTAAAATATTTCGAGAACGAGTTTTATTACTAGAAAATCAATAAATCCATTCTTTAGCAAAACAGTTTTGGTTCAAATAACTTGAAAACCAATTTTGGAAAAACTATTAGTACCAAGTAATGCCAAGGCTTAGGCTTAAACTTAGGGCTTAGGGCTAATATGAATAATTATAAATAGTCGGTGTCGTTTGTGCGAAAAACAATACGAAACTCTGGTGCAAAAAAATCTTTTTCAATGGATCCACTGAAATTTCCTTAAAATGAAAATTTCACTCGTCTAAACGAGAGAGGAGGAAAAGATAATCGCATGATCATTTTTATTTGAAAAGAAAATTTTTTTTTGTGATCCTTTTATGCCATGCAATTAATAACCATTTAATATCATATAATCAAATGCCATTCAATTAATTAATGGTTCAAAATAAATTTATACTTTCTAAAATTAAAAAAATAATGATTTTATTTAAAAAATGGACAAGTAGAAAATTTTCAAATAAAATCATAATTTATATGAGCAGAAGTAGAAAAACGAAGAAGTGATTTGTTGCATTAATAAATTGTTCCAGAAATCAAATTTGGACCCAAAGTCCTTTTTTTAGTATAAATTTATTTTTATTTTTTGTTATAAAATGCATAGATTTTATTAAATAATTTATTGTTTTATTTAGAATTAAGATTTTAAATGGGACGAAGGATAAGTTATTCAAGAGTTGTTGTTATTCAAATTGTCACCTCGAGCGTCAAAGTTTGGACACTACCTCCGGCATGTGTAAACGAATTATCAAAAAATGTGGGTGATGTTGGCGACCTCAAAATTCCACAAAATTTTTTTCTCAAAATTTCTGTGGTGAAAATTTTAAGCCAGTAGAGTATCACTATTCACTATTTATTTTATCTTTTTAAAATTTAAAATAATTTTTAATTTAAAATAATATTGGAAAGGAAAAGTTTACAAATCTATAATGACTAAAAATTGCCTGAAAACGAATAAAAGGTTAAAAGGTCTTATAAAAATTGCAAGAAAAATTTGTTGAATTCGAATGAAAGATCTTACCTGAAATTGCACTTTGTCACTAAAGGTGATAGTCTCGATGACAGCTTTATTCATGCCATGATAATTTTGCATATGTTCACATAGCTCTTCGGGAGTGCATAAATTCCCAACACAACACACTGCACATTCGATACTCACTGAAGTTGATGAGGATGTTGCTGTGCTTGAATTCATTTCAAAAAATCTTAAAAATATAAGGAAATATTTTTTGCACTAAAAACGCAAAAAGACAAAAAAACGTAAAATTAATGAAATTCGTTTCAAATTTCTGATAATTTTTTTATAAAACTTTATCGAATCGAAGAAGTAAAATAAGCGTCTGACACTCATCATTTCTGGTTAGCACCGCTGATTATTAGTGGCATTAGAAATTTTTATCAGAAGCTTAGCAGAACCATGACAGAAGTGCAGGATTTTTAATAACAGGTTTGCTTCACTCTGGGTAGAAGTCAAATCGTACAGTCCTACCCTAAACATAGTAAACTGGGCGTCTATCTACTCAGCCATCCTGCTCTTACTGAAATGAATTTAAAACTAAAAAAAAAAGAAATTTGCTTAAATTTAATGAATCGAAATAAAGGAAACTATTAAATTGTTGAAATATAGTGATGAAATTGGTCACACCAATTTTAGACGAAGCAAGTCTCGTTGACACAAGGTTTCAGAAACGGAATAAATTTCTACTAATATATCGTTGAATAGAGGAGTATGGCTGAGAATATATTGCTTAGATTACCTCTACATTTGTTTTTATGCACAAATGCATAACTATGCATTTTCATTGCTGTTTTTAAATAATCCACCTTTCTCAGCAAGAATCTTTTGGTCATTCATTTGTGATACATGCAAGTATATCTGTCGTTTGAAATGAAATACTGGTGGTGTGGAGGATTCACTTGTACTTTTTATACGCAAGTGAATCGACTTTCGCCAAATGGAAAATGCGAAAACAAAATATAATTATAATTAAAAAATTAAAATCTTTCATCAAATGAATGATAATAAAAATCTATAATAATAAAAATCTAAAATAATCAAAAAATCAAAAAATGGGCAATTTATCATATATAAAAATGCCGGCAAGCAACGGAGTATTGTTGATGATGATAATTCTTCAAAAGCATCTCTACTTAAATACTCGAAGATAACATATCAGTTTATCATAAATTTTTATTTCATCGAGCTCTGAAAATTCTTATACAATTGAGAAAAAACGCAACTGAGCAAGTTTCATTTATGATGATTTATAAAAACTTTGTCAAGACGGGTTTAGTTGGAATATCACCAGCTTATCATTCGACTTAGACACCACTTGCGAAATGAGCTTGCCACATCATTTCAAGTATAAGAAACATTTTTAGCTCATTTTATAAACAATGAAGTATCAAAATCGACTTATGAACTGTTGAGATTCTAGTTGAGATTCTAGTGGAACTGGTCTCGGCAGAACATCTTTATCTGGATCAAATTGAGCTCGCTCAACATTTCCGAGTGTTGCGGGAGAAAAAGTAAGTAAAAATTTATGATGTATTGATAATTACTGTTATGCATAAAATAAATACACATTCTCAAAAAGTTATTTATTAATTCGACTAGAAAAGTATTAATTTATATTTTTGGTACTCTCATTATCGTATTGAAGGAGAAGGATTCGCATGCTCAACATGAATGAATTTGTTGTTAAAAAATCCGTGTACCTAGTTAGCTGAATCTGTGCAAAAAATTTATATTTGCACTTGAGCTCTTTACTGTTTTTCCCATAAAAACTAAGAGGTTAAAGAAAAATTCCATGGCAACGAAAATCTTAATTTAAAAAATTTTTCTATAATCTTCCAATAAATCATCGAAATATTCAAGCAAAAATTGTAAGTGATTTAGCGCACACCGTTTCAGGTAAGGTTTACTGCATTTGCTGTAAACACGATTAGAAATCTAGTCAATCACTTGGAAATACAAGCACAGATGGGTCATCATTCATGTAACATTAATAGACAAGAATTCCTAAAAAAAGGAAAATAATCTCCCTATTAAAAGATTTTAGTTTTTTGTAATTTATAATTTTTTATACGTAATTACTTAATAAAATTAAAAGTAATCGGAGATTTCTCTGATTTCCCCGACAGTTTTAAAGCAAAATTTTATAAAAAACCTTACAAATGGAACACAACCATTCATCACAAAGAAACTAATAAGAGTTGAAATTTAGAATTTCGCAAAAAAATTGGATAAAAAAATTTTATAAAAAAAAGATCAATAGAACTGAACAAAAACTAGCAAATTTTTATAAACAACAATGACAAATGAAAGTTTCACTAAAAATTTTTTTAACCATTATTTAAAAAAAATGCAATATACATGCAAAACCTGCAATAAAAAAATTGGTTAGGTTGTTGCTTAGATTATCGTCAGAATTTTCTATCAGAGTTTAAACTCTGACAGAATCGACAGAAATAAACCGATTATGAAACAAAGTGATGATAGCGATTTATCTAAATTTTTCCCATGCCACTTTACTATTACTCCAATGGCAAATGTTTTTTATCGTGCTGATGCAAGTCTACCCAGTAATGATCATTAAGTAATTTAGTCATGAGTTTGCGGTAATAATAATATTCATAAAAGATGCATTAATGGAAATGAATAATTTTTTTTATAAGTTATAAATTTTAGAAGATATCCTTCTTCTTCTAACAACTCGGACTGGCTAGGATAATTAAGAGGTACAAGTATAAAACGTCTCCAAACTGTTCGATCGGATGCCACGTCTGAAAGTAATAGAAGCCATCCATTCCTTTTTTATCGATGAAATATATAACGGTGAGCTGCAGAAATTTGAAGCTTTCTTAATGTAAACATCTGGTCAGTACAATCGCGCCCTGAATTGAATTCATTTTGATTAGGTCTCATTCTGCTATCTCGCACTCCCATAAATCTATTGAGCAAAAGGAGAGCAAAAATTTTCACTGAGACGTCTAGTAGGCTCATTCCTCGATAAATGTCGCAGTATATCCTGTCATCTTTCTTGGAAATTAAAAGCAAAATTAGTTTGTCCCAGTCATCTGGTATTATTTCCTTCTTTCATACTAGATTTGCACATTCGTAGAAGGTGCTTTATGAAAGACGATGGACAACATTTGAAGAGTTCATCTTCTTCAGGAATCTTATTGACCTTAAGCTTATGGATAACGCAGATTATTTCTCCTTCTATTGGAGATTCGTAAAACGTATAGTTCGACGAATATATATCCAGGTCAGCTATATCCAGATGGCGAGCATGATAAGTTTGGCCTCAAAGAATTTCTTCCATCTTACCAGGTAAACCACTATTATCCCATAACATTGTTCGCTGAATTATAATTGCTTTGTGAAAAAGGTGAGAAGATTTCTTTGCGAATAGTATCCTATTATTGTCTAATCGAGTCACCACCTATATTTGCAAGACTATATGCCTCAGTGGCGATTTTCCACCGTGGTGTTGCGTTAATTCATCGAAATATCCGATAGTAGGATCCCGACATTTGTGCTTCTTCGGACAGTTGGACAATTGCTGATACCCAAGCACTACGTTTCCTAACGTTGAAGTGGCTTATTTTCGAATATATCTTTAGTTGGGACCAGTATTCATCTGCTGTTCCGTTCAGAGATGTCACTGGCATTCATTTCACTGAGATGCTTCAATAATTCGATTTAAAATGCGCTCAATGCTCTCTCTATTAATTTGAGATAGTTGAAAGGTCTTGGAAGATATTTGATTAAAATATAATCAATCTTGTTGCAGTATTGGTTATCCGGAGAATTCCACGTGACTAGATGTCTTCGATGCCGGAAATATATATCAAAAAGTTCAGCAAGAAGGAGGCGTTCTTCATTGGCGCGCCAGACTCCCATCTCATTTGCGAATTACCGAATTTATCGTGACCTATCGTATCATGATCTACGCGGGCATTCCTTCGATTATGACCATATAAATTAATAATAAATTCTATCGAATTTTTATTTAAAATTACACAAAACATTATTTAAAATAATAAACCAATAACCGAATTATTTTAGCGTTCATCATCAACATTTTATTCAGCAATTATATATTTATTATTTTCTTAAATACAAGTGTATAAATTTAAATTTAACGAAAATTAAACTTAAGAGTTAATTAATTTATTTAATAATGAAATAAAAATTAATTAAAAGACGCAATTAGCAAAATTTTCGCAATTGTAACTATGAGAATCGAAATTATTATTTCTCATAAAAAAATAGAACCGCTGGCTAATGATATTTGATATTTAATATTTAATTCTCTTCTAGAATAATCGACTTTATATGGAATTAAGGGAAAGTAAGGGGAAGGGAGAGGGGGGGGGCTGGGGAAGGGGAAAGGAGTGTTGGAAAAAAAATATTTTGGAAGAAATAATGTAAATAATTTAATAAAATTCAATTTATATTGATATAGTAAGACTAATCATGTAAGACTAATGCAGAGAAAACATATTTCCCAAATCAACGGGAAAATTCGTCCAGTTATATTTTTATTTCATTATATTATTTTTATAGTGAATATAATTATAACATATTATAATATGTAATTATAATGTAATAAAAGTATGTAAAATATAGAAATATTTGCAAATGAAACTTATTTTAATTTACTTTTAAGACATTTAAAATATTAAATATTAAGTAAACAAAAATAACACTCAGAAAAAAGTTAAAATGTTATTTTTAGACAAAAAAATGCAAATATTTGATCAGCTAAAGTAGTTAAGTATTTGGGATGTTGAAATTCATTAAGGATTAGTAACGTGCTTAGTGCTAGCTCGGAAGGTTTCAATTTATTCAGTAATATGTTTGATTTTATAAGGGTGAAGCGTGCTAAATTAAGCGAAAAAATCACAATTTTATGGCATAAATTAACCACCAGATTAAATCATAATTTCATTGAACAAAGAAAAAAAAAAGTACGGACAAATCAATCTTTCGTTCTGCATGGGAACCTATTATTCCAATGGGAACTTATTATTTTAAGCCAAGCAGAAGCTAATAAGCCTAGAGAGCCCTTGTAATATGATAAAGTAGAATCTTAGTGGAACTAAGTAGGTGATATCTACAAAATGATAATATTTAATGACAACGATAATATAAATGATACAGTTTTGCCTATTGAAATTCGTTCG